TATTCCAGGCATTTTTCTCAATGCTGACATATTTTATTTCTTTGAAAACTCACAAAGTCCCCATAAATAGGAGCTGTGATCCCCATTTTATGGAGGACACTGAGACATAGCAATTAAGAAACTAACCCAGATCACATAATAAGTAATGAAATTGGGATTTGAAATTGAGCCTGTTTGATGCTAGAGCCCATGCTCTTTCAAATTTCTACTCCACAATAATTGCCTCAAAAAGATCTACTGAGGAAGAGAGAGTGTACACACAAAGAGAGGACAACAGGAACAGAGAAAGTTAATTCCATTTGAGAGTGACAGGGACAGCATTATGGAGCATGTAGCGATTTACTTGATGGAAATTTACTTTAATGACAGAGGGGCTCAGAAATGCATCAGTTTCCTAAGGTTAGGTATACTCTTATTAGGTGCCAATGATGGTGCTATTGTAGCGAGCCAGGTCCTTGTCCTAAATAAACCTAATAAACAGTAAAACTGATACCGAATCTTCATCTTGACACTCGCTCTCCCTTTCCCTTTCCACCTCAGTAACACTTTGCACATAGTAAGCTTCCAACAGATATTTTCAAAATGAGAAAGTGAATGATGCCTCAGGAAGAATTTTGGTGAAGCCTTCCTGGTTTGGGTATACTGCAGCCCCAAGCTCAGAGACCCTTTTCCCTCTCATGTTTTTCCCTGCAGCTGCTCTGACAAGCCTACAGCTGAGTGATAGGGGGCCCACTGTACCAGAGATGATTTATGGTTCTTTGTTATACAAATCTTTTCACATTCCTCCTCATCCTGTTTTTGGAGCCAATTCATCATCATATTTAAATGCAACTTTGGGTAGGGAACTATGACTCACTGCTCTGAAGACAATTGTTTAGGGCACCTCAGGTATTTAGATCTCAATGAGATCATCTCTCCAGTAGGATTTTCTCAGATTTCTCTGCCTTTTACAAGGACCCAGGTACCAGTTAGCCTGAAGAATGAAAAGAAAAACATTCAGCTAACTAGATGGAAGGCAGTGCTCTGCAATTGTTTCATAATTAAAATAATGGAAGGCCTAGGGAAGATCTGACCATGTTGTTTCAGCATAGGATGCAGAATAACTTTATAAAGATGCCTGAGTTGTTTCATCCAATGCACTGGGAATGCCAGCTCTGTTGGATCAATCTGCTATGAAAACAGTGTTGGAAAAGAAAATGGAAACTTTTTTTTTTTTTGGTGCTAGTCTTGCCATACTGAATATTGAACTAGGGTTCATGCAAGGCAAGTGCTATACTATTCAGCTACACACCAGCCCCTAAATGAAATGCTCTTGATTTTTCATGGCATTAGTGCTAGCTGATATTAAACTAATCAAATAGAAATGTTTCGTCCAATCTGTTGTTAAGCCTACTTCAATCATATCACTCATGGGATACCATATATGTTGCATTACCTTGCAGAACAGTAGGATGGAGACTTAAAATCTTGGGCAAAAATCATATACGATAAATTCTAACAAAAGAACATGTAGAAATGGGAACTTTTGATTTTATTTATTGATTATGGTATATCATTTCCTTATTGTCAAAAGAGCTAAGGCTGTTCAATACTAATTACTTAAGTGTTAACAACCCAGATAAGTAGGTGATGCCTTCTAATTTCCTACTGTATTATGCTAAATAAATTCACTACTCTCTCTGTGTCTCATTTTCTCTTTGTATACAATTACAAGATGTGTGCTTCTTACCCTCCTAAAAAAACAGAAAACTCAAAATGTAATATAGAATAATAAAGGAATATTTTATAAAACAATGAGCTCAAAAAATTGGACTTACATCTCAATTTTGAGGAACTACATCTATTTTAAATGTACAAAGGATTATACCTAATATTCTTTTGTAAATAATCAACCCTGTGTGTATTAGTTTAGATCATTCAAAATTTCAAGTAATAAATTTGAGAGATTCAATTAAACATGCAGTTATTTGAGTTCATCCTATGTACGTAGTAGTATACAATATTTTTATTACATATATTATCAGCCAAAACATTTACTGCCCTTGCTTCCTAACGCAAGCACTATCTTGGCACATATTATATTAATATTTTATTACTCATTCCAAATATTTCTGTTTTTTGTTTGTTTGGGGTTTTTTGTACCAGGAATCAAAGTCAGGACCTTGTGCTTGCCAGGCAGGTGCTATGCCACTGAGCTACAACCCCAGGTGAAAAGTGTCTGTTTAGTGTATGCTTTGTTGTCTGTAAAAACAGAAGTCTATCCAAAAGCAAGATATTCATTTTTTTAAAGACATGGAAGGCAAGACTTTAAAAATACTAAATCTTTACAGAACTTGTTAACATTCACACTATTAATATCAACATGACAACCTGATTTTGATTTTTTCCCCAAGAATTTGCCCTTGAAACTGAATAACAATTCTTTGGTAGAACCACAGCTCCCAAACCATGCCCCAAGGTAGCCAAGGATACCAAATAGCAAGTCCATGGGGAAAAATAAGATATTTTTTTAAATGTTCAAAGACAGTATGGTGATACTCAACATCTGCTGGAAATCATGTAAACTACTAGAATGAGGATATTGTGGTTTCAACATTAGACTGCTATCCCTTTGATGTCACATCTTTGCAAAGCTGAGTTTTGTGTAGTTGCTATAAGAAATACTGCGTGAATATCAACACAGAACAGGAAGCGAGCTGACTCCAACTGAGTTTAATCTTCGAGAGGCCGTAGAGACCAGCTCATCCATACATCTCATTAGCAAATGACTGTGATTATCTAAAAACATAATTAAAATATTTTTCTTTCAAATTACATGAATGTTTTCAAATGGATGCTAAGTTGTGAAATCATAAATATATAGGATATTTGGATATGAAGCTTTTTTTAAAAGGAATTTTATTTCTTTTAGCCTGAGTTGCTGTGAAACAGTTACTGAGACATTACAAGTAAAGTTAATCAAGAAAGTTTGGAGATGTTGGTTTTTCTCAACTGTAAAGTGAGTCAACTACTACTACTATAAACAAGGGTTATTTGTATGCATGCATTAACATACCAAAAGTATCTGAAATAGTATCAGGCACCTAATTCTAATAATAGCATTACCACCATCTTGCCTCAGACAGTTCTTTTCTTTTTTTTTTTTTATTTAAAGAGAAAAAAGAAAGGACATAAAAAAACAAAGCAATAAAAGGGTACAAGTAATACAGAATTTCAAGAAAAAAATATACAGTAAGAAATCACTAGTTAATAAGTTACATATTGTCTTCCTAGAAACAGCTGTCCAAATTATAAAATTAAAGCATATAAAGTAGACATTCATACAGTGATATTGGAGACAATTCCATTCAATGATCCAACAAAAGCTCAGTAATACGGTTTTCCATCCTACACACTCAAACATCCCTTAGTCCACCTTCCTTTCCTCTCTTTTTTACAATAACAATTACACTTTTTGGGTTTTATTACTCCCACAGTTCTTATTACTTTTTTTGAAGAGAATAAAACCAAACGTGACTAAGCAAAACAGAGTCAGTTAGAACAGAAGGGTGGACATAGCATGTGATACAAAAACAGAATACCAGGTGATCAAAAGTGGTTACCATTGTGAGTTCTTTTCGATAATACTTAGCTGATTCCACGTGAGAAAACAAAAGATATTGTGTGTGTCTCTGTGAATCACAATAAAACTCTGTAACTGCCATCATAATCAGAAGTTTAGATATAGATAGATATAGATATATAGATTTTTTTTGGTACCAAGGATCAAACTCACAACGTTGTACTTGCCAGGCAGGCATTTATGCCACTGAGCTAAATTCCCAGCCCCATAAATTTCTATTTAAATTTACTATCTAGAAAGAGAATAGAAATTATACTCCATTTCTTTATTTATTTCTTAGATGTTTAGCTTTTCTGAGACTGAAAGCTTCATGCAATCGCTTTAACAACTAGAAACATAGAATTAGTCTCCGATCCTTACAGAATTTTTTAAAATAGCTGTCCAAAACTCTTTTTGAACAGGTTTACATCATTTCATAAACAAAGTGTGTTTTTGATTGTTTTCAAGGAAACATCTAATAAAGTTTTTGCCTGCTTCCCAATCTGTATCCCCAGTGTGGCTTTCCACAGCTGCTCTGCTAAGGAGGTGGACAGAGCTAACTTCCTATGTATTGCTGCACCCTTGGTCTTGCTGTACTATAGCAGTCCTCTCAGAAATGCTTTATTTTCTTCCTAACTTCTTATTTTGGTACTTCAGATTTACGGAAGAAGTCTAAAAAATGGTGCAAAATTCCTTTGTACTCCTCACCCAGATTTTCTAAATATTAGTTTATCACCTTTGCCTTAGTATTTATATTTTGTTCATTTTGTTAACATAGTGTCTGACAGGTATCACTCTAAATTTATAATTTTTCTCTTGTAATTAATAAATATTTTGTGGGCATATGTTTTGTGACTATATAAATCTCCAATTTCCCATATAAATGTCACTCACCAATTTTTCCATCCATTAATGATTCAATTGTTACAATGATGGTTGCTGAAGTGATTCTCTAATTCCATTACTTTCTACATTTATTAGTTGACATTCTACCAAAAGCACTCCCTTGCCATTCTCCCACATTTATTTGTTTTTATTTCGTTTATGTATGTATGTATTTTATTCGATGGGTTATGATACAGTACTACCATTATTTATTTTTATGCTTACTTGCCCCAGATTTGGCCAGTAAGAATCTCTGCAGGATGACTCTTGGTTGTTTTGACATGTCCCATATTTCTGAGTACTTTATAACTTAACTGCTTAATGTGTTTAAGGTGTATATTGTACCTTTGTAACCCTAGCACTGGAATTATTTAATTTACCAAGGAGTTCTGGTTCCATTCGCTAGCAAACAGAATTTAGAAACCAGTACACATTTGTTAAGATGTATTGTGTGAAAGACGTATAAGGCCTGGTGACTCAATCTAAACCAAAAACACCTATTTGAACAAATATGTAATGATACAATTGCAAAATTACTTTATTCAAATATTTCTTTGCTAAAATGTTGGGCTAGAGATGTAGCTTAGTGGTAGAACACTTGTCTAGAATATTTAAGGCCCGGAGTTGAATCTTCAGTACTGCAAGAACAAAAGTCCCCTGCCAAACAAAAACGAAAACTTTATCAGGTGTCTACAAAAACTTGAAATGTGTTTTCTTTTGGTAATTTTAAGAATACCAGTAATATGGAAACAAACATGCACAAGGTTATTTATTGCAGTATTATATTTGTATTTGCAAAATAATGGAGACAACCTAAATGCACATGTGAAGGAGAGTGAATAAATTTTGACACAAGTACATAAGAGAATACCATGCATCTAAAATAGAATGAAGGTGTCTGCAAACCAACAGTAAATGGCTTTTAGTATACTGAATATTGTTTACTGAAGAATCTGTAATATGCTACTTTTGGGTAGGAAGAAAAGAAAGTAAGAAAATATACATGTGTATTCTTCTTTGACCAAGAAGAAAAATAAGAAAAACAAATAAAAATTAACAAGTTGAATTACCTACAAGAGGTAGGTGAGAATGAGGTAAAAACTGAATGGAAGAGATAGAGAATATTTCTCTTGAATTCCTAGCCTCGCTTTTGGTTTCACCTCCCTTCTCCTTTTTTCCTCTCCCCTCCCTTGCCTTCCCCTTTTCTTCCCTTTCTTTTCCTTTTTCAGAGCCTCACTATGTGGCCCACGCTAGATTCCAACTCCTGGACTCAAATGATCTTCCTGTCTCAGCCTCCTGAGTTACTGGGACTGTAGGAACATACTACTGTACTAAGCTTATGAATATTTCTTTTCATACTGTTGTATTTCTTGGGACCCACTTAATGTTCCTGTACTATAACACACAAAACACCACTCCCTCAAACTCCAAGAACACAAATGGGAAAATCCTAAAAGGGGAATGTAAGCAAATGAACCTAACAGTTTCAAATGAATAATATAATCACTCTGAAAAGTAGACATATTTGTGTTACTTTATAATCTATATACCTATCTATGCATGTTTCATATATAATTCTGAAAAGAATTTTAAGATGATCTGTAAATGCACATGAAACTTTTGTTTTCCTTCAGCAGGTTTTGTTTGGTAGTAATTTTGAATCTACTTACTGTATATTCTGGGGTTGGAAAAGTAAGTAAATTATATGGAGAATGGGATTCAATTTCTTCACTGAGAGAAAAGAGAGTTACAGATCTGGAAAAGGAAAAGAACAGAATGTTTTAATATATGTGTTGCCGAAGCGAGTACAATAACATTATTTGGGAGTTTTGTTATTTGTGTCTGTTTTCTGGTAGGCTTCCCTCATATAGATCATAGTATTCACCAATACTGCTCTACATTTTAGAAAGATCCATGTTTCATTTGGAAATCTCTATGGTATTTAAGCTTTCACAGATGGAAATCAAAGACAGGAATCAATCTTCTGTTCCATTGCTGGTCTAATCCCTTGTTCATTTGTCTTTTCCACTCTAAAAGCAAAAGAATATCTCTCTGGCACAAACATTAATATCTTATCATATTTGCTTTATTATTTATACTTTGATCATTTTTTCATATGGTACTACAGCTTTATCCATTGTGAATTTATTATTTTCTCTTTGTAATTAATAAATACCTTATGGGACATACTTTGGGACACTAAATATCTTGTTTCAGAAATGTGACAAAGTTTCAGGAAGAGGCCTCAAATTCACAATAGGAGCCATCACTAGATTTCCTTAAATATGGCATTATTTAATTCATCTCATGTCAAAGGGTCTATGCCTAAAGAAAATCAATTTTCAGTCATTACTGCTTTCATCTCAGCATCAATAACATGAAGCAACACAGTGTTAGTCCAAAAGCTGAAGCTCTGAAATCACACAAATCAGGTTTGCTATCCAGCACAGCTACTTACTACCTAGACAGTATTCTTGAGCCTTAGTTACTTTCTCAGAAAAAAAAATACCAGCTTCCAAGACTTGTTTCACATCTCACTGAGTTCATATAGTCTGAAAAGTACCCAAAACTCTGTGCAGCACACAGGAGGTATAAATGCTGGATATCAGTTAATAACAATGAAGATAGTGTTGTAGTTTTGAATCCTGATGAAATTTATTTCTTGGGTACAGACATTCTACCATATTATATATGTATATTGTTGATCCAGCCTTAGGTCAGAGTTGATTTAAAAACAGAAAAGCCCACCCCACACTTTCTCTCCAGGAAATTAAACTGTGGGATAGATGGACCCACATTCATGTCAGCTCTACTTTCGTGCAGACTGTCCACTTAGAGGATTAGTCAAATGACTCCAGAGGCCTTTATTCTGTTAAGACTGGAGTGCCACCGTGAGGTCAGCTTTGGTGCTCACAATATTTCCAGGAATTCTATCCTGCTACAAGAGTATTTGAGTAGTCATTGTTTACCTTGTATTTTACTAACATTAAAGCCTGCAAAGCACAGCCTATTGACTCTTAACATAAGTATGAAAAGAATAAGAATTTGTATTTTTTAAGCACTTGAATTAAATTTTTAAAGCACTAGACTATTAGTGTATCTTGAGAATCTGATTTTTAAAACAGCCTTTAAGAAATGAGGCTTTTGTCTCACTGTGTGAACAGCTGCTGGGTTTATCTACAGCCAATCATCCTCTCCTCAGTTTAGATTTAATAAAGGCTCCAGAGGAATGGTTCAGAAGTGTCTTTTCACCTTTCTGGAAGAAATAATAATATCAGTTTTCAAATGACCATTAGAAACTGCATTCAGGTATACCACAAATCTCTATCTTGATTTATTCAGTATTAAATTTATTACATTGCCCTCATACAATATTCTCTACTTCCATATGTATCTTCCCCAGTCACCTAACTTTGAGACCTGGGAATAATTCTTGATTTTTCCCTCTTCTCATCCTCCCAAATCCAGTCACATTACCTCCTCAATGTGCTTTAGATCTCCTCCTTTATACTTCTCCCAGTGCTCCATCCTTCTTTTGTCAGTAGGGTACTATTACAATGTTCTAGTCTTCCTGACTTTGACATGCCTCCCTTCATGGTGCTGTAATCTTTGAAAAATTATAAAATGTTTGTAACATTACATTGAGTGTTTATTGCATCCTTAAATGGTTCTCTGTCTTTCACAAGCAAGTGCCTGCCACCTGGCCAACTCCAAACTTTGTTGCATTCTCACTTCCAGCCTTGTTAAACCACTAGTAGATCCTCAAACACAACAGGCTGAGCCTATGCCTCCTTATGTATGTTGCTGCTGTTCTCTCTGCTTAAATACCTTTAGCATCCTTGTCTATAACATCATATTTTAAGGCTATGCCAACTTTATCTTCTCCAGAAAACCTTTCCTAATTTTCAATAAAGTCCACCCTATCCTTCTACCTCACAGTGATTACTTCCTCAATACCTAGAACTTATCCTTCTGTGCCTGGAGAATTTTCTTGTTCTGTTGAAAACTTCCCTACCCCTAAGCTACTTGTGGACTCCGTCTAATTCATCTCAGCTTCCTTAGGCCCTGGTCTGTGATGGATACACTGTAAAAACACCACCACCACCACCAAAAAATCTGTTGAATGATAAGCAGGGAGAGGGGAGGAAAATATTTTCCAAAACACACTTTTAGAGCCTAGGGTGATCACTCTGTTCATAACAACAGGCTATCCCAACCAGCTTCCACTGCAGTGTCAGAGACTCTGTGTTCCCACTCGCTACACTTGAGAAGCCATGTGTGTCTACCAGTCAGACCATACTAGTTTTTGGAGAAATTCCAGTTATACAGACCCATGATTCAATTTCTTCACCACCTTTATTGACAATGTTTTTAAATAGTTCTGTCTTGTTTTTTTCCCCGAGAGGAAATAGTCCCTTAATGAGTCAACTAGACACTGTCAAGTCAGAAAATGGTATAATTTCTACTGGTCTTCATTCATTCATTTAGCCAAAATTTATTACAAAGTACCAAAGCAAAAGATACATAGTCCCTGTTCTAAATTTATAAGGTAGGAAGTTCTAGATGTCTTTATTTTACTTCATTAATTCTGCATGGTTTATGACAAATTAGTATGAAATCAGCTCTACGCTAAGCAACTGTAATAGGAAGATAAATGAAACGCAGCTCAAGCCACTGAAAAGATCAAGGTCTGTGGACAAATGTGGAAATATAACTGCAGTGCCATAAGAGACAAAACTGAGGTGTTTAAAAGGTAGAATAAAGACTCAAAAAAATGTGGACAAGGAAAAACATTTAGTATAAGCTTCACCAAGGAAAGGACAGATGAAATCAGTTTTGCTAGCAAAGGAAAAGGAGAGAGGATAGTCAAAAAAAAAGAAAAGAAAAGAAAAATGTGCACACAGGTTCAGAGTAAAAAGAAGCAAATCTGAAATGAGAAAACAGAAGTTGAGTGAATACAAGTAACTTACCCAGTGTCACATAGTTGGCAACAGGGCTGGGAGTTGAACCTAAGCTGAAGTTCTTTATAGAAGGGTCATATTTCTTTAGCATCAAAACACACACAAAAAGTTTGAGAACCACTTCTCAAGGTTTGGCATGTAAGTCACAGGAACGCAGACCATGTTCAGTAGAAGAGGGGGAATCACAAAATTTTTTTAAAAACAGATCTCATTGATCACATTTGGGCTTTAGAAATACAATTCTACTACTGATTCTTAACTGAATTCAGAATCATTTGAGAAACTTTCTAAAATTTGGCCAGGTAGCCATGTTGGAACAATTAAGCCAGAATTTCTGGAGGTAGTACAGATTTTTTTTTTAAAGTTTATCAGGGGGTGCTAAAATTTCCTTAGGGTCAAGGGCTATCACTCTAAGGACTGAAAGAAGGAAAGGACTCTTATTTATTGTTACTAATATATTTGCAATTTTGTTCTCAATGCCTGAGCTACATAGTGAGCTCAAGGCTAGCCTAAACTACATAGCAAGATCCTATCTCAAAACAAGCAAAAGACAATATATATGTACCCAAAACATGCAAAAAAAAGTCATATCAAAAATCTAACTTTAACATATAAGCTTTTTAACTATATAAATACACACATACACACACACACACACACACACACATATATATATATATATATATATATATCTTGGATTGTGAGTAACCTATTTAATGAGTGTTCTGCAAGACAAGCAAACAATTCTAATAAATTTTTAACTTGATAAACATGTTTTGCAATTTGAGTAGTATGTGAAAGTATTCTTCTACAATAACCCTCCTCTGGCTTGTCTTCCATAGACTGCCCATGAAGGCTTTCAAAGATAGGTGCAGATTAAGTTGTTTTTTAAGTTCTTCTTTATACTTTTTATTTTCTTCTTTTTACTACAATACACCATTGTAATCATTTTTATATGAATATTTTTGGATTGTGGAACAAATCACCTGAGTTTCCCGTATTTCTTATGGAGAAATCTGCTTTGACGTACAAGTGCTCTGGATTATAAGCATGTTTCTGGAACAAACTATGTTTGTAAACCAAGGGTTTACTATCTACTGACAGATCAATTCATTGATAGACAGATTCCTTATCTATCTCAATCATTTTGAGCCTTGTATGGTGAACAATAGCATTTCTACAAGCTTTCAAAATAGATGCAATCTTATGATCCTCACTTTTACTAACAAGAAAACTAATGCACAGCTAAGTAAAATAACCCAGCTGAAATCCTCAAATTATTTAATGACATATGCTGAATTCAGCATAAATCTTTTTAACATCCTAAACTCATGTTCCTTCCATTATACACCACAGTCTATGAGCCTCACTTAATTCTCACACCAGTTCCAAAGCAGGTATTTATTTTACAAATGAAGATATTAGTCCCAAAAAGGTTAAATTTGACCAAGCCACAGCTAACAAAGAGGACAGGGGAGATTCAAACCCAGCTCTAATTCCAAGACCATATTTATTAAGGTAAGGGATATGGCACATTTCCAATATGCAATATAATCCTTTCCTCTGAAAAGAAGAAAGCAAGTTGGGTCATTAATATAATGCATAGGACTCTTCCTTACAGAAAAACCTTTCAGTAGGGGTTTCCTTTTCCTTCACAGGTCCTAGGACACCTCACCTCTGTAGAACCATCAACTCAAAGGGACTTTTATTGGAGGGGAAGGGCAAGCATAATCTGCCATATATTTACATGACCACCCTGAGTTCCCTTCCCACTCCTATCAAACAGCTGAATCATGCTAATTGTCTCTTTTTAAATTAATTATCCTAAACTTGAACATAATGTTAAATGAAAAAGTAAGACACACAAGCTCAAATAGCACCTTGTTTCTCTTATATGAGAAATTATGTATATGGGGAAGGGGAGAGGTGGGAGAAGGAGAGAAGACAGACAAATAGAAAGTAGGGAGAAATTCAAATACTTCCCCAAATACATACTTTAATATTTCAAAAAAATTTCAATACATGTGAATTTATTTCGTCTATACCAGTTTATCTTAATTCATTGGAGACATACAGAGAAAGACAGAGAGATAAGAAAAAAGAGGGAATAGGGACTGAATCTGAGAGAACAGTCAATTCACATCCCCTATCTCATGCTTACTCCACACTTGCTCTCTTTAGATGTAAAGGAATTATGTACTTGTAATCACTCTCTTTGAGATATACATATATATATATATAAAACACAATATTATGAGTTTGAAAGTTTATACAATGTTATTCCACTGTACCATTTGTTTTTTAAAGAGAAAAAGTAAAAACAACAATAAAAGTTTCAAAACAGGTTAGAGTTACAATAATTAATATATTGCGTATTGTTGTCTTTGTAGTAGTTACTCAGAGTACAAGATATAGGCATGATATCTTGTCCGAACAATATTAGCACTGTACCATTTATATGTATTTATTTCTCCAGCCTTGACCTTTTTTTATGAGCTTCAGACTCATAGAACCAACCACCTACTTGGACATTGCCACTTAAAGTCAAGTATCTTAATGTGTAAATAACATAACAATTCTACTCTCCATTCAAACCAGACAATAACGTAAGTTACTTGTGATTACCCCTTTTCCTTCACCTGTGCATGGAACCTACCAGGTATATTAAGCTTTGCCCTCAAATTATATTGCAAATCTATTCATTCATACAGATACCAGTCTAAACTAAACTATCATCATTTCTACTCTGATACTCGTCTCCATGTTTCTATCCAGGCTTTCTGTGTCCATTCTCCACAGGGCCAGCGTAACTTTTTCTGAAATATTCATTCATTTATCAAACTTTGTTTTGAGCACGAACAGCAGGTGTGTCTAACTGGTGCCCTGGGTTTTGGATAGGCCTCTGTTACAATAAAAAAATTTTAAAATAAAGATGTGTCACATACATTAACTACATTATATATTTTATATGCGGCCCAAGACAATTCCTCTTCATTCAGTGCAGCTCAAATCAGGCAGGTCAGCAGACCACGGGTGTGGAGAAACTAGAGTTAGGTGAGTGAAGCAAAGTAGATCGCCATACTCAAGCAATTCGGAAGCAAAATACTCTTGTAGCACAAATGCAATGAAGAAAATTAAAAAATGTGCTAAACTAAATCATGTTGCTCCCGCCATAAAAAATTTTTGAACAGTTTCCTAGCGTGTTTAGATCACAGTTCAAATTCGTGACCTTGTTACGTTTTGAGCCTGCTTGTTCCTCCAGCCTTACCCTTACCACTCGCCCTCACAGCACCGTGCCCCCACCGTCATCTCAGCTTCCTTCTATTCCCAGTGTTCCAAATGCTTTCCATTCTTCAGTCACGTTCCCTCTTTCTGTAATGCTGTCTCCAAATCCTTGAAAGCTCCAATACCGCCAATGCAGACTGCACTTGACTAACGTAACTAAAAGCATCCCACTTCCTTCTCTATACAGCACACCTTTCTGCATCATAGTCGGTCCCCACTATAATGTAAGCTTCCTTAGGAAAGGAATCTTGGATAGCTCACTAAACTATCCCTAAAAGCCTAGAACAGCGCCTGACATAAGAAGATTATCGATATTTTTTGAAGGAATTTAATAATAATTGATTACAAGCCAATAGAACGCCTCGCCTCAAGTGACAGCCAGGTCCCACCTCCGCGAGCCTGTTCCGTTCATGCTCTGCGTTGAAGCGGTCGGGGAAGGAAGTCGTCTGCGCAGGCGCTCCGAGGCCGCCAGGGCTTCTGGGTAAAAATGGATGTTCACGATTTGTTTCGCCGGCTCGGCGCTGGGGCCAAATTTGATGTAAAACGGTTCTCGGCCGACGCAGCTCGATTTCAGGTACTTTGCGCAGGGAAATGAGGCCCGAAGAAGGAGCAGGATCCCGAAAGTAAGCTGGCAGCTGAGCGCAGCCAGCGTTCTTGGAGACCCCATGGCCTGCCTTTGACCACCTTTGAGGATTTCCCCGTCTTTAGGGGTCAGCTTGCTACTCAGACTTAACCAGGCGCAGGACTTATACGGGACTCTTTTCAGAACCCTTGATAGGTTGAGTTGAATTTAGCACGGAAAATCTCTTTTCCTACCTCTTCGTTTAACCAAAACAATTTGGTTCTTTCAAAAGGAAATTTCTCCGAAACTTGTATAAAGGAATTTCGAAAACAAAAGTGGAGAAAACAGGTTATTTTTCTTTATCGTCTACCCAGGTTTGATTTGGTATACATATAGTTACACTGCACGTGGTTCTTTGTATTGCACCAGTCCGGCGTTTAAGTAATCAGTGAGAAGAGCCGCTTTACACGTGGGCGATCTTATATATAGGAAAGTAGTGAGAATCAAAAGATGTCAGTTGAGGCTCAGTTGTGGGAAATGTTGAATGTCAACGTTGTTATAAGAGAATAGAAGTGGTTGTTGTTGGGGGGGGGTTGTGCTACGTATATGTTTCTTCTGACTGCATTACAGTGTAATTCTTAAAAAAGAGTTTAAAGTCTGGAACCACATCGTTAGAGTCGTAATGCTCAGTTTGCCAGCTGATAATTTTGAAGTCTTGGTATTACTTCCTAGTACCTCGATTTTTCTCATCGGTAGTACTGCTATTTACCTTGTAGGTTTGCTGTGAGGATGAGGAGTTTGATATCTATATGAACATGCTTAGAAACGTGCTTGACATATAGTAGGCACATATAAGCTTTCATTGTTAGTATAATTATTGTTACTGTTGTGAGATCAGGAAAGGTGTCATTTTAGATTCCATTTATCCAAATGTGATTAACAACTTGACAGATATTTGGTGTAAAGGTAAAAAAAAGGGGAGGGGGGAGTCATTAAGACCCATTTCCTCACTAATAGTTCTGCTCAGAGGGAAACATTGCTATTTTGTCAATAAATTTTGTTTTTAATTTTTTGGATTTTAGGTAGGAAAAAGAAAACATGACTCTGATTCTTCAGAGGTACTGCAGAGTCTTGACTTCTTTGGAAACAAGAAGTCTGTCCCAGGTGAGTGTACTGCAACACTGACACACCAGGAGCTGCAGAATGAAGACAAAAAAGAAAGCAAGAGGGAGTCAAACAAGAAAAAGAGGAAAAAGAGAATTTCAGGTTAGTGTTGAATTTCTGTGTATTTTTTCTGTTTAACGTTTCTGTTATAAAACAATCTGAGCTTGTAAGTCATACAGTATATAGCCATTCGTCAGTTGGTGAATGTGAATATATATACACATCTCCGTTTGTAGAGGTGCTATTAATGCTGTAGACTAGCATTCCAAAAGCAGAGAATACTTGATGAAAGGCTATGCACACATTTTTTCAACAAATACCACAAGATGATTTTCCATACCTTTATCAGTCCTGGATATTACTAGTCTTAAATTTTTTGCAAGTTTAGTGAATGAAACTACTTTTTATTTGTATTTCCTTGAGCAGGTGTGTGAGCATCTCATAATGTTTTATTAGACAAATAGTATCTTTATTTTTTTGTTGTATCTATTGTTTCCTAGCCATCTGTCTTTTTATTTATAAAGTAAATAGTTAAATTGTACATTGATAACAAATACATTTCCTTCCCACTTTATTTCCAGTCCCCTATTTCTCCAGAGGCAACCAGTGTTAATCAGTTTCTATTGTGTTTTTCTAGAGACAGTTTATTCACATATATTAGTGCATCCCTTAAAAACAATATGCTATATTACTGGGGGCATAGCTCAGGGGCACAGAACATACCTAGCAAATGTGAGGTCATGAGTTCAGTTTCTGGTACCAAAAATAAAACACACACACACACAAAATGCTGTATTTTCATATAATTACATATTCTATTAACATGAGTCCTTTGTATATATTTCCTATTGCGAAGCTTTCTTCCCACACCTTTTTCTTTCTTAAACAAACCAGATTTTTAAAAAATTTTTTTGAGGCAAGGTCTCACTATGTGGTCCAAGCTTGCCTTGAAGTCACTGTGTAACCCAGGCTGGTCAAACTCTCAGTGATCCTCATGTTTCAGCCTCCCAAGTGCTGAGTTTCTAGGTGTGCACTACCATACCTGGCAATGTTTTGAATATTAAAATAAAAATTCTACTTCACAAAGACAGAAAATTGAAATCTATGGTACAATAGAAATCATGAAACAATATTCATACAGTGACTCTACAGTGATGTATTTTGGAGGTTGGAATCAGTAGGTGAGATACACTCCTGTTTGTTTTTTCATAACATAGTATCCTATTGTACATTCCATAACTGAATTAAAAGGCTAGGGATATAGTTTAGAAATAGAGTACATATGTAGCATGTAGTGGCCCTGGGTCAATCCCTGATATCCTGCCATCCCTGTCTACGATGAACATTTAGTTTGTTCTTACACTTCTGCTGTTGTATTACAATAAATGTTTCTATTTATGTTCCTACATGTGAGTATATATATCCAATAAATCCTTGTAAGTGGAATTGCAGAGTGAACAAATAGATTTAAATTTAGATATTATAGAATTATCTACCAGAAACATTGTTATTAATAGGAAGTACACTATTCTGTTCATTGCAGTACAGTGCAGTATGTCATACAATACAGAGATGGTCCATAATCGATTTGACAGTTCTGATGGATACTTACTTTATTTTACTGTTATAATGAAAAAGTCATTCTCCTGATCTGACTGCAGGGTGGTTGATAACACTTTTCCCCATGATGAGAAAAATATGACACAAATTTAGGAAAACAATTTAAATGTTAGGCAGGTAAGTACTACAGCTGTTTAGCAACAAATGGGTACAGACCATAGGCTGTGACATATATAGTCATAAATCTGTTTTGAATTGGAAAGTTCAAGATATGATTTAGTGATGATTTGGATCTAGTAGTATCAACTGTCTTACAAAGAGAACATACCTTTTTAAAATTTTTCTTTGTTATACTCAGCAGCAATGTATAAAAACTATTCTTTCTATAAATTTTCGCTTTGTATATTTTGTAGCTTTTTTGTACTTAATTCATCAATTTCTTGGTATACCTTATGCATTAAGGTAGTCGGCTCTATGTCTAGCATATTCATCCAAATTTTTAAAATATATTTGCAATTTGCTGTGTTTTTTGTTTGTTTTGTTTTGTTTTGGGGTTTTTTGCCATTTTATAAGTTGAATCTGCTTTTTTCTGTACAGCTTCCTCCCCTTTGGCGGAGCAAAGAACTTCTGGCATTTTTTTCTTCTATGTTTATTTGAAGCTTCATTTTGTTATACTGAAATCTTTGATTCCGTAGAATTTTATCTGATAAAGGAGTGAACAGAAAACTAAGCTTATTTTTTCCCCAAGTGATTATCCTAATGCTGGATCTTGATAATCTCTTTTATCTATTGAATTTAATTGCAACTTCTATAGTAAACTTATTTTCTGTATACATTCAGGTCTATCTCTGGACTCTGTTCTGACTCATTGATTGTATGCTTGTGTATTCATATACCAATTCCAGCTCATTTTATTTACTGTGACTTTGTAATATGAGAAAAAAATATCGAGTAGAGTGGTAGTGCGTATCATGTTTAGTGATTGGGAAACTTATTTTTTCCTCAGAGTAATCTCAGTTTATATTCCAGCAGGCTTGTGTTTTGAGTTTTTTTCCCATAGAAATTGAAAGAGAACAAGATTTAGCTGAATGTGATGGTGCATGTCTATAATCCCAGCACTCATGAGGCTAAGGCAGGAGGATTGCTGGGAATTTTAAGACCAGCCTGAGCTACGTAGTGAGTTGAAGGCAAGCTTGAATTACATAGGAGACTCTGCCTCAAGCAAAACAAAACAAGACTTACTATAAAGTTACACTAACCAAGGTAGTTTGTTTCCAGAGAGGTAACTATAAAGAGCAAATAAGAGTCCATACAGTAGTACCTACATATGAACAGTTAGTATTCAGTAAAGGTGTTCAAGCATTTCAATAGGGAAAGAAAGGTTTTTTGAACAAATTGTTCAGGATTTGTATGGGAGGGGAAAAGTGTACACAAAGTGTTATTTTTCGATTACCCCCAAAATTAACTTGAAGTGACTCAGACTAAAGTATAAAATCTAAAATTATAAAATATCAAGAAGAGAACAGAAAAAAAATCTGTTGTAACCTTATATGCAGACATTTTTTTAGACCACAAGAAACAAACAAAAGCTACAAATTATAAAGGAAAAAATTAGTATCTTGGACTTCCTTAGAATTAAAATTTGTTGCTCCTCACAGCAGCGGTAAGAGAGTATGTAGCGGGGCTGGGGATTTAGCTTAGTGGCATAAGCACCTGCCTTGCAAGCAGGCAGTCATGAGTTCGATCCCTGGTACCGATAAAAACGAAAAAGACAAAAAAAAAAAAAAAAAAAAAGAGTATGTAGCTTAGTGATAAAGAGCCTGCCAAGGAGATGTGAGGCTTGGATTTAATCCCTGACCCAAAAACAAAACAAAAAAAAACCTTGTTAAAAGCCAAGTATGTTGACACACACCTATAATCCTAGCACTCTGGAAGACCTACACAAGAAGATTGCAATTTCAAGCCCAACCTGGACAACTTATCAATTTAGCAAGAGCCTGTCTCAAAATAAAATAATGAAAAGGGCTGGAGATGAGGCTAGTAAAGGCTCTGGATTCTATTTCCAGAACTGGAACTAGGGAAATAGGGGTGGGCAATAAGAAAATAAAGATAGCCACAGTCAGGGAAAAATACTTGTAACTGTGTCAAACACTTGTATCCACTCACTAGAGAAGATGGGAGACTAGAAGACTTGAAGACTAGAGAAAGTGTATGCATGGTAATAAGCACATGAAAGATACTCATCATTAATCATCAGGCCGATTTAGACTATAATACTACCACATACTCATTAGAATGGCTAACAATAACAAGACTGACTATACCAAGTGTTGACAAGAATGTATAAAAACAGTTTCACACTTGATGGTAAAATGATGTAACCACTTTGGAAAATTGTGGGTTTTTTTTTTTTTTTTTTTTTTTTTTTTTTTTTTGTCTTTTTCCTTTTTATTGGTACCAGGGATTGAACTCACAACTGCCTGCTCGCAAGGCAGGCGCTTATGCCGCTGAGCTACATCCCCAGCCCCCAAATTGTGGGGTTTTTAAGTTAAACATGTATCCATGATATTTCAGTTATCTCCTACATACTTACCCAAGAGAAAAGAAAGCTTGTTTTAAGGAAAACTTACACTCATGTTTATAGCAACTGTATTTGTAGTGTAGCTCCAATTGGAAATGATCCAAATATCCTTCTGTAGGCTAAGGATAAACAAACTATATGTCCATATAGCAGAGTACTATACTCCCTAATAGTAAATGTTAAGTCTCAAAATGACTGTCCTGATTGAAAGAAGCCAGACTATAAATTAGTACATATATATGATTCCACTTACATAAAATTCCAGAAGGGGCAAAGTGATCTGTAATAACAGAATTAGATTGGAGGTTATCTAGGAATGGAGTGATGAATTTCAAGAAGCCACAAGGAAATTTAGGGGGTAGAGAAAGCAACTTTTAATGTGATGGTAGCTTAATGTATATATTATATATGTATGATATGTAGAATGTATATATAATACATGTATAATATATATATATCAAAAAGCATCAGATTATATACTTGGTTTTTGTTGTACTGAATATTGAACCTAGTGCCTGGTACATGTTAGACAAGTGCTTTGCCATTGAGCTATGGTCTCAGGCCCCAGTATATACTTTAAAATATATGCAATTTATTGTATGTGTTATAGCTCATTGAATTTGAAAAAAAATTTTTTTTTTAATTCCAATAGAACTGTTTTCTCTGTTTTTTTAAATTCCAGTAGAACTCTTTAGCTCAGTGGCAATAAGCACCTGCCTGGCAAGCATAAGGTCGTGAGTTCGATCCCCAGTACCTCCAAAAAAAACTGTTTCTCATTACTCTTGGACTATTTTAGGTTATTCTTACATATTTCTTCTTCCATAAAAATATTAAAGTTATCTGGTCCAGTCATCAGAACAATCCTGTCTACTTTTAATTGAATGAGTACAATTTATGGACATTGGGGAATTGCTCTCCTTACCTTATTTAGTAGCCTTGAGCACTGTATTTTGTTCACTGCTATTGTAAGTGAAATCTTTTTCATTCTATTTATTTTCTAGCTGACTTTTTGAATATAAAGAAGCTGGCAATATTATTGTTTATGTAGTTTTTTAATTAACCCTCCATAGTTTTCAGATGTACAGTTACATAATATAACTGAAACTGTCAAAGGGAAGAGAGTGAGCTTCAGAACTCTGAGTGAGCCAGCACAATAGGCCTGTTTCTAGATTTTCTACATCTCATTACTTTCTCTCACCTCATTGCATAAGATAGTACTTTTTCTTGTTTCGTATGAAAGTGTGGCCTATTTGGTATACTCAAACTGTCATGCTGAAAATCTTTTGATCTGTAAAAATGTATTTTAGAAATTACTTCTCAAGAAGAAGGTACTACTATACAGTGGACGTCATCTGTGGAAGCACAGATTGAAGATAAAAAAGTTAAAGGAGAAAATAAACTAACTTCAGAGAAGTTGGAACATCTCCGAAAGGAAAAGGTTAGAAAACTGTCTTAACTCCAAAAGTATATATTTTTCTGACCTACTGACTTTTTCATGGGACTTGAATAGTTCTGTTGGTAAAGTGAATATAGTTTTGTTAAGATAGAATTACATCTGTTTAGGTTTTACTTCAGTAAAAATTTAAAGTGGGTATTTGTACTGTGGCTAGGTATAACTGAAGATATATAGATAGAAAGAACTCTGTGTGTGTGTGTGTGTGTGTGTGTGTGTGTGTGTGTGTGTGTAGTAATTCTTACCCTGTTCAAATTTAAAGTAATAATATGTTTAGAAAAAAGTTTTTAAAATTTCTTAATGTCTCTTTGGTAAACATAAAATTTAGCTCCTATTCTTTGTCACTGGTTTGGAAAGATTTCCTATTAGGGATTAGAAGGGTAGAATTTTTAAGAAACCTATCTTATAGCTTAGAAATGAGAATCAAATATATACTAACAACAAAGACATCCTAGTCATGTGTGCTATATACCTGCCATGTTGCTGATGGAAAAGTGTGTGCAGCTCATTTCAGATACCACGGTGACGTGCTGTAATAACCCCCAAACCAGACTGTGGCTGTCTCTCAGCCAAAGAATGAGGAAGCAAACCAAATTACTGCCACTAAGCTCTACTGTATTTCTTTGTTTGTTTACTTACTTGTTTTTTGTTTTCTAAAACAGAGACTTGCTATGTAGCTCAGGCTGGCCTTGAACTCACTATGTAGCCAAGTTCATGGCAATCCTGATGGCAGTGCCTCCTCAGTACTAGGATTACACTGTGCCACTGTGCCCAGCTTTCCGCTTTTGGTTTCTGTAAGGAAAGTTGTTTTGTTTTCTAAAACATTGGCACTTGCACGTTAGGCACCACATGAACAAAAAGATGGATTCACTGACCATCCTCTTTTTGTTTTTGTATGTGTGAATATGTCAGTTTTGACTGTGACAGCAATAATTAGTATGAATAACACATTACTTATTGCAGCAACACATGAAGAAAGCCTAGATACGTTTTGGTTTCTTTGAAGATCATCTGTTTATGACATGAAATACACTTACTATCTATTGCTTAGGAGCTTGGATTTAACCAGAACATTTCATATACCACTGTACTTATCCAGAAACTGTTACTATTGTTTTAGAGCACCTGAGAATAAATGTATTTATTGGACCGTATCCAATGGTGGCCCGTTTGTTTTCTTTTTCAGATAAATTTCTTCCGAAATAAACACAAAATTCATGTTCAAGGAACTGATCTTCCTGATCCAATTGCTACATTTCAGCAGCTTGACCAGGAGTATAAAATTAATTCTCGACTGCTTCAGAACATTCTAGATGCAGGCTTCAATGTGCCAACTCCAATCCAAATGCAAGCCATTCCAGTTATGCTGCATGTGAGTAGGAAGGTGTAGGGTGCCTGCAGCATCCCTTTCTCTGTGTAGTTGCTCATTTTCTTCCCTCTCTCACCATCCTCTTTTCCACCTTTTCTCCCTTGTTAAAATCCTCTTGCAAGCCGGGCATGGTGGCTCACGCCTGTAATCCCAACACTCAGGAGGCTGAGGTGGGAGCATCATTGTGAGTTCCAGACCAGCCTGGGCTACAAAGTGAGCTCAAGGCCAGCCTGAACTGCATTAGCGAAACCCCGTCTCAAAAAAGACAAAAAAAAAAAAAAAAAAAAATCCTCTTGCTTTTAAAGGTCCATGTCAAATACCTGTGTTTATAAAACTTAATTACTACACCTATAACTGATCTTCCTCCTTTATCAGTACTGTTTCCCCACCCACCAGTTCTCCATGGTTCTTATAGTATGTTCTTTTTCTTAGAACATTTAAGCCCTCTGAGGATGGGGGCTATGTTTTGTCTTTTTATTCTTCATTTAGTTCAGAGTGCTCAGAAACTGTTTCAGAAATACAGGTACTTTCTAAAATTTTTTTATATAACCCAACTTAGTTTCTTTCCCAGTACTTTTTATTATTGAAGTGTACTTTACTTCAATAAAATACACAGATTTTATGAGATCCAGCCATTACCACTCCAATGAAAATGCAAAACATTTTTTCTTCCCCCATAAAATTTTGTACCCTTTCCATTCTGTCCCCACTGCACTGCTTCTTAGAGGCAATACTGTTCCAAGTTCTGGTTCCTGTATTTGTTTATCTCTTCTAGAATTTCAGATACAATCATTATTTAATCTAATATTTTGGGGTTCTTTTATTTTACATTCTCTGATTTCATCCTTAATGCATATATTGGAAGTTTGTTTCTGAATAGTATATCCTGTTGGATAAATATGTCACAGTTTGTTTATCTACCCACCTGTTAAGAGAGCTAAATAGGGTTTTTTGAGGGGAATGCTTTTTTTTGGTACAGGGGATTGAACTCATGACCTTGCACTTGCCAGGCTGGGGATGATTTTTTGAGATAGGGTATAGTTCAGGCTGGTCTGGAAGTCATGGCAGTTCTCTTGCCTCAGTCTCCCAAGTGCTGAGATTATAGCCATGCTTCGCCGTGCCTAATTTAATATTTGAAATAAAATTTTCTGAGTTTTCTTTTGTAACAATGAGAGTTGACTTGTATCCTCCACTTAACAAAGCTGGCTTTAGGATTACCATTAGGGTTAGTGTTAGGGTTGTATGAATGTATTCTCATTATCATAACCAGAGAGTTTGAGTTACCTTTTCATCCATTTTGTCTTTCAATGAGTCCATTCTCGGTCACACGAGAATAAATTCATATATTTGAATGGTAAGTATTAACTCACAGATTGATAAGCTCTACTTAACATTGTTTCTGTCATTCATTTAAAACTCCTAGTGACTTATTTGAAGATTATCACCTATAAATTATTCTGTCACTCAGGTCATTGCCACTCTTTATTTTTAACCTGTAGTCTTTTGTTGTTTAACAGACTCTTCCCTAGGCATTGAGCTATATAATAGATACCAGGATAAAAAGTTGATTTTTTGATTTTGCTTTTAAACCGTTTAGTGTAAAAGGAAAACTAATGGGTGTAATTCTTTTCGAATTGTAGTTGTCAGCATTGTTCGCCCATTTGGGTGACTTCAGCAACAGTGCTCAGAAGTTTGACTGGCAAGGATGGAAAAGCAAATACGGGAGAATTTAGCAAATTAGATAGAACTTGAACAACTGGATTAATTAGATTATTTGTATGGACGGTAGCATTATTTGACCATGAAAACTGAAAACTTTATGTACTTTTCCTTGTATTTACTATACTCTTGTGTTTTTAGGGTCGGGAACTTCTGGCTTCTGCTCCTACAGGATCTGGAAAGACTTTAGCTTTTAGCATTCCCATTTTAATGCAGCTGAAACAGCCCACAAATAAAGGCTTCAGAGCCCTGATTATTTCCCCAACAAGAGAACTTGCCAGCCAGGTATGGCTTATAGCTATTAAGCTGACACATTTAATGTTTGCTTCAGTAATCTTTCTTTGAAGTTATTTAAAAAGAGCTAACTGGAATTAGTCTTTTGTCGTCTGTCCTAGTTAAATATTCTGTACATTGTTACGAATATTATTACATGTGAGCCAGTGCTTTTAATTCTTTCTATGTTTTTCTAAAACATTGTTTTAACACTTATATTACTTTGGTAAATGCTCAAAAAATCCTTTAGATTGAAAAACTATAGTGATACTTTCTAAAATTTAGTTTTCTCACTTAGAAAAATTAAACCTTACCTCAGTTTTTAAAAAAGTAAAACCAAATCAAAGGAAAAATAAAGTTGTACAGTGATCTGTTCCACCCTCCCACTATGCTTAATACAAAATACATGCTAAGTTTAAGGTAGTGTTACAATACCAGTGTATTCCTGAAAGCAATGTATAATTCCTGAAAGAGCCTTGCTTTTATATTTTGGAAGTAGTTTACCAGGTCTTTGAAGTAACTGCTGTGTCGTATTAGGCTTTTGACATTCTTAAATGCTGACACCTCAGATTAAACTACAGATCATTACAGTTTTGAAACAAAAGTCATGTGTTGGTAATAGATATACTAATAATGTAAAAAAAAAAAAAAGCTGTACATTTTTATCAAGTATCTTTGCAATTCATGTTTTTAGCATTTTCTATTTTAGATTCACCGAGAATTAATTAAAATCTCTGAAGGAACGGGATTTAGGATACACATGATCCACAAAGCAGCAGAGGCAGCCAAGAAATTTGGACCTAAATCGTCTAAGAAGTTCGGTAAGAAATTTATGCTTGGCTGTGTGTGGTGGTGAACCCCTGTAATCCCAGTCCCTTGGGCGGATGAGGCAGGAGGATCACTGCATGTTTGAGGCCATCTTAGGTTATGGAGTGAGTTCAAGGCCAGCCTCGACTACATAGTAATACCCTGTCTTAAAAAAAACAAATAAAAGAAATGTAAAGAATTTGGAAATTATAAATACCCTAATTGTGACATAAGAGTTTAGTCATGTACATAATTTTTGTTTTGTTTTGTTTTGTTTTGTCTTTTTCCTTTTTTATCAGCACCAGGGATCCAACTCACAACCACCTGCTTGCAAGGCAGGTGCTTATGCCACAAAGCTAAATCCCCAGCCCCAGTTAGTTTTATTTTTAAAGAAGCAAAACAAGATTCCCTCTATACCGTTCCCAGTAACTATATAAATATAGACCAGTGGTGAGATGACTTTGCCCATTACCCTCTATCACAGTGACAATTAGCAATAGCAGTTTTGCCAAGAAATTTGGCAATTTTGCCAGTTATTGAAACTAGAGAGGGGAGTCAGTAGCAATATAATGAGAAGAAGACAGAGATACTGTTAAACATCCTACAATGCCTGAGGTAGCCCTCTCCAAATACCAGTTTTCTAGCCCAAAATATCAACAGTGCTGACACTGGAAAACCCTGCTTTATGCCAGTGATTCTTAATCTGCCATGGAGTTATTTCAGCTTACAAGAATGATTACTTTCTCATATCCTTATACTAGCCAGAGAATACCTTCTTTGCCTAGTATTGAAGATCAAATCCCAGAGTCCTTACACATGCTAGGCAAGACAAGAGCTGTATCACTGAGCTATATCCCCAGATCATTTTACTGTTTTTGAGATGCAGTCTAAGTTTCTCCGGCTCACGCTTGTAGTCTTTTGCATCATCCTCTAAAACAGCTGGGATTACAGGTCTCACTGGTGTGCACAACCAGTGAGAATCTGCTTTTAAAGAAATAATTTTCCTTTAAAAAAAGATTGAAAATCAAATTACTGGATTATGTAGTATTCCTGCAAGGCTGCTTAATATAATAAAACAAGAGTAGGGATATAGTAGTTTATGCTATAATGGGAAAATAAGAACTTTTTCAGTAACTACTTAGGCTTAATTCTTTAGTTCAAAAAGGTTATGGCTTACTTTTGCATTTTCTACCATTTGTTTTTCCTGTAGATATTCTTGTGACTACTCCAAATCGACTAATTTATTTATTAAAGCAGGATCCACCAGGAATAGACCTAACAAGGTATAGATAATGTTTTAATGTTTTTCATGGGTATTTTTCATTTAGTTGATTATATTTTGTTCTTAATTCATATATTATTTTCCTTTGGAGCTTTCTATTTGCCACATGAAACTGGTGTTTCATTAAACTCTTAGGGGAAAAAAACTATTTTGGTCTGAAAGAAAGTTTCACAATTTGATTAGCAGTTAATACATAATTCCCTCGACTTTTTTATATCTTTCAGTAAAGGTAATGGGGTTCATGAGTTTTGGGGAGTTTGTGTGTGTGTGTGTGTTTTTTTTTTTTTTTTTTTTTTTTGGTACAGGGTATCAAATTCACGACCTTGCGCTTGTCAGGCAAGTGCTTAACGCCGCTGAGCCAAATTCCCAGCCCTGGGGTTCATGAAATTTATGGAAAATCTCTATCATTGCTAATGGAACTTCATCTTTAAAGCTAATAGAATAAGTACATTGGCTATGTCTTTTTCATTTCTATCTTTTTTGTACTATTTTTCTTTTACCTTTTTCAGGTATGATAAAGTAGATCTTAGAACCATCATCATGGGTTGACTTTCATATGTTCCCACAGTTTAGTGAAGTGTTTTTGTATCCCATTGTACTATAATGGGAAAATAAGAACTTTTATGTCAGTGTCCACAGATATTTTGTTATTTTTTTAGTGTGGAGTGGCTGGTAGTAGATGAATCAGACAAACTGTTTGAAGATGGCAAAACTGGATTTAGAGACCAGCTGGCTTCCATTTTCCTGGCCTGCACATCCCACCAGGTCAGAAGAGCTATGTTCAGTGCAACTTTCGCATATGATGTTGAACAGTGGTGCAGACTCAATCTGGACAATGTCATCACTGTGTCCATTGGTGCAAGGTAATTGTTTCTCTGCTTGTTCCACTAGTTTATTTTTTTAATATAAATGATTGTTTTAGGCTCAAGAAGATAGCTTGTTTGAAATGAAACTAACAGGGGAGACAGCTTTACCGATACTGTATTTTTAAACTCAAGATTAAGAGATTTCTGTTTTAAAGTAATCCGTATGGAGAGTTTTATATTTTTCTATTACTGTTCTCATCATTATGTTTTTAGTTGACTTTTCCCATTCACAAATACAACATGAGCTCTGTAGACACTTAGGATTCATTTTCTCTGATGATTTGTTTAATAAGTAGGAAAACAAGTTAATTGACTTATAATGATGCCCTTTAAGGAAATATTGTGGGAGATGGCAACATAGTTCATTGGTAGAGTACTTAATTTTCATGTATAAGGCCCTGGAGTCAATCCCTAGCAGTACTAAAAAAAATTTTAAAAAGAAAAAGCAAAATAAGGATGAGCATTTCAGGCTAAATAGTTGTACATGAAAAAATAAGTTTGGAGAAATTATGATATTGTGACCTGATAGAATATCATGAAACCAAAGAAACAGTAAATATAAAGACTATAGGGCCAGGGATATAACTCAATGGCATAAACGCCTGCCTAGCAAACACAAGGTCCTGGGTTTGATTCCCAAGTGTAAAGACTGTTGATGTATGGAAAAAGTGATTATAATACCATATAAATGATAAAGAAAATTGGACATGTTGGCCTGCATGTGCAGTCTTAGCTGTTCAGGAATCTGAGGCAGGAGCTCTCAAGCTTCTCAAAGAAGCAAAATGGACAGAGTATTCTTTTCCCTGTCTACTTTAAACTTAAAACTTCTATGCATATAAAAAGAAAGCAGAATAACTTTAACAGCAGAATAAAAAGAAAGCAGAATACTTAAACATGATTTAAGGCAGAGAATAGAATGGGAAAAGCATTTATTATATAGTTGGAGTATGTTATAAAGTATTATAAAGTATTATAAAGACCTAATACAGTTCTCAGCCCCACTTGTCAGTCTCTTAAGTAAACCCACACTAATGACTAAGACAAAAATTTATTCACACATAATAACATTTAAAATGTTCTTATTATTTCACCCAATAACTTAACACTTTTTTGGATTTTGTAGGTTTTTTGGTTTGGTTTGGGGTTTTCTGTTTTTTTGAGACAGGGTCTCCCTGTGTAGTCTAGACTAGCCTTGAACTGACTATATAGCCCAGGCTGTCCTTGAACTCATGGTGATTCTCCTGCCTCAGCCTCCTGAGTGGGGGGATTACAGGCATGTGCCACCATGTCTGGCTTTTTAAAATATTTTACACATTCAAAAAAATTTTATAAATTAATAATTGGTCACATGAAAATTTACAGCTAGCCTGCAATAGATCATCAGTTTATTCTAAAATGGTAGGATTATAAGAAATTATTACTTACATTTTTCTATTATAAAAAATTTTCCTTTATACCACTTTTTTTCCCTTTTTTGAGACAAGATCTTGCAGTGTAGTTCAGGCTGGCTTTGGATTCACAGTGTAGCCCAGACTAGGCTTCAACTTGTGGCAGTCCTCCTGCCTCAGCCTCCTGAGTGGTAGGATTACAGGCATGCACCACCACACCCAGGCTATGTCACATTATTGTTAAAACAAAATGTTTTAGAATATACATTCTTCTTAAAGGAAAGTACAAATAATTAAGCATGTACATTGACCAAGAAAAGTTGATTCTGTTGGAGTTATGTGTAGATTTTTCATTTGTTTTAGAGTTTACATAGATAGCAAAAATTGGCTTTTGTTAACTGTTAGGTGTATTTTCTTCTCAGGAATTCTGCAGTAGAAACTGTAGATCAAGAACTTCTCTTTGTCGGATCTGAGACTGGAAAACTTCTGGCCATGAGAGAACTTGTTAAAAAGGTATGTTTGGATTACATTCTTGGATTTTGGTAGACGTAACCAAGCCCTAGATGACAGTAGGAGGCTCAGCGCTGTGTTACCATTACTGTGCACTGTGTTGAGTAACGCACTGGTAGTAAATCGTCTGTACCTGGCTCAGGGTGGGCCAGCGAAGGTTTACTGAAAATGCCCTAAAAACCTCGTTTTCTCTAATCGGCATCTGTGTGGCCCCTTCTTTCCCCCATCCCTCTGCGAGTTTGTTATAGAAGAACTGGTGCAGTGCACAATGAGTAAGACACTAAATTGGTTTTTCCTTTTTTATTTAGTGTGTATTGAGTAGAAACCATAGTTAAAATTAAGTTAAAAATGGAGAGAGGGGACAAGGGACAGGGTAGGAAGTAAAAAAAGAAATATAAGTCCTAAACCCTATTCCTTGGAATTTAGCCTTGTTTAGAAGGTAAAATAATTGTATTTGTAATAGTTTGTGGTGAAGTGCCATAAAAGTCTAAAAGAGTATTTTTCTTAAGATTCCATGAAGTCATAACAGGGCCTTCAGGATGTGGTTAATTGATTGGGGAAAGCCTTATAGCAGAATACTATTAATCTGAGCCCTGAAGGATCTGTATGGCTACAAGTAAAGGAAAAGAGTGTACAGTCTGAGAGAGCCACCTGAATAAAGGCTTCAGGAGGTGGAGATGAATACCATGTGTTTGGAGGCTAATGAAATTATTTACCCAAGACAAAGAGTTAAAGATAGGGAATTAAAAATCAGGTTGGGACTGGGGTTTAGCTCAGTGGCTCAAGCACTTGCCTGGTAAGTGTGAGGCCATGAGTTCAATCCCCAGTACAAAAACCAAACCAAAACAAAACAAAACAAAAAAAAATCAGCAAAGTTAGGGTCAGGTTGAGAGAGCCAAACAGTTTTGAAGAAAGTAGCCACATGTTTTTTAAGAAGTATAGCCAAAAAATAACACGTAAGGTGGTAAGGAAAAAGGCTGAAAATAATGAAAATAGCGGCCTGTTAAACAAAGATGAGCAGAGATGAGGAAGAAGTGAGGGTGACAGTATTAGTGGTAGAATGTCCAGAAGGATTCCAGAATAGAAAAGTGGTCCCTGGCACCTAGTAACTACAGAAGTGGTGTGCTTTAGAGGTTAGAGCATGGGCTGTGGAGCCAGGAGCATGGATTGAAATTCTAGCCCATCCATTCTACCACTAGGCTACTTAACCTCCTGTCTGTTCCACAGTTTCTTCATTGGTCAAGTGGGATAATCTGTACCTCCTAGAATCGTTTTGATATTTGAGTTAATACAAACATGACACTTGAAAGTATTACTTCCATGTAGTAAATGCATGTCATGTCCCACTAGGAAACAAAATTTTTATAGATACTGATATGAAAATAATACATCAGAGAATTTTAGCTATGTATGAACTTTGGAAGTCTGTGAACTCTGGAATTATATGTAAGATTTTAGGTGGCTAGGTGGTTACCTGTTAGAAAACCTCGTTGCATTCCTTAAATTCCAAATGGATGTGTAAAACAAAATTAAAATGCTGCCAGATTGAGTGACCATACCTGTAATTCCAGCTACTCAGAAACCAAGAGCAGAAGGATTACAAGGCCAGTCTGGCCAATTTAGCAAGATCTTGTCTCAAAATAAAAAGGGCTGGGGATGTACCTATTGTAACTCAGTGGTAGAGTACCTTCCACTGGGGGGAAAAATGCTGAAAAGATAATTCAATAACATTCAGAGATTAAAGAAGCTGATCTGAGTGGGGTTTTGATGATACAAAATGGTAAAAATTTGCTTAGAGGTAGTAGTTGATACAGAGATTTCATTTGACTCAAAGGTAAGATTATATTAAGAGAAAGATCAAAGGACTGAGAGGTGAGAAAATGCAAAAATTAGGGTAAAAAATTAAAGATACAATTTTTAGATTATAAGCAGAACCAAAGTTCTGGGCATACAAGCCAGGATGATGTTTTCAGAGTGAACAACCAATATTGGAAAAAAGCAATGAAGGATTGATTGAACCAGTTTATTGGAATTAGCAAGATAGTGAATACAGTTCAAGGTGAGTGGAAGGAACCGTGGTAGAGAACAGATGGTGAAGAAGATGGAAGCAGATTGAGACCACTGGACCTAGAAATTCAGTAATAAAAGTACTTGATTGAATTGGGTTCTTTTGTGAATTAAAATCGTGTGAAATACTGATTGTATTCTTGCTTATGAGTTGTGTGTGCTAATTTTTACTGTCATTTTTTTTTAGGGTTTCAATCCACCTGTTCTTGTTTTTGTCCAGTCCATTGAAAGAGCTAAAGAACTTTTTCATGAGCTCATATATGAAGGTATTAATGTGGATGTTATTCATGCAGAAAGAACACAGCAACAGGTAAAGTCAAATGTATATTTTCAAAACTATAGTGAACTGCCTGATTTTAAGATACTGGCATTAAATTTGTGAAATACTTATTTTCCATCCCAAGAATTGTACTAAAGCATATAATACGTTTTCTTAACCAGAGAGATAACACAGTCCACAGCTTCAGAGCAGGAAAAATCTGGGTTCTTATTTGTACAGCCTTGCTTGCAAGAGGGATTGATTTTAAAGGTGTGAACTTGGTGATCAATTATGATTTTCCGACCAGCTCAGTGGAATATATCCATAGAATAGGTGAGCTGCCTTTTTTTCCTTTTCCTGTCATACACTCAGTATGTTTACTGTTCCTTTCAGACATACTCAGCATGTGAATCCTAAAAGCCCTTTTCCCCTCAAAAAAGTTTTTTTTATGGTCTGATTTCTCTTAGGTCGAACTGGAAGAGCAGGGCATAAAGGAAGAGCTGTTACATTTTTCACTGAAGATGATAAACCATTATTAAGAAGGTAATTTAGGGGCCTGGGGTTTTAGCTCAGCGGCATAAGAGCCTGCCTTGTAAGCAGGCAGTCGTGAGTTCAATCCCTGGTACCGATAAAAAGGAAAAAAGACAAAAAAAAAAAAAAAAAAAAAGAAGGTAATTTAGGCAAATAATATTTAGGTGGCAGAATTGCTTCCTTATTTTTGTATGGGTATTCTATTAGCAGATAATCACAAAATAGCTGTGTTCTAGATTGTGTTAATGGTATTAGTCAATTTTTAGCCACAAAAAAGGAAAAATTATCAAAGAGCCTTGTTTTTGCCCTTCTGTTACTAGAACTTACAAATACTCAATGTGGAATATTCATTTTTAAGTTTCAGATTCCCAGGACTCTTCTAATAACCAGCCATTGATTGATGTTACAATATAATATTAAGGTTTTGAATTATTGTGTAGTTTTCAAGTTTCTTCAGCCCACTTTGCCTTCTCGTGGTGCATCCTTCCCATTCAGTTAGGGCCAAGTGGAATTTTATATTTAGTTACAAAATCACTTGCCATATAGGAAAAACTATTTTAGCAACAATCCAACTTTTCTCCATTGTAGCATTCTGAAGCCTAGGTAACATATACTTTTAGAATTTTAGGTCTTAATTTAGCCCATCATTATAGATTTTAATATAGAGGATAGGTTTTCCTGTATTTTGGCTATCTGCGGTAGTTTTTGGCTGATGATAATTGAGAAGCACTTCACATTTCTAAGAAGTGAAATTTAGCTATGACTGAAGGGCATTTTCTCTTTTATCAGTTCTGGTAGAGATTTTGACTTGTACCCTCTGAGCTTTGGCGGACTTTGAACACCTTGGAGTAGACTTTCAAATGTGCATGTACAGCAGGTGAATTCCACCAGCCACCAGTCACCTTAAGTCTCCTTAGCAACCCCACAATTCTAACTCTGAAGACCTCAGTATCAGTGTAACTATACACCTTAGTTTTCCTTCTATGAAATGGGGACAATGGTAGTATTTTACTGCATAGGGTTGTGAGAAGTGAATAAGTTAACACACAAGAAAAATTTATAATGCCAACCCCATAGTCAGCACCATTACTTAATAAATTTAGGCTTGACTTTGGCTTCATTCTGTGTTTTCTCCAAGGCTGGGCCTATTAGTTTTTTATACGTTGATTAATATTGACATAACAATTATCAAAAATTACTCATCAGTACCTTGATTTCAGCCTAGTGAATAGTTCTCTCAGTAACCTGAGTACATTTTACTTTAGTACTTTGTGTAGTATTAGTTTCTCTTATCTTGTGCATAAAGTTTGTGTATCTAAACATGAGTTTGATTTTTATGTTTATGGGTTCTTTTTTCAGTGTTGCCAATGTTATCCAGCAGGCCGGTTGTCCTGTACCAGAATACATAAAAGGTTTTCAGAAACTGCTAAGGTATATCTTGAGTTTACCTGGAACTTTTCTGGCTTGGCAAATATATTGTTGCTTTTTATTTTGTTTGTTTCCTTGCCTTTTGTTTATTTTATAAAAAGTATGTATCCCAAGGCAATACTGTGCCTTGTTTAGTTTTACATGTTTTTGATCCTACCTACAATGTTTACTTACAATAGGATATCCCAATAAACTCATTATGTGTTGAAAATTTTGTAATTTGAAAATGTGTTTAATATGTCTCACATACCAAACATCATAGCTTAGCAACCCAGTATAAATACACTATAGAGTATCAGTTGCTGCCCAACATTGAAGAAGAATATGGCATCACATAGTGTATCTGGGAAAAGATTAGAATCCAAAGCATAGTTTTTACTAAATATGTGTCACTTTTGACCATCATAAAGTGAAAAAAATTCTAAGTCAAATCATTGTGGTTGGACACTGCCTATAGTGTTGAACTAGATATGTTCTTTTCCTTTCAGTTGTTCAAAGTTAATGTTTATATTTAATTAATGAGGATCAAATGGGACAAATCAGTGTATGATAGGCAAGCACTCTACCTCTGAACTATACTCCTAATCTTTGATTTTTCTATATTGTGAGAAAATATATAAAGCATATAATACATGTAAAAAATACATGTAAGTACATATAAAATATTAACCATTTTTAAGCATATAGTTCAGTGGTATTAACTAAACTCATAAGTTTGCAGTCATTACCACTATCTGCTTCTTTCTGCTTATAAAACTACCACTCTTTACCTATTAAACAGTAATTCCTGATTCTCCCCTACTCTTGGGACCTGGATAGTAGCATTCTGATTTCTTGCTGATTTTGACTACTCTTAAGTATATCATATGAGTGGAAGTCATACAGTATTTGTCTTTTTGGGAATTATTTTATATAGCATAATGTCTTTAAGGTTCATCCATTTGGATAGTCAGAATTTCCTTCCTTTTTAAGGCTGAATAGTATTCAGTTGCATGCATCTTACCCATTTATGTATTAATGTACACTTAGCTTTCTTCCACATGACTTTTTTTTTTTTTTTAAACCGGGGATTGAACTTACAACCTCACACTTGCCAGGAAGGTGCTTATGCCACTAAGCTAAATCCCCGGCTCTTCCACATAGCTTTTGTGAATAATGCTGCCAAAATGCACATAAGTCTTCATATGCTCTTGATTTTACATTCTCTCATATACTTTGTAGGTCAAGCAATTGTTTTTAGAACATTTTATGATTAAAAATTTTTGCATGTTAATATTCGTGACTGTTATTTCCTTTCCAGTTTTTTTATCCTTGAAATTTTAAGTACTGAGATTTTTAAAAACTTACTGTGAATGAAATATAATTATCTTAGTTCATAAAATGAACAAAAATTTAATTAGTCAAAAGCAAACTGTACTGCTTACTGGCATAGGCTATAATGTTTCCATAGGCATGTTTTAGTAACAGTGGCTTTTCAAAAGATCGATTGAATTTATTATCCCTTGAGATAGCAAAGTACTGTTGGGTAATTTAGTTTATTGAAGTGGATACTACCCATTAAATATATAAGTAGTTTAAAAATGAATTTTGGGATCAAGAATCAAAAGTAGTGAGCTGGAAATTTAGCTCAGTGGCCTAAGCGCCTGTCTGTTAAGTGCAAGGTTGTGAGTTCAATCCCTGGTACCAAAAAAAAAAAAAGAAAGAAAACTAATTTTAGCTTTAGTTTTCCTAAGTGAAAATTTAATTTTCTTTCTCACTTTGTAACTTTAAGCAAACAAAAGAAAAAGATGATTAAGAAACCACTGGAGAGGGAGAGTATCAGCACAACTCCAAAGTATTTCTTAGAGCAAGATAAAGGTAAACGGTACGTATATACATGGTAAGAATAAGCTGATATTTAACTCTTATAGTTATGATAGGCAAAATTTTTCCTCAGATAAATTTTTAGAGGTACAATTAACACGTCTACAGCCCACTGTAGAATTTGATTAAAATATATGTGTGTGTGTATATATATATACATATACATATATCTTACATTGCCTTTTTTTTCTTTTTATTTATTTTTAAAATTTTATTTTGAAAGTATACAACAGAACAAGTTAGAATAAAGCCAACTAAGATCGTACAGTAAAATTGGTACAGAACTTCACAGCAGGTTACCGGGATAACAGTAATAGGTATCACAGTATATTTTGTTATCTTTATAATAGTTGTTCTTTCAATCACGTATATCAAAATGAGATGAAATATAGAACACTATAGAACTTAGCAAAACAGAATATTGAATAGAGCAGTACCATTAATCAGAAAAGAGCAAAACAGTAATAAAAATATTTGCCTTTAAAGAAATGGTAGAAGGAAGTCTCCCTTATTTGCTATGGTCAACCTCCCAGGAGATGCTCAGATTTCTGGTTCCCATTTGCTAATGGGCGGGGGCGGGGGAGGGATGGGGAAGTGGGATATTTGACTCTAGGCCATGTAGCAGTAGGTTCACTATTGCTAAGCAGGGAGGCAGGATGGTCATTTGTTTGCACAGTGTCCTCAGTTTCCAACATGGTGTGGATCTCAGGAGACACTGCTGGTTCTCCCCCTGGAAGGGCTGTAGTCTGCCACCCTGCCTCCACTTACCAGGGAGGGGAGGTGCTGGCTTGGCTTCCCAGAGTCCTAAGTTCCAACATGGCGTGGATTTCAGGAGACACTGCTGGTTCTCCCCCTGGAAGGGCTGCAGTCTGCCACCCTGCCTCCGCTTACCAGGGAGGGGAGGTGCTTGCTTGGCTTCCCAGAGTCCTCTTACATTGCCTTTGATTTGGGAACTTGACCAATGTAATCTTGGAAATTTTTTGTAGATATGGATTTTTTTCCATATTTGAAAACATGGCTTCAGTTCACATGAATTGTCTACCATGTCCACATAGTCTGGATCAGGACATGCTACTGAAGCTAAGACATAAGACCACTGGCACACATTCTGGGCCCAATTCCTGTATAATCTTAGGCTTATGCTGAAGCACTATTACCTCTAACAAGCAGTACTTGGGTAAATTTATACTGACTTGACCTACTTTGGTGGGGTTTTTTGTTGCTTGCTTTTTGAGACAGGGACTCAATGTGCAGCCCAGGCTGGCCTCAAACAGCAGTCCTCCTGTGCTGGGGATTCCTGGCGTGTGCCACCATGCTTGGGTTGGCCTAGTTCTTGCGGTTTTTATATATCTCTTAGAACACATACAAGTCTGCCTTAGTTTGCATAGTATAGGACTACATGTTGTGGTGGAGGCAGGCCAAAGTATTCTGAACAGTAGTACCATTTCCACTTTTTAAGGAAAATGCTACTCTTTAAATTTTTCCTTTACTAGATTAACATGCTATACAAGAATTTCCTCATTCTAATAATTACTTTAGAGAAGAATGTATATGCGGGTTTTCTGAGAATGCCATCAATACCCTACCTACATACTGTTGTGAAATAAACTAATGCTACTCTCCATTGCCTTCCATCCATTCTCTGAAAATAATTAGAAAAAGTGTTGCGTCAACCCATAGGCATTTACTGAGTTAACCTACAAGGTGCTTAGTGGTAATAAAGTATACAAATGAATGTAAAACAAGCTGCCTTCCCTGAAGACAGGAAAAGAGGTTAATATCCATAAAAAATTACTCATTTTAATTACAGATTAGAAAAAGGCAAGATTATTAAAGTTTAGGGAAGAAGGATAAATGCCACAAACTTAACAGACACGTTACTTGAAAGGCTAATAATTTTAATTCCACTTAACTCCATTTTGTGAATTATTAATATTTATTTTTTAATATTTTATAGTGACAGTTTCTCGGTGACATTTCGACCAATGATAGAGGCAGGGAACGAGGGAGGGATTCACATCAGAACTGTCACATATGCATCAGAACCTTCTTTGTGTGGCCTTACAAAGTGTACGGCTATATGTTTTGGTAGAGGTTGGCCAAAGTATTTTGAACAGTTCTATTTCCACTATTTAAGGAAAATGATACTCTTCAAATTCTTTTACTAGATTAACATATGCTGTAAATTTTACAGCTGAAACTACAAATGCAGTCCTTTCAGACAATGAGCAGCAACTGCTGTGAGCTTTTACATAGGATGAAAATCAGCTAGTGCAGGGTGGAGATGGAGTACATGTTTGAGACCTGCATTACAGGTTTTTGGTTTTGAGAGGTTTTTTTTCTATTGTTGGGATTTTTCTTTAATTAGCTAGCGTATAAGATAATGTTTAGCTTGAAATTTAATAAAATACATTGACAGGTTTTTATGTTTGTAAGGCTTTTGTTGTTGTATAGTACTGGAAATTGAACCCAGAACCTCAGGCATAGTAGGCAAGCACTCTGCCACTGAGTCACATCCTCAGCCCACTTCCAGGGTAATTGAAACTTAGCACCATGGAGTCCTGGAGGACACTTGGTATAAATCTTGTACTATCTACCTAAAATGCTTTTTTTTTTGTTTTTTGTCTTTTTGTTTTTATCGGTACCAGGGATCAAACTCACAATCACGTGCTTGCAAGGCAGGCGCTTATGCTGCTGAGCCCCCTAAAATGCTTTTGTTTTCTTTCCATTTTCTTCACATTTAAAAGCCATCCTTCTTTAAAGCATATAAATAAGACCCATCCTCATCTGATTGTAGCTTACTTCTCCACTATAGGTGTTCCTTAAATGATCTTTCCCAAACCTGTAGTCCCAGTGCCTCCCTCAACTGATAACTCTCCTGCTCATATCTTCAGCTCAGCTCCCATTATTGTTGCCTAGTGGACTTCACTTCAGACACGTAAACTCAACTTGTTACAATTAGAGTTAGGGAGGGAGGACTGAATTTGGAGTTAGGGAACTGATTCTCGTACTTCCATGTTTGACTTTGGACAATTCACTTCACCTCTGAAGTCTTCCTCCCTCAATGAAAATAATCACATAAATAAAATCTGCTGCTTAGGGTTGGTGAGCAAAGTGGGTGAGTTATTATATACTAAAGAACTTTGTGTTACTATAATACAGTATGCAGGCATTATTGAAAATTCTTCCTTTTCCTATGTTACCACTTAGCAGTTATTGGCTAGTTAGCAGTCAATAGTTAATGGCATTTACCATTCACAAGGTTCTACAATCACACTATTGGGATTCATGTCTAATAGTTATAGGTTTGTGATGATTGACAAGTTATCAACCACTGTGTTCCTCATTTTCACCTGCAAAATGAAGATAATAGAATATTCCTCATAAGTTATTAGGAATATTACCCAAATTAATGCATGTGAAACATAGTACTTAATAAGGACTGAATCAATGTGAACTTCCATTATTAGCTCAGAATCAGAATCTGTCTTTCATTGTAATGTTACTGTATCATTTAGGTAACAGTGATTTTTTGAAGGGCAGAGATTATTTTTAATGCATCTTTGTATTTATAGTACCACATATACTTTGATTTACAGTAGGTTTCATTATGTTTATTAAATTCTCAGTTATAGGAAATAAATATATATGTCTGATTCAACTTTTATTTGCTTTTCACAGGAAAAAGGTCACTGGCCAGAAGAGCAAGAAGAAGGTAGCTCTTGAGCACAAAAGTTGAAAACAGATTTTTTTAAAAAGATTATCACAGGGCTGGGGATTTAGCTCAGCGGCATAAGCGCCTGCCTTACAAGCAGGCAGTCGTGGGTTCGATCCCTGGTACCGATAAAAAGGAAAAAGACAAAAAAAAAAGTATGAAGAAAAAAAAAAAAAGATTATCACAGAAATGTAATTTTATGGGCCCTACATGAGTGTTTTTCACATAGAATACTTCAAGTCTTGTAATCACTGCTACCAAACATTTGGAACGAACTACAAATACATAAAACTGTGAAAAATGATCCTAAACTATTAATACATCATGTCAGATTTTAATTGAGATGAAAACAGAACAGTGGAAATAACATTCATTGATACACTTCTGTGGTTGAATCCAGAGAGATACTTCTTATAGAAGAACAAAACCTTATGTTAAATAACACCCAAATGTGGTGAACTCTCAAGGATTTTGCCCTTCAAGTGTGAAGGAAAATGTAATGTATGCCATGGAGAGGCATCAGGAACACAAAATAAAGCCTTAAGATTGCCCCTTCTATCCCCTCACATACTATTGTTTGCTTACTTTTTCTTTCTCTGAATGAACAAGAAACAGAACAGGATAGGTATAAGATGGAAACTTACTGCTTCTTTAATGTTTCTTAATGTGTTGGTGGCCTTTGGTGGTGTGAACCACAACAAAGATGTGTCTTCTGTGGCTGGTGTTCAAGTTTCCTGAAATTTTAAACTGCTTAGTCTGTTAAGTACCCTTTATACCTCATTGGTAAGATGCTTGTACTTAGCTGCCATAATGTTGCAGCTACAAGATTAGGATCAGCCTCTCCCTTCATTTTCCATCATTTAGTTGTGTTCTTTCCTGTCTCTTCAAGATGATTTTGTTCAAAAACTGATAAATCTTTATTCTGGATAAGGAAGAAAATTCATATCACTCAGTACACTTCTGGCTTCCTTCTCTTACAACTTATCTTTCCTGAGACTTGATGGCCCTTCATCCTTATCACATGGTGAATGAGGCTATCTATTGTCCATGAGCAAAGTTTGTTTCAACTACTAATTTTGTAGAATAGAATTTAAAAACACTTTATACAAGTAAGGCACTTAAACTGGTGCCCTATAATAACATGATTATTACCAGTAATGCCACAATACTGTAATATAGGGAAGTTGTCAGCAACTTTTGAATTAAATTTATTTGATTTATTTACCTTTTGTTTTAGAGTCAGCACAGGTACACTCTGCCTTGAATGTTTTAGATGGGACAAAAACTGCTTATCTTACACAAGCACATGATTTTATGTTCTTGTAAACAGATCCTTGTTGAGCATATATTAGGCAATCCTTTTGCCTGTTGGGGGGCTTTGAATAAGTTCATTAATTTCTTAAAGCTTCAGTTTTTCATCTCAAACTATATCTCAAGTAGTCAAGTAGGAAGTACCTAGCACTGTGCTTGAAACTACTATAGTGTACCCACAAGAAACACTCCTTTATCAAACTTACAAGTTTTTGTAAAAATACAAAGCTTGATAACTATTCCTGCATTTACAATCAACAGTAGAGATAATGAATGAACAAATAGTGTGGCAAATGCTGTTAGATGTGAGATGTTGCAGAGGCATCATAGGGGAGCCATCTAACCCAGATTCTGTATATCATGGAAGGCTGACAACCTGAATTCAGTCCTGTAGATATAGATATATTAATAAGCAAAGAAGAACAAAATATTGCAAGCACAAAGATCATGTTTTCTACAACCTTTGAAATACCACCTTTTTTTTTCTTTTTATTCTCTCCTGTGTAACTACCCAATCCATATTAACTTACTTTGCCAGCCGGTTAATTCTGAAATTAAAGTCCTTTATATCATTTGAACTACCTGCTATGTAAATTTCAGCTTTGCCCAAGTAAAGAGGGGTGTGAAATGAGTGAGTGGACAATGAAGATAAATAACAATACCAATAACCTGCAAGTGAAAGGGGCAAGCACTTTGGAGTCAAACTGACCCGTGTTCTGATTCCACTGCCTGTAACTGTATGATCTGGGTAAACTATATTGATTTAAGGCTGATTGTTTTTAATCTGTAAAATGCCAATACTATTAGGCACCCCGAGTCTTTTAATGCACATGAAGTACCTGATGGTAGTTTGTACCCAGTAAGTAACAATACAAATCTCCGTCAAACTCCTAAGGCAAGAGTGGAAAAAGGGGGGAGGCTAATTACAATTAACTCATTACTTGAGAGCTTGAAAGTTGACATGTTTTATCTCTAGATGGTAGTTTGGTAGACGGGGAAGGGCGGGTTAACACACCCACATAGTGGGGTGTTAATTAGTTGTGCCCGCACACCCACCACCATTTTGTCCCGGGCTGAAAGAATAGGAAGAACAAAGGGACTGTAAGTAGCATGATGGCAGTCAGTCAAAATAATAGTGCACCTCAGAGGTTTAAATGTGGATCGGATTTATGTGCTCTTGGTTCGTTCACTAAAATCTTAAATACCTTTGGTGTCTGAGATGGATACCAAAAGAAAGCTGCAAAGTACCAGGGAAACGGTAGAGAACTGATCACGAACTGGGGCTGTTAAACTATCAAAGATCCAACTATTCTTAATGCGTAATAAGTAACACTAAAAGAATACCTGTGTAGCGATTATCCAGTTTAAAATTAAAACTGCATTAATTGACGTGCGAGCCTGCCGAGGGCCGCCCGCTGCGCACCTGGAGCCCCCGACCCCAGCGCCGGGTCACGTGGCAAGCGCCGCTCGCGGCCCCGCCCCATCACCGCGGCGAGGTGGGGCCTGGCGTGTGCCCCGGAAGTGCCTGTCTTCGGCTGACAGCTGCTGGCGCGGCGGCGGCCGGTGTGAGGAAGATGGCGCTGCGGCCGGGAGCAGGAGCTGGCGGCGGGGCCGCGGGCGCTGGCGCGGGCGCTGCCGGGGGAGGCAGGTGGGTGTGTGGGGCTGCGGCGGACGGACCCGCGCGGGCCTTTCTGGCTGCCGCGGCCGACGACTCGGAGCACAGGCCCCCGCAGAGGCGAGGGGTGCTCGCCGGTTACGGCCGTTTCGTTAGCTCCAGACCTTTCTTTGGAGCCGGGCTGCGGGAGATGGGTCCTGCTCTGGGGCCCAAGGCGGCTGGGTGCGGGCGCCCCCCGCGCCGCGGGGTCGAGGCTGGGCCCACGCGGAAGCCCGGCTGTTCGTCTCAGTCCTGGCTGCAGCTGCCGCCGCCAGAGTCTTCCCTTTTCCAGGGCTTTCTGGGCTTCACCAGGGGCGTTGGAGGGAAGGCTCTGAAAATCTGGGCACAAAGCAGGAAGAACTGTTTATGATATGCCCTTGTGTGTTTTGTCTTTTCCTTTTTAAGAGTACCCCGTCCTATCTTTCATTTTCTTACCACAGGACAGACAGCAGGACAATCCAAAGACCTTTGAATTAGTAATTGTCTTGTGATGGACCTCTTAGGTCCTCCTTTATAAAGAGGCATTTAAAAACAAAGGAAATTCACTAAATTGGAGTTTTGCATTTATTACAACAAAGCCTCCAGTTTTGTTTTAAGCAAATCTGCCCTTTGTCTTATTTCTGCTAATTACTGCCGGTGTCTCTAGTCCCCAGAAGGTAAAAGAGATAAAACATTTGCAACTTGACAAGTTTTGTTGTCATTTAAGGAAATATTTTATTGGAGGAAGTTTCCTATTTCTGATTTAGTGTCACTTGTCGACACAGTCTGCACATACATTTGGAGGTAAAACTAGGTTTATATGTTAATCCTAAACACCATAAAAATGTAAGATCTTTTGAAGTTACTGCCTCTTTACTGTGCTTAATACATGCTAGGAAAAATAAACCACCTGTGCATTCACCCCATTTTTCACTATTTCATTAGTTTTTTATGAATTCTTACCTCTATATTCTTATATATTAAACCTCTCCATTTCATTCTCTATGTGGTGACAGTGTCTAAAATGTTCCTAAGTGACATTAATGAATTATATGATTAATAATAGCACCAAATTCTAGGAAAATAGAAACTTAAAAAACAATTTGATATTCCAGGCCCAAAATTTTACTTATTTTTAATTGAGTGTGAAGGACCTCAAGTGCAGAAAGTTGATAGGATTTCTCATTTTGTTTTACATTTAATTTCATTGGCGCAGGGACATAGTTTTATTGTTTTTGTTTTCTAACTATGACTTGAATTTTGATAGAAATTGGAATGATAAATGTAAGTTTTTCTGTCCTGTAACTGTAGTAATATCAGCATTCTCAAATTCTAGAGGATGTGTGGGAGACAAAAACAGTTTAATTGATCCTTATTTTGAAAAGCATATGTTGAATATGTTATATATATCAAAACTTTCTGATGCTGAGTAGCTGTACGCTCCATAAAAAGAAAATGTTATGGTTTTTAGAGAGCAATAGTAAGAGCCAAAGTTATTTTGGTCACCTAAGTATATTTTAACAAAAAGAAATAAAGAAGCTTTAAGCTTTCTATGGAATCACTCCTCAGCTTTTTGGCTAAGATTAAGGTAAGCTTTGGAGAAAATTAATGAACTAGATAGAACTGACCATATTTTTGGGTACTTCTCTTTATCGTAAGACACTAAGCAAAAAGCAATAGCATTTTTCAAGTTTAATATTAGCCTGCCTTTGATGGTTATCCTGAATGGGCTTCTTTAGAATAAATGGTAGAGATTCATAAAGGGCAAAATTTGTGCAAGATGAAAAGTATTTTTAAATCAAAGCAGCAAACGAGTTAAGAGATCTGTATTAGTCACTGAATGGCTACATGTATAAGACTGTTCTTGATACTAATGAATTCAAAGGATAAAACACATCTCATGCTAGGAAAGTGAACAGAATAAATGTATTCTTTCTTCTTCTAGCACTTTATTTATTTATTTTAAGACAAGGTCTTGTTCTGTACTTCACTCTGGCCTCAAACTCATAGCAGTCTTCCTGCTTTGACCTCTCCCAAGTGCCCCATAGGTGTGCAGACAGGCCCTCTCACACCCAGCCTCTAGCACTCAATTCCTGCTGGTTTATAAGCTTGCTTCCTTCCTTCCCAGAGATTGAACAAAAGGGGTGCTCTACCAATATGCTGCATCTTCAGCCCTATTTATTTATTTATTTTTGATAGAAGATTTTGCTAAATTGTCCAAGCTGACCTCAAGCTTGTGATTCTTCTCAGCCTCCCTGTACCTTAAATTACAGGTGTGTGTCATAGTACCTAACTCTTTTATAAACTCTTTGAGGGCCACCTCATCTTTCTATCTTCCAGGCTTCTAACTATTCTGATACATTAAAACAATATTCACCTATTTTGAAAGGGTTCTCAGATGGGGCACTGGGAAGAAGAGGTGAAAAGATTCATAGAGGTGGAAAGGCCTAGCAAACACTTTTTAAACAGTATAGCCTTGGTGCCAGATAGATTGTGGTACTAAGTGGGCACAGTAATTTTAATATAAAACTGAAAGAGAAACGTGTGCTCCGACCCAAGGAATAGTGGCTCATACCTATAATCCTACTACTGGAGAGTTGAAGCAAGAGGACTGAGAGTTCAAGACCAGCCTGTGCTACTGTACATAATGAAACCCTGACTTAGAAAACAAAAGAAAGATGGAAGGAAGGGGAAAAAGGGAGGGAGGAAAAATAAAGTTGTACTCAAGTTGGAGATAACCTCAAGGTTAAACTAAGGAAATTCAGTTTTCAGGGGCAATCATGGGGAAACCAGTATATCATTTTAACTCTAGGCGTGCCCCATAACCTATATTGCATTTGATGAATTAGAAACCACATAACCTTATGGTGGGGGAATCCATTAGGTCTTTATTTAGGGATCCTGTACAGTGAAGACTCTTAGCAAATCTAGGTTAGTAGCAAAGTGGCTGAAAAGCAGTGATGGGGGGTGTAAGCATGTGGCAAATAAAGCTCACAAGTCTGGTTTGATACTGAGACTATGAATTAGCTTTCTACCTTTGAAATCAAATTATTGGTCAACTTGCTGCTCATTTTTTTACCCCACTTGTACAATCTTCACAGTATCTTAACTACTTGACTAACCAGGCTTTTATCATATTGATATTAGTTGTCTATATCTTTCAGGGAATCATAATAAATGGTACTAGGTAATCTGGATTGCTGAGTTTTTACCTAAGTTATGTTTGTCAGCAGCATTCTTAATTTTATTTCTTTTTGGTAATGTTTTTGCATTACTGGGATTGAATACAGGGCCTCACACTGAGCTACATCCTCAGCTCTACCTACCTCTTTTTTTTTTTTTTTTAAGTTTTGAGGCAGCATCTTGCTAAATTGCTAATTGGCCCAGGTTGGGCTGGAATTTGGGCTCCTCCTGCCTCCCAGTGCTGGGGTTACAGGTGTGGGACAATATACCCAGCTTGTTATATTTTTTAAAGAATCTTTAAACATCTGTAACGTGTATTCTTGTCTACATAGTTGTCTTAATTGAAACACTGGCACACCTTTAGGTCTGTGTCTTCTTCTGGGAGTGGAAAACAGAATGATAAGAGAGATTGCATAGATTCATAATTTCTTATGGAACTGTTAGCAAAAAATCTCTAATTACAGTTTCTAGTTTGTACTAAGCCACCAAACAATACTAGTAATTTTAATCTTTAATGCTGGTTTTGAAAAGTCTTGACAGATTATTTAAAAGCATTTATTGCTACTAAATATAAAATCTTTGTAATGTCTTTAAAAACACAGTACTGCAGTATTTCATCTTCAGTTTTAAATATTGGATCCAGTTAAGAGGTCTGGTTGTGGTACACCCAGCTACTCAGGAAACTGAGACAGGAGGAGTATTTGAGCCCAGGAGTTCAAGACCAGCCTGAACAACATAATGAAACCTTCCCCTGTCTCAAAAGAAGTGAAAAAGAAAAGCAGCACATTACTTAGCCATTACATCTTGTGTTCAGTTCAGAAAGCTGTTCACTCTTTAATCTTCTCTGAGTACAGGCCTGCTTGTCCACAGCAGAATTTGACATTGATCCAGACCATGTAGAGTGCTGTAACACAGAAATCAGATGTCCAGCTAGAACTCTGTAAACTACTTAAAACTATTTTTACAAGTTAAAACATTTTAGGGCCAAGAGACTCTTAACATTTATAGTTTTTAGCCTTTTCCTAGGAAAGGAGGCTTCTGTAATAGAAAAATGCAAGAGCACATAAATTTGACATATAATTACTAGGTTTCACTAGATTCTCTAAACATTATCTAAAAACACCCCCTTAAGTCTTTGACTTCCACATGAACCTTTCTCATTCAGGTTTTTTCTTTAACTGTAACCTGTCCTCTTCCTCTTCCAAGCAGATCTCTTACTGTCTTGTTACTCATGTGTCTTCCAAATCTTCCTTCCTATAAGTGTCTTCCTTTTCCTTTGTTGAAGCTCAAAGACCATTATTTTCAAAACAGTGATTGTCTTAATATTCGTTCTGACCAGCTTTTCTATAGTATTAGGCACCAGAACAATAGTCCGTTCTTGAAACAGCGTCCTTCCTCGGTTGCAAACAACTCCTTTGGTTCTTGTATTAGCTTTTTTTATTGCTGGATACAACACCCAGCACTCACAGTTTAAGAATGAAAGGTGTAATTCAGCTCATGGTTTGAGGAGATTCAGTCCCATAGTAAGCTGGCTTCATGGTGGCCAGGGACCAGTGCAGGGAGCAGTGCCAGATAGGAGAGGGCTAGGGACTATATTATAGTACTCAATATCATGTCTCCATTACCTAACCAGAACACTTTAGGAACATGTGTTATTAATCTAGACATTTCTTAATCTAATGAAGTTGACAAATCAAGATTAGTGGTCACATGGCCCTGAATCAAGGCCAGAAGTTTTCTAAAGCTGTTGGTTTCAAGCAGGAGCCTAAAGTGGTATCTTTCTATGGTCTGTTGGCCATTTCAGAACTTTAGAAAGGTAATGGTCAATTCATTAGAAACAACACCTCCCTCCCCTGGGAGCACACCCGCATGGGCCCAAGGAGAAGAAGCCATGCCCCTGATGAGCCCCACAGCTGCAGGCCCTGACGAGAAGAGGCCTCACCCCCACCTCCCCATGAGCCCATGCCTTGGTCTTGGGGGTGAGGAATCCATGCTCCTAGGGTTCCACCTCTATCCAGGGAACATTCACTAGCAGTTGCCCCACACCTCTCTGCCACTCTGGGAACCTCAGATTGGAGGTACCCAGATACTAGTCCAGTCACCCGCCCTGCCTGATGGGCAGCCAATGCAGGAAACACCTGGGATTCAGCAACCACCTGATTCAGAGGGATACAGGAAAATGTCAAGATGAAGGGGCGGGTGCAATCTCAGACCTGCAGCCCACCCAGAACAAGTCCAGAAGATGTAGACACAAAAACAGTTAGAAGTCACACACCTGAAATCTTTGAAATGATGGCAACTGAAGTGAAGAGACAACTTAGTGCTTATATTGTTTAATTCTGCATGCCTATGTCTCACCCAGAGCAGGTCCAGGTCCACGAAACACAGACAGGAAGTTAGAAGCCATACACCTGAACTTTCTGAGATGATGGCAAAGGAAGTAAAGAAACAACTTAGTGCTTGTGCTGTCTCACCTTGCATGCCCATGCCTGGTGGTCTGAGCATCTAGAGGGTAAATCATGTGCATTACAGTAACTGTGGTTGATTTCCTACTGTCTTGTTTTTGAAGTTCAGTATTGTTCCACTGATTTGTTGTTTTGTTTTATTCTCTTTAACATAAAAATTTTTTAAAAATTAGTGGTCACAGCTCTCAATAACCATTTCTCACTTTTTGCTGTGAGGATCCACTAAAACTGTCACTCGCTTTTTTCTCATTAGATACCCACATTGCCTTTGCTGCTTCCTCCACAAGCAGAGATTAGTGTCTTGAACTTTTATTTTAAAATGCCTCACTAGATTTATCTTTTTCCCCTGAACTGGAGTTACTTTTCTGATTGTCTGCCATATTGCTGCTTGTGGACACCATCTTTCTCCTCAGGCCCACTCACCGTGGATTCCTGTTTCCAGTGGATGGCCTTTCCCTGCTTTTACTCAGAACTCTGACATTAGGGAAATCAACTCAAAGCCATAACGAGTTACCACTCCACATCTATTAGGATGACTTATTATTAAGGAAACAGGAAATAACAAGTATCCTGGAGGCTGTGGAGAAATTGGAATCTGGTGCATTGCTCATAGAAGTGAAAATGGTGTAGCCACTGTGGAAAACATTTTGACAGTTTCTCAAAAAGTACTATATGACTTAACAATTGTAGTTATATAGCCAAAAGGGAACCAAAAGAGTTCAAACAGATACCTGCAGACTAGTTTTCATGGCAGCATTTTTCATATCAGACAAAGAGTTGAAAAGGCATCAATATCCAGTCAAAAAGAATAGACAAATGGTATATAAAATGGAGTTTAATCATAGACATTTTAAAAAAACATTTTATTGCAGTATGAACGAACTTTGAAAATATTTGTCTAAGTGAAATAAGGCAGATATAAAAGGCCAAGTGTTATATGATTCTACTTAGAGTACCTATAACAGGCATACACATAGATTCAATAAAGAAAGTTTCTCAGGGGTTGGGGGTGGGAGGGTAGAATAATGGGGCTTTATTGTTTAATGGACACAGAGTTTCTGACAGGGTCAAAGTAGAAGTGGGTAGTGGTACTAGTTGCACAGTTTTGTAAGTATCCTTAATGCTGCTAAATTGTACACTCAAAAATTATCAAAATGGAAAAACTTTTTTTTGACACAGGGTCTCACAGTGTAGTTCAGGCTGGCCTTGAATTCAGTATGTAGCCCAGGCTGGCCTGCAACTCATGGCAATTCTCCTGCCTCAGCCTCCCGAGTGCTGGGACTATTAATGTGTGCCACCACACCTGGCCAAAATAAAGCATTTTAAAGGCCCCTCTTCAGTCTGGTTGCTTTTAATCTTGTATCGTACAATCAACCTTATTTTGCTGAATATTCCTGCATCTTTGACCTCAGAGCTTTGCCCAGTCTATATAGTATGCCTGTCATTTCCTTTTACTCAACTCAACTGGTACCACCACAAAATTTCTCAAAATGTAAGTTATTAAAATTACTCTTTCTCTTTTCATCACTTGAAGTATTTTGGACTTCACTTACAGTAGTTAGCATATTTATCCTGTAGTATAATGGCACAGTTGTATCTGTGTCTTCTGAATTATGATCTGTTTCAGTTCTCTTAATGTAGTACTCAATAAATGTTCACTGAATGGAAACTAACCCTGCCATTTATGGATGAACAAATTGGAAAACAGGGAGGTCACATAGTGAGTGACAAAGCCAAGACTAGTTTCAGGGTTGTCTGGCTTCTCTTTCAAAAATTTCTCTCTACACTGACATACTAATGTGCACACATCCTCTAGATATTTAATCTGTGTTAGTTTTGCACAATTCAGTATCATACTGCTGAACAAATACCAGGCTCCCTCTACATCTGCAATTCTTTTATGTAGAAAAACTACATATTTCGTCTGAAATCCTTATATGTATGAAGATCATGATGTGTTTTTATTCTGTTTTCAGCTTCATGTTTCCTGTTGCAGGTACAATAAGACCCTCTCAAGGTATGTGAAAGCTTAAATTTTGAACTTTTGTTTTTTGGGATTATATTTTGGAACTTAATGATTAAGTGGTTAAATAGTAACTTTTCTTGCTGCCAAATAAAGTAAAATTTTCCTGTAAAAAAAAATTTTTTTTTGAGACAAGGTTGTGCTTTGTACTTGGGGTTGCCGTTGAATTCACTATGTAGCCCAGGTGGCCCTCAAACTCATCCTCCTGCCTCAGCCTCCTGAGTGTTGGGATTGTAAGTGTGAGCCACCATGCCCAGCTAATTTTCCTATAATCTTAAACTTATATGATACCTCTTAAAATTTCTCAAAAGATCTTTAATTTGGAATTTGAAAAGTAATAAGAATCACTCCTCATTTGTCCCAAAACATTATATCAGCAGACTCTTATTTGACCTTAGCGATGGAGACTTTCAACAAGAACCCTAAAAACTATCAGGTAATAAAATTGAAATGAGCTGTAATTTCCTTAGTAATATCTTTCTCTTTTTGTTTATTTTTCTCCTAAGTTATTAGTGCCATAGTGTAGGAGCCTCACATGTTTAATGCTGGTCAGTATATCCAGGACCCAGCACACTGATAGAACAAAATAGCTTCCCTATAGGTGTGTGTTAAATGAATAAACATCTCTCATTACTTCACACTGCCATATCTTCTCTAAGCAATATGATCTCATAATTTTTGTAAATAAGACAGGACGTAATCTGATTTACAGTATTTTACAAATTTCTCTACCAAGTATGCCCCCTTCTTTTGATTTTAGAACCAAGGCCCAACAATATCAGTTGTAGCTCAGACTTCAAGGAAACAGTAGCAAAGAGCTGTAATCTTGACTCATGCCTTGTGCAACTCCCACAACAGTTAGGAAAGAATAAGGACTGTATTAACCTTCTCTTGCTTCCTTCTGCACACTTCATCCTCTCAAGCATATCCTTCCCCCAACTCTCATGCCAAGCTGCTCCTGGAAACTTGCCCTTCTCACAAAGCCGATGGTTATGATAGCCCTGCTAGAGAAACAGACTCCTAGATTACCAACAATGATGAAAGATAAAGAGCGTCTCAATAGCAGGTGGTCAGTAGCTCATCCTGACTTTGTCTCCATTTACAATCAGTGATAGAGGTTGAGTTTCAGGTAAATTTTTCCTAGGATCAGCTGTATTATTTTCATTGTGTTCACATTTGTGCATTATTTAAGCTATCTGTAATTACATGTGTCCCAAATTTAGAGCGAATGACTAGAGATCTTTTGTTCTTTAGGAAGGTATTATGGAGTTATATCAGGTATTGTTAATTATTTTGCATTTTTAGAAACTTTCAAGTAAAAAGCTACATCTGGGGCAAAAAAGACCTCAAAAAGAAGAGATCCCAAAGGTTAGCCAGTACTTTTTCTCCTGAATTTTGGAATTGTTTTGGAGATTTTAAAAATGAAATATGTTAGGATGGACTTTTTGATCATTTGAAGGCTTTAAATTATGCACAGATCATTTCTAAAAGCATTTGCAAGAAACCAACTTCAGGGATGGCCATAAAACCACAAGGCCTTGGACAGAAGTCAGGAGAAAAAGACTTTTCACTTGATGCACTTCTTTTTGTGTGCTGCTGGTGGTTAAACCCAGAATTTCACACACACTAAGCAAGTGCTTTCCAGCTGTCTTAGTTACTTTTTAACTCGGTCACTGAGTCAAAATATCTGATGCCCAAAGCTGGGAAAGGAAAGGTTTATTTCTTACAGTTTTGGAGGTTTTAATCCATATTAAGTTGGCTCCAAGGCAGGGTGGCATGGCAGAGCTGCAGTTCATGGTGGCTGAAAACAGCAAGGCGGAAATTGGCAAGAGAGCGAGACACACCTTCTTCCTGCCATTACATCACATCCTGATTCCACGCCTAGGCCGGGTGTAGTACTCACTCCCACTCCCCAAATCCAAGCACTAGACAACGGACCAATCACAAATGCATAATGCAAAGGCATGAAGCTTGGGGGCCACCAACATAAACCATGACATTCCATGTTTGGCCCTCAAAGACTCATGTACATCCTTTATATAAAAGACATTTAGTCTATTTCCAAGAGTTGCCAAAGTCCTAACATTTTCAGCATTGCTGAGAAGTCCAAGTCCCAAGTCTCCTCCAATATCTATGGCAAACTTTTAACTATAACCCCCTGTACAAATGAAACAAGGTTAAACATTTCTGAAATGCAAAGGCATAAGATAAGCATTGCCATTTCAAAAGTTACAAACTTTTGTATATATATTTGTATATAAAGCATTGAAAACCAAGCAAGTCCAACATCCAGCAGGGTGAACATTAAGTTCTAGACTTCCATGTTCAGTGTTTGAAGCAATCTGGTTGCAAGCTCCAAAAGGCTAGGGTGATTTCACCCCCACAGCACTTTCAGGGAATCAGCTCCCGCAGCTTCTCTCTTAAACCCTCTCTGTTCACTTTTTGCAGCTTTCCTTGGATGATCCATGTTCCTGGCTTTTTCAAACTTCTGGGGTCTCCATTGTACCTTTGTCTTCACCTTTATGTCTTTACAAATTCTCCTGTCAGGAGCACACTGCTTCGCTTCTCAGGCCCTTTGCAATCAAGGAAACCATCTTACCTTCAGAATTTGTGTATTTTTCTTGCATTTAAAATCAGCGCCATGTGGATGCCGCCAAGGTTTGCTGCCAGCTGGAGCAGTAGCTAGGCTTTCTCTCTCTTGGCTGTAGGGGTCAATTGCTTGGATTGCTGACTTCTGTGAACCTGAAGAAAAGCTTCTCTATGTTGTAGCCATTCTGGAAACTCATGTGGCTGCTGCCATTCTGGAACCTCATGTGGCCTCTGTCACCATTCTGGAGCATGGTTGTCTTACTTACTTTTTACTCATCTCTGAGACAAAATACCTGATGACCAAAGTTGGGAAAGATTTATTTCTTACATTTTTTGGAGGTGTTAGTCCATACTCAGTTAGCTCCAAGGCAGGATGGCTGGCAAGCTGAACCTGCAAGACAGCAAAAGAGACACACCTTCCTGCCATTACATTACATCCGGCTCCACCCCTAGACCAGTATAATACTCACACCCCAATCCAAGCACTAGCCAATGAACCAATTACAAATGCACAATGCAAATGCATGAGGCCTGGGGCCCACCAACATAAACCATGACAGTGGTGCTTTTTCTTCTCTTGAGAAATTCTTTCACTTTTGTAGTTTTGAGGCTGCAAAGGGTGGAGACCCGCTGCTTCCTGGGATGCCTCACAGCCATCTTTTTTATCTCTCCTTTTTTTCTCAACAATCAAAGTCTCAGTTCTGTTTTTACAATCCACAGCTTTACTGGAGTTTTCCTTCTAGCCAAACTCATAGCATTTTAAATTATCATGCTGGGCTATTTGCTCTTGATTTGCAACATATATCTGGCTAAAAGCCCCCAACAATAGCCATGTCACAGCCTCAGCATTCTACTGCCTTGAAATTTCCTTTACCGGATTAATCAGTCTGTTACCCTTACTCTCAGTCTTGGGCAAAGTCTCTGGGCATGAGCAAAATGCAGACAAACTTTCTGTTAAGCCATAACACACACCAAGGGGAGTCCAACAACTAATGTAGTCCTTCGCAGCAGAAACCTCCCAAGCCTGGGCTTTACCACCAGGCTTTCTATCAACCTTCTGGTTGATAGGGTTTTCGGTGCAATAAAGGGAGAATATAAAGTAAAAAATAGCCTTTATACTAAGAAGTGGAGAGAACTCCATGACCCCTGGGCCCTGGCTTTCTCTGCTGGAAATGTGGGGTGTGGGCATACATATAGTTTCTGATTGGGGTGATGCTTAGGGCAGCATTGCTAATGCGTGAGCAGCTAATTGGGACTTTTTTCATGCCACTGGTAAGTTGTTATAAGGGAAGGGGGAAGTGACCTCAAGGTAAATATCCCTTGGTCCTGCCTCCCACTGATGTAATTTCGTGTCTAAGGCAAAATCCTTTCACTGGTCTCCTGAGTTTTGACCAGAATCTCCTCTACAGAACAGCCTAAGTTGCTCCAGCTCTATGCATCCAAATGACATGTCCAAACCTTTTCAAATCCTGCCCACAAGCCATTTCCAAAATCTCTCGAAAAACATGGTCAGGTTTAGTCACATCAGGACCCCACTCTTGGTACCAGATTCTGTCTTAGGTATGTTTAACTTGTCACTGAGACAAAATATCTGATGCCCAAAATTGGGAAAGGAAAGGTTTATTTCTTACAGTTTTTGAAGGTTTTAGTTCATACTCAGTTGGCTCCAAGGGAGGGTGGCCTGGCGAGACTGCAGTTCATGGTGGCTACAAATAGCAAGGCAGAAATTGGCAAGAGGGCAAGATATACCTTCTTCCTGCCATTATATCATATCCTGGTTCCACCCTTAGGCCAGTATAGCACTCACTCCCCCATTCCAAGTGCTAGACTATGAACCAATCACAAATGTATAATGCAAAGGCATGAGGCTTGGGGGCCACCAACATAAACCATGACACCAGCCCTTACCCTACCACCACCACACCCTGCCTCTTTTCCCCAGCTCTTAAACAATTTTTAAAAGAATTTTGCAAAGGGATCTTGCTGAGGCCCCCAGGCTGGCCTCAGACATCTGGCCATCTTGCCCCCACTTCCCAAGTAGCTGGGATTATAGGCATGTGCTACTGTACCTGGCCTCACTGAATACACTTTCATGTGTTTAAATAGCATATCAAATACCCGCTACCTATTCAAAAATTAAATTGATTAAAATGAATACAACTTTAGGGCCAAAGGCTATGAAGGAAAACATCTTACTGAAGCTACATTTAATCTGTTCATTTCATTTCATGATACCTCAGGGTCTTTGTATTTGGTATTTGTCTGAAATATTTTTTTCAAATATCTACATGATTTGTTCTCTTCAGGTACTTTGTTGGAGATACCTTGTCTGTGTCTTACATAAAAGAACAACCACTTCATTTCCCAACTCCCCTTTTTTCCCTTTATCTTACTTATTTTTTGCCCTAGCTCTTAACCATTACCTGACATGTAGTTTGTTAAGTTTGTATTTTTATTTTATTTTTGAAGTACCAGGAATTGAACCTAAGGCTTTCACATTGAGCTACATCCCCAGCTCCTTTTGTTTTTTATTTTGAGACAGGGTCTTGCCAAGTTGTCTAGACAAGACTCAATTTATGATCCTCCTGCCTCAGCTTCCCAGAGTGCTAGGATTGCAATTAAATACCTAAATAAATTATTGAATAAATAAGCAGCCTGGCTGTAGTAGCTAGTGCTTAAAATTAATGTTTCTGAAATTAAGCTACATATAAGTAATCTGGAGAGCAAACAAAAAGTGCAAGATAAATATAAATTCTCTTAAACCTTTACTTTTTAAACTTGATTTAAAAAATGTTTAAGCCGGGTGTGGTGGCTCATGCCTATAATCCCAGCACTCGGGAGGCTGAGGCAGGATGGTTGCGAGTTCGAGACCAGCCTATGCTACAAAGTGAGCTCAAGGCCAGCCTGAACTGCACAGCAAGACCCTGTCTCAAAAAGAAAAAAAAATCTTTAGTCCTGTGTAAGGTCATGAGTTTGATCCCTCGTAACCAAAAAAATCTTTAGTCCTGGTAGAACCAACAGGACTATAACATGTTATAAAATGCAAAATTAGAGGGGCTGGGGATTTAGCTCAGCAGCATAAGCATCTGCCTTGCAAGTGTGCAGTCGTGAGTTCGATCCCTGATACCGATAAAAACAAAAAAGACAAAAAAAAATTGCAAAATTAGAATACTGTGAAATTTGTGCTTAAGCTTTGTAGTGACTTTACTCTTTTCAGTGTCAAATACCAAGCATTCATTTAGAACTGTACCTTACATATGCCAGGCATTTAGTGTTTATTAAATCCCCAAACATTCATTCTCCTCTGCTCTTGAAAATATAGTACTTTATTGGTAAAGTTAAGAAGATACTAGTCTAAATTATACTTTCATGATGGTTTTTCTGTCATTGCATCATACACTCTACATGCCAAAGTATGTTCATGTTAAGAAAAAGGAGAGGAGTAGCATTTCCTTGACACTTGGAGCATTAAACAGTTTTACAAACAAGAAACAGATATAGAAAGAAGTTAAGCAGATATCCCCAAAACTAAGAAGTGACACTTCTGGCTGGCTTCCAGAGTCTGTCCTCTCAAGTGTTATTGCATTAGTTTTCTACTGTCGCATGACAATTTACTCCAAAACAAAACCAGCAACATTATTTCTTACTGTGCCTGTGGGTGAGGAATCAAGAGTGGCTCTAGCTCAAGGCCTCTCATAAACTTGTGGAGATGTCAGCCAGAAGAACTTGAGTCATCTGACAGTTTCACAGGGCTAGAAGTTCTGCTACCAAGATGTCTTATTCACATAGATGACAAAGCTATGCTGCTTTTGTCAGGAGGCCTTACTTCCTTACCACATGGATTTTCCAGAGGACAACATGAATGTTATGACACAGAAGTGGCTTTCTCCAGAGCAAGTGCTGTCATTTTCACAATGCCTTGTTGGTTGTGCAAAGGAATGGCACAAATATGTGAATACTAGGAGGCAGAAATATTGAGGCACTATCTTGAAGGCAAAGTACCAGAATTAAGCCATTTTACTTATTTTTTAATGTGCATACAAATTCTGTAGAACAGATATTTCCTTCCTTTTACAGATGAAGTTTTTGTAACTTGTCTAAGATTATACAGTGAAATAAATGATAGTTAGAATTTATACTCTATCTCATCAGGAACCTGTATGTTTTCTTTTTTTTTTTTTTTTTTTTTTTTTTGTCTTTTTCATTTTATCGGTACCAGGGATCGAACTCACGACTGCCTGCTTGCAAGGCAGGTGCTTATGCCGCTGAGCTAAATCCCCAGCCCCAACCTGTATGTTTTCTACCTACTGTGCAGCAGCCTGTCATTCCAAATACCAAGTCTGCTAGGTACTTGGGGTTTTAAGGAAACAAACTTTAAAGGATATTGATTTTAATACTGCCTTCATGTTTTCTAGCAGGCCTCATGCCAATGCAGCAACAAGGATTTCCTATGGTCTCTGTCATGCAGCCCAATATGCAAGGCATGATGGGAATGAATTACAGCTCTCAAATGTCCCAGGGACCAATTGCTATGCAGGTACTTGCCTTTATGCTTTATTTTTTATATACATATTGTTTGTTGTTAGGTTTCTGTTAAAAATGGCATCTTGTTTATATTGCCGAGGGTGGATTTGAACTCCTATGTTTTACTGATTCTCCCTCAGCCTGGGACTACAGGCATGGTAGGCAAACACTTTAGAAATCATAAAAATGTGAGTTATTCGAATTAGCAAAATAGAATGTCAAACTACATTTTCCATAATCTAAGAAATAAAGGCAAAAGTAAAAAAAAAATTGGCAGAGAATTTTAAGTTATTAAAAAGCAACACAGCTGATACTGTAGCAGTGCGGTTAAAAAAAAAAAAAAAAAAGCAACACAGCAGATTTAAGCAATTTCAGAATTGAAAAGTAACCCCCAAAAAGAAATCTTGCCTATAATTCCAGCATTCTGGGAGCCTGAAGTAGGAAGCTTACAAGTTTTGAGACCAGCCTAGGCAATATAGCAACTTCATTAAAGTCTTATTTCATGAAGTGGGGATAGGGTAGCTCAGTGCCAGGGCTCTGGTTTCAATCTCCAGTACAAAAAAAAATTCTATAAATAGTTTGATAGATTAAAACCTGCTAGAGAATTAGTTAGCAGAAGCTAGTTCACATGATGCTGTCTAGAATGCAGACAAAATGAAAAGAGGAAAAATATAGTAGACTTCTATTTTGTTTTGTTTTTGCAGAAGAGGGTTGTGGTGTTTGCAGTCCTGGTAACTAAAGCCAGGACCCTAGCACTGAGCTGCATTTACATCCTCATTCCCGACCTCACCCATTTTTGAGGCAGATTCTTGCTAAGTTGTCTAGGCTGGACTAGAATTTAAGATCCTCCTGCCCTATCCTCCCAAAGTGTTGGGATTACAGGCATGTGCCACTATGCCCAGGTATAGGTGAGATTCTGAAGATATAATGAGAGAAAGCCTATTAAATATTTAATGGAATCCTAGAAACAAAAAAGGAAGAAAGTAAATCAGAAGACATAATGTCAGAAATTTCTTGAGCTGTTGAAAGACATTGATCCACAGATTCAGGAAACCTAATAAATCCAAGCATGATTATATTTAGTTATCTGTTGTTATCTGGTAAGTTACTATAAACTGGAGAAAGTTAATATAGCAACAGAGCATAAAAAAACCTGTTCATAGACATAATAACAGAAAATTTTCCAGACATGAAAAAGCAATTTAACATACAGATAAGCGAGGCATGTAAAACGCCAAGTAGCTGTGATCAAGAAAAAAAAGCAAAAAAACACATCATGCCACTTCACAATTAAAATACCAGAAATGAAAAAAACAGCAAGTTACCTATGTTGCGAAACCCATTAAAATTTAAAGCAGACTTCTCACACAACCGCAAAAACAGGGAAACCTTGGAATGAAGTATTTCAAGCCCTAAAAGAAAACAATTTGCAACCCAGAGTAAAATACTCTGCAAAATTATCTTTCAATTGATTGCAACAATAACAGTAAGCACCTCAATTTTCCTGTGGTTAGGAATTGGTGAGTTGCTTTAATTGGGTGGTTCTGGCTTGGGGTGTCTTACGAGGTCTTAGTCAAGTTAATGGTTAGGCTACATCTGAAAGCTTGACTGAACTTGACTGAGATTAGAAGATGTGCTTTCAAGGTTCCAACATGGCTGGTAGTTAAATGCCATCTGTTGCATTCCATTCCTAGGTGTACTTCTAGTTCCACATACAGCAAGTGATTGAGAGATGATGTCAGATGGTTCAGTGTCTTTTATGACCTAGTCACACTTGACCATTTCTCCAACATAGGGAACACATTGGACTACTGCGCAAGGGGTGAAACCAGAGAATGAAAATAGATAGAAACTCTTATATCCAGATATATTAGAAAGGAACTAGGAGACCACACCAAGGAATCAACTAAAGGGATTAACAGTGTTAAAAGCCATTTATTCAGTGAATCTGAATAAGAAGAGAAGTAAAGCTGGTGAGTAGTGGGGAAAGTGGCCGAATTAACAGATGGAAAATGTTGATATGAGGAAATTGCTAGTGTAGATAAACTGAAAGAATAGGAGATGGTGATCAAGTGTAGGGATACTTAAAATGAAGAATTTGGATGTGGTGCAGTTGTAGATGAAGGCTGCTGGTAGGTCAAGGATATGCCCATAGAATGGGAAGATGAAATGGTGTGTTGGTATGATTGTGTTGAGGAATTCGAAGACCTAAAAGGCCACAGTGCTTCAGTGACTCATCCATATAATCATTGACATCACCAGCAGCAGTTTAGGAGTAGAATAAAAATAACAGTATTCTGAAGTCTTGGACTGAAAAGCAAGGAGGTTGGGGGTCAGTAGATGGCATGAATGAGATACAGTAGTAAGTGATGGAAGTCTGTTGGCAAGAAATTAAAATGTATTTAGGTTTTTAAAAATGGGAGAAAAGAAGTTTGAAGAAACAAGGGGGACTATCCCCATTTACAAGAAATACAGAAGAGAAGCAATAATCTTCAAATGAGAGAGGACAGAAGGGAAACTTTCAGGAAGAAGGTTGAGGAACATAAGAGTTTTACTCAGTGAAAATTAGCCATTATTACCATTTTTAGTCATCATTTTTAATACAGATTTTATGGTAACCTGTTGTGACATATTGTTATTTCTGGCTGCTTCAGTGAATTTTGTTGAGTAATACATTTTGTTTTGTGTAAAAGGATGAATATCCTTTGATATGGCCTATGATAATGAACAACAGAATATTTTCATAAATATTGAAAATTCATTTGTAGAATAACCAACATATGCCAGAATCTTATTTATTATTGGAAAAATACAAAACATGTTAGATAGGATACTTCTCTAAGCTTGTGGATTAGTAAACTTACAGAAATGTAAGTGTGTGGGTGCTTCCAAACACAGTTTAAAGAATTTACACACACACATGCACCCTCAGACTTTTAGCCATGGTTACCTCTGAGACACTGAAGAAAATGGAGGGCCAATGTGTTAAAAGATGCCCTCTAGGTTTAGCTTAAGTTCTTTAAATCTTTTATTAGAATGCATTATACACTTTTCTGATAAAATGTGAAGGAATAATTTGTGCCAGTTGTATTTTTCTTTGTTACAATTAAAAGGAAAAAGATGATTTAAGCTTTTGTCTGTTCATTCTAGGCAGGGATACCAATGGGACCAATGCCAGCAGCAGGAATGCCTTACCTGGGACAAGCACCATTCCTGGGCATGCGTCCTCCAGGCCCGCAGTATACTCCAGACATGCAGAAGCAGTTTGCTGAAGAGCAGCAGTAAGAAACCTTCAGGATTCAAGGATAACAGATTCATAATAGCAACTGTTCCATAAACTGTCAAAAGATCTCTAACTCCAGATCAAGTGGCTTTTTAAAAATATACCTCTTTTAGAAGTTTATAGCCAAATGAGACCTTAAAGATCTCTACTCAGACCTCTGAACATCTAGGTAAAGTGAGGTTCAGAGAAATAAAGTAACTTGTCAATCCAGGTCACACAGTTACCAACAAATCCTGGACCCAAATGCAGGCCCCTTATTATCCGAAGTTTACTTTTTCTCTTATAGACCATGCCTTCCCAGCAGCTTTTTTTTTTTTTTTTTTTTTAATGTGGAAACTGTTCTTATGTTTATCTCACTGAGATTTGGTTTGGTCTGATTTGGTTTTTGAGATAGGGTCTCACTGTGTAATCCAGGCTGGCCTTGAACTCAAGATTCTCCTGCCTCAGCTCCCTTAATACTCGCATTTCAGGGATGCACCACCATGCTCAGCTGCCTCCCTTATCTTGACATTACTTTGCAAAGAAGGTTTTCTCCCTTGCAAACTAGATAATAAATACAGATACATAATTTAAATCATTTTAGGCTAATTTCCAATGTTTCAGAATTCATATAAGTGAGAAAACAGATTGTCATAAGAAAATTAGAATAAATTAGTAGTGAAGGTTATAGTTCTAGAAATGCAAAAGGATACTGCTAAAACTCCTAGTAGAAGTTCACATATAACAGTTAATCCTTGCAGCTGGATCTTTATTGGATTGCTTTTTCTTTAGAAAACGATTTGAACAACAGCAAAAGCTTTTAGAAGAAGAAAGAAAAAGACGCCAGTTTGAAGAGCAGAAGCAAAAGCTTAGACTTCTGAGTAGTGTAAAACCCAAGGTAATGTGCTCACTCCCTCTCCCCTCTTAAAACACCCAGAATGTGCCTCCTTTCACTCATTCAGTGGATTTTGTCACTGAAGATGCCAGCCCAGGCTTGGACCATGGTTGTTCTTTTCACTTTAGTTTATCTACATCCTAAGGGGAAGCTTTTTCTCTTTCTGTAAGTATGTCCTGTTGTTGATAAGAACAAGATATCAGCCATTAACTTCTCAACTCTTTTTTGTTACCATGGCAAACTTTATATCTTTTTCTTGGGAAACATTAATCTTAGGTTTAGTGATATGAAATGGATTTCTGCTGGACCCCTCACAGAATCCTTAATATGTAAAAGCCTGTCCTAAAGAATTGGCTCTTTTAGGGCCTGGGGATTTAGCTCAGCGGCATAAGCGCCTGCCTTGCAAACAGGCAGTCGTGAGTTCAATCCCTGGTACCGATAAAAAGGAAAAAGGCCAAAAAAAAAAAAAAAAGAATTGGGTCTTTTAATATACTTATTTTTAGAGTGTTATTTTATGCCTTTATTACTTGTCAGAAATATATAATAATACTGGAAATACATTAATCTGTGCTTTTAATTTGAGAAAGTTTAGGACAATACTTTTGTTGTCTCTCAGGCAGGAGAGAAGAGTAGAGATGATGCTTTGGAAGCCATCAAAGGAAATTTAGATGGATTTTCCAGAGATGCTAAGATGCACCCTACCCCAGCATCACACCCCAAGAAATCAGGTAGTTTTAATTTTAAAAAGGATTAAATTTTTTTTCTTAGAAAATGATTTATAGCCCCCGTGTGTTTAATTTACCTCTACTTGTTTGGGAAGAATTAGTGCTGAATTTTTCCTTCAAGCTAAGTGTACATTTGGATATTTAAAATTTACATTGTTTAAATGATCTGATTAGGATATCTTGGGAGCAAAAAAATCTCTTTGTCTTCTAGTTAAACATGAATGTGACCATTTCACTTGTAAATCTTTTTTTGTATAAATGAGTTTGTTAACAATTGAAAATCTGTTCACGTAAAGAAAATGTACATAGAAGTTTACTATTTCATTCTCATTAACAAAATAATTTTACTTTTCATGAACTACTTCAGATTGTATGGTGAATATGATGAAACTTACAAATTCTTAAAATGCTTCATTTTTTAAAATGACAGTGTTCCTCATAAAGTTTAGTTTCAGGGCCAGGGATATAGATCAGTGGCATAGGCAACTTCCTGGCAAGCACAAGGTCCTGAGTTTGATTCCCAGTGCAAGAAAAACTGAAATAATGAAAGTTTAGTGTTTTGATTTTTTTTAATTAAGAGAATAAAACCAAGCAAAATAAAACAGAATAAAGCCAATCAAAACAAAACACTGTAAGTAATACAGGGTTTCAAAACAAAATAGTAGGAAGTCACCAATAGCTACCATAATGCCTCTTGCTGCCTTCAGAATAGTTGTGCATACCATAACACATAGGAAAATCAAGGAAACAGAACAGAATAGAACCAGTAAAAACAAAACAATGAACAAAGGGCCGGGGATTTAGCTCAGCGGCTTAAGTACACCTGCTTAGTAAGCTCAAGGTCATGAGTTCGATCCCTGGTGCCAAAAAGAAAGAAAGAACAAAATACAGGACTTGAACAAGATTATAGTAAATCAAACACAACTACCATAATATATCTTGTTATCTTTGAAATAGCTGCCCATGCCATCAGGTATCAGGAAATAAGGCAAAACAAAATAAAACCAAACCAAACCAAACAAAACAAAACAATGAAAACAACACAGAACTTTAAAACAAGATAGTAGGGAATTAACAATGGCTACCACCTTCATACTAATCTTCATACTGTGCTCCAAATAGATGATCGGATTACCAGCTTTAGGCCTGCAAAGTCAATGAAACACAAGCATTAAGTTGTATTTTACTTAGATAGCTGTCATCTGTGGATCACTCATGGAGTGGGAAGGGGGACTCTTTTTGTCACCCAGCCTGCACATTGGGAGGGGTTGGTGTCTGGTTGTCCTCCCTGTGGCCCATGCATGGCACCAACTCACAGGAAGTGACTGGCTTCTTGTTCTCCCTGCAGCCCCCGAATGGCACAGACTAACAGGAAGGAGCTAGCATCTGAACATTTAGTTTCTTTAATAAATTTCTTCGTAATTTTTTATCATTGGGTAGATAAGAAAAATACCTATTTAGAGCAGAAAAAGGGATTTTTTTTAATTGCTCAAAGCATTTGGCAGTTGAAATAATCTTATACTGTTCATGTGTTCTTTTTTAAAAATTCAGTATTTTTACATTATCAGCTGATTTAAAGAATAACATGCCACTAATAGGTGAATGGTTTTCATAAGTCATTCAACCAATTAAGAAAGTGCTATCCTTTGTTGGAAAATCAGTGAATTTTATCTTAAATCCTTGTATTATGATACCTCTTACATGATATCAGGAGAGAATAATTTGATATGGCTTTACTGCCAACTCTTGATTTTCTGGGACAGCTTTGACTCTGTCCTATTATTTATACTGGTTAGATTGTATACTAGATTCCCCTTCCAAAAATGGGCATAATGTATACAACCAGTATTAAAAAGACAATAGAATAATCAGATTGAGATCAAAAAGCAAAAACATTTCTAAGAATTAAGATTATAAGCCAGATAAAATTATCAAGAAATGACTTAAGAATAAACACTTGCAAGTTAGTACTAAAATTGGACTTGACATTGAACTTAAAGAAAAAGAACAGACAGCCAGAGAGGTATGATCATTGTTAGGTCAAACTCTATTCTGTTTATATAGAATGCCCTTTTCAGCATCCAGATGTATTAAAAATGAGAAACACTCTTTGTTAAGAAATCGGTTGGTGTTAACTAGGCATAGTGGTATACACCTGTAATCTCAGCACTCAGGAGGCTGAGGCAGGAGGATCACCATGAGTTTAAGGCCAGCCTGGGCTACATTGTTTATTAACTACTTAGCAAGACCCTGTCTCAAAGAACAAAAAGAAGGAAGGAAGGGGATGGGGGAAGAAATGAAGTTGGTGCTTTGAGGTTCAGATCTCCAGAATTCAATCAATATATTTGCAATTTACACTTTCTAGTTAAGTACTTCATGCAAAGATAGAAAAAACATGATTAGAAGCAACTCCAAGAAGATTCCAGAGCCTCTCCAGTTAAGTTTTAAAGCTAGCCTTAAAGCATAAAAAAAAAAACTAACCCTTTTACCATTAAAGGCATCTTTTAATTTTCTTCTATAGACTTTAATCTTAAAATATTGAATATACAAACCATATTTATCATATTAAATTTTATGTTTCTTGTTTATCATATATACATAGTTGCAAGAGTTTATGAGCCAAAATATATACCACATAAAATTAACATAATTCCAGCCACAGGCAAGGAATGCTGGTTTAGCATTTGCCATATATTGGATTATTAAATATACTTTAACACTATTGAAATATAAAATATACTTTGCATTGTATTGTAAAATGGATCGAGAGTCCATTTTTAAAATTTTCAAAGTCACTTGGAAGGTTGAGGCTGGAGGATCCTTGGGAGTTCAAGACCAACCTAGGCGACAAAGTGAGGTCAAGGCCAGCCTGAACTGCACAGCGAGACCCTGTCTCAAAAAGACAAAAAAATAAAAAATAAAAAAAATGAATAAAATTTTCAAAGTAGCTAAGAACCTAACTCCATAGTGTTTATAAACATTGTTGAGAGGCCTGGGATTTAATGTGGCATGGCCTTTTCTTTTTCAAATAAAATTAATTATAGCTATAATTTTGTATATTTACTTTATATCTTTCATAGAATTTCAGTACTTACGGATTTTATTTCATTGTTCCTAAAGAGTAGTAATAAATATAGGTACTGATTTTTCAGATAGTAGCTATTTCTTTAAAAGTGCTCCTTATGACATTAAACTTCAGTAAATATTAAAGCAATTCAAAGTAGGTATGAAGAAGCAATAATAAAGTTATACTAACGAACTTCATGTTAAATGTAAGCCCTGGGCAGGGATGGTGGTACCTGCCTGCAATCCAAGCATTCTGTGAGGTGGAACTTGGAAGCTCACAAATTTGAGCCCACCCTAGGCAGTTTAACAACTTGTCAAGGTCCTATCTAAAATTTTTAAAAAGGGGATGGGGAACTGGGGATGTAGTTCAATGCAGAGACCCTGGGATCAATCCATAATATCACCACTAAAAAACGTGTAGTCCCTGTAGAACAAGTTTGTTGAATGAATCTCATATAAGCAAGTCTCACGTTTACAGAAAAAGCCACAGTGGTATTTATATTATTTAGTGTCAACATATTTTTAAATACAGTTCTCAAACACAATGGGTTTTCTTACGTGAACTGTTGAATTATTTCATTCAGAACTTTGTGGTATCCATTTTGAGACTTCTCATAAGAAAATATCACCTTGATAATGTGTCTAATGCTCTTGTGTTTTGTAATATTCATTTCCCACGTGATAACTTTACTGAAACGTGTTCTATACAAAGTATATGAATCAGCCATGGTATATGGCAATTACAAACTTGTATTGTGCATTATTTCTAAGATTTTTACTAAATAATGAAATTTAAACCTCAGAGAATGTATTTGCCCAAAATCTATTGAGCAACACATTGGTAGATTTTTATTTCTAGTATATATAATGAGTTTCAGAAACATTATCCAGGTATACAGAACATTTAGACTTCAAAAAAAATTACCACTGTTGTATAAATTCATTAGGGGTTTTGGTTAGGCAAGTAGTACTGCTTAATAAGAAAAGAAGGAAATACTGAGTTTTACATTTTTCTATTTTTGAATCAAATGCAAAATATAAAACATTTTAAGAAGGTATAAAAGTGTGCATCAGTCTCAAAATGATTTGCATGCATTGTATAATTCCACTTGACTATTATTACTTGTTATTTCTTGTTCACCTCCACTGGTTATAATTTCAGTGTATTCTTTGAAATTTTACTACATCTTCTTTTTCTCCATTGATTTTCATTTCTGTGTGTTTCATTACCATTTTCCATTTTGCAGATTGCCCCACATCATCTCATTCTACTAAAACTGTCTCCCCATCACCTGCCTTTCTTGATGAAGAAGAATTCAGTGACTTTATGCAGGGGCCTATTGAGGTTCCCACATGTGGGCCTTCTTCCACAGCCCAGCCCTTTCAGTCTTTCCATCCCACCACCCCACTTGGGCAGTTGCACACACAGAAGGCTGGTGCACAGCCTCTCCCTCCAGGTCAGATTCCAGTGTCTTTTGCCTTACATGGTATCCCTGGGCAAACCCCTTATTTCTCTGCCGCTTCAGCCTCCCACCATGTGCAGAAAACAGGTAACTCTAGCATTTATGGAAATGTTCTTAAAATATCTTTAGGTTAATATATTTCTCTCATATAGGTAGAATAATACCAGTGACATTGGCAAAGAAACATGTGCTTGAATGTAAGAGTACTATTGAAATCTGTCCAATAAGAATCTAGTTTTTTTTAAGTTCCAGAGTCATATGCCAGAAAAAGAGTATAATATGTTTTGCTACTAAATTAGAAACACTTAAACCACCTTGTAACTTTAAGAACAAACTTCATTCTTAAAATGACTCTAGGGGGAAAATCATCAATACCACTTTCTTATTAATAGACAAGCTTAGAAAAGCTGTTTTGCAGAGTGCTTTTTCTGGTTCCCTGACAAAGTCCTGGGAAGCAGAAGCCCAGAATGTTCCTTTACTATCAGTATGTTCTTGGACAAATCCTTTAAACAGTTGTGTATCTCAGTATCCATGAAATAATGGGGCAGCTACACATTCTGTCTTCAAACATAGTATAGTGTTGGGAGGGATTTTGTCATGTACTTAGTCCAAACTATTATTTAACAGATGTGGAAATAGACCCAGGAATATTGCTGCCAGAGGTCTCCCCAGTAATTACTGCAAGTTCTATATCTTATAGATTGCCACATGTCCAAGGTAGTGCTCCTTCCACTATACTATTCTACCTCCTATAAAGAGTTCTGGAAGATCAGAGTAGATAATTATTTTTAAGTTCTCTAAAATTTCTAGTTCTCTCACGTCCTAGTCAAATGAGAGGGGCCTGGATTATTATCAGAGTTTACCTCATATGTGGCTCGGCCTTCTGCTTAGAATATGGGTGGCAAAGAAATAATTTAAAAGATTAGAAACATGCAGTTATGTACAAGTAATCCTTCATGCTGTTTGTTTAGGCCCGCCCTTGGAGGACAAGCTACTAGTGTCTTGTGACATAAGTACATCTGGGCAGGAACAAATTAAATTAAATACATCTGAAGTTGGGCACAAAGCCTTGGGCCAAGTTTCCAGTAAGAACCAGCCCAGTTTAACGGCCAATAATGGGGTTGCTGTAGATGGATGTGTAAGTGGTGCCACCATTACAGAGGCAGAAAAGACTTCAGACCAAAACCTGTCAATTGAAGAGAGTGGTGAGCTCATAAATCATTCAGCAAAAATTTGTTTAACCAAGTGTCGCTCAAATGCTAACACCTTAAGCATTAATCTTAAAATGAATGCTGCTTGATTTTGCTAATGAAAAATTTGCTTTAAATATATTTGATGCAATCCTTTCTCCAATTAACCCCTGAGATTTTGCTCTGAATTCTTACAACACACTATATTACTCCTTTTCAAAAAATGATTTTGATAACCTGTTTTCTTCATCAGAATCATTCTTGATTTAAAATTTTCTTTCCTCTTATGTGTTCTTTTTTCCCCTTTACACTTTCTCTTCTTCCATAAAGTTTAAAATTTAAAATGGAAAAGTCACCAATGAGAGCATGATTTTGCTTTTATTGAAATAAAAATCATCTGGGGCTGGGGATTTAGCTCAGCAGCATAAGCGCCTGCCTTGCAAGGAGGCAGTCGTGAGTTCGATCCCTGGTACCAATAAAAACAAAAAAGAAAAAAAGAAAAGAAATAAATCATCTGCATTGTTGTCTGTAAGTTTCCCAGTTTGGAGTGTGGGGAGGAACTCGGTGGTTGTGCACCTGCATGACATGCATGTGACCCTGAATTTAGTCCCTACTATAAGAAAAAAAAAAATCCAAATTTTATAAACTCAGTCTGAGTAATGAGTAAGAACATAGATGCTCTAAATCCAAACTTCTGGATGATATTTTACTTAACCAATAAGTAAATAAACACTTATGGTAGCAATGTCATTTCCAGGTTTATTTGGGTTTTTTTTTAAAGTCAGGCTTTACAAAGAATTATCAAAACCTGCAAATAAAGATTGGGCGGTTCATTTTTTAAGCCAGTATCATATTTTTTCCTTTAATTTGTAATACATTTGAAATTCAGAATATTGTTTTGGTACATTACAGTTTTTCGTTACTCTTCAGGACACCTACTGCACAAAAGTAGAAACCAAGTATTTTAGGTTATTGGTGACTTTTTTCAAATGTCTGCAGCCAGTGCTGCTCTTTATAAAAAGCCATGACAATGTGATTTCTCTATCTTCTGCATGGACTGTTACATTCTTTCATAATCTTTATTTTCTAGGTGTGGGAGTGTTTCCCACACAAGATCCTGTTCAGCCCAGAATGCCTTCCTGGATCTACAATGAGAATTTGGTTCCAGGTAAAGAAAAGAAAAAGCCACTTTGCCTAGAATTTCCATCTGGATTTTTTGCTTTAAATAATTACAGATGTAGTTATATATACCTCTTATGGTTACAAAATATACAAAAGGAATTGTCACTTTATTCTTTGAAGGAATATGAAAAATAGATCTGGTGTTTAGGACTGCCTCATCTATGAAATAATTACATAAATACAAAAGAAATGTTTTGCTCTAAATTTTGTTGATCATCATATACCTTTATTTCTAGAAGGTTTTTTATCTTATTTTTTTATTTTTTGAGACAGAGTCTCACTATGTAGTTCAGGCTGACCTTGAACTCACTGTTTAGCACAAGCTGGCTCTGAACTCATAGCCATCCTCCTGCCTCAGACTCCCACATACTGGGATTACAGGCAGGTGCCATCATACTTGCTATTTGTAGAAGATTTCTTGGAGTTATCATGCTTTAATGGTACATTATTAGCCAAGTTTGATGTTGCTTGCCTGTAATTCCAGGGATCTGGAAAACGATCTACAAAACGATCGAAAACTCAAGTCCCACCTGGACAACTTAGCGAGAACCTATCCAAAATCAAAAATAAAAGGACCTGAGATTACAGCTCAAGAGCAAAGTGCCCCTGGGTGCAGTCCCCAATACCACCACCAAAAAAGCCAACATTATCAAATATTTACTTCAGAAATTATTAATAATGTCAAGATTTACACTAGTATGCTTAATATAATTTTCTGAATTCTCAATGGTTGGTTTGTATTTTTACTATTATTTTTTATGACTTGTCAAAAGACTAGGTAGCATCTTTTTCTACAATGTAAAGCACTGTTAATTTTTTCCTTTACGTGAATTACTACTGTTGAGCCCAAAAAGATTACGAAAGTGCATCTTATGATAGTACTCACTGGTAAAGAATAGTCTATTTAAGCTATGATTGATATGCATAGAAAAATGAAAATTACAGCAGCATATGTTAATCTTAATAAATTGTAAATTGTTTAATATACATTGCGAACACCTTGAAAGCTAAAGGTAACTTTCATTAGATCTTGAATTTTCTAAATTGATCAGAGATTAAAGTTATTTGCATTTGATTAAATAAAACTTATGCAGATTATTATCCAGAACATATAACCAGACTGCCCAAATTTAAAGGCCCAATCTATAAATAGGCATTTGAGATACATACTTATCAGATAAAGAAATACAGCAAATAGAGGGCTGGGGATTTAGCTCAGCAGTGTAAGCACCTGCCTTGCAAGCAGGCGGTGGTAAGTTCGATCCCTGGTAAAATGAAAAAGACAAAAAAAAAAAAAAAAAACCCAAGAAATACAGCAAATAAATACATGAAAAAATGTTCAACATCACTAGTCATTTGAGAGATCTATCTCACCCTGAAAAGAATGACTATTTTCAAGAAATCAGCCAGTAACAAATGCTGGAAGGGATGTGGAAAAAAAGGAATCCTCTGCTCCTGGTGGGCATGTCAACTGGTGCAACCACTGTGGAAATCAGTGTGAAGACTTCTTAGAAAACCAAAATTGGAGGTCCCATTTGACCGACCTATTCCCCTGCTGAGTGTCTCCTAGTAGTATTAAAAACATCATACCGGGGCTAGGAATTTAGCTCAGCAGCGTAAGTGCCTGCCTTGCAAGTGCATGGTTGTGAGTTTGACCCCTGGTACCGATAAAAAAAAAAGTCATACCACAGAAACCTATGTGCACCCAGTTTATAGCAGCACAATTTATAATAGCTACATCTTGGAAACAACCCAAATGTCCAACATCCATGGAATAGCTAAAAAAAGATGTGTTCTTTTTATACAGTGGCATACTACTCAGCCATAAAGAAGGATACACTGGAGACTTTTATGAATAAAAGGATGTAACTAGAGACCACACTTACAAGTGAAATAAATTAGACTTGCATGTGTAAACATCATATTGTCTCCCTGGTATGAGAAACTGAAAGAAATAATGTATATATATGATAATTAAGACAGTTTTATTGCTAATTTCTCTTAGTTCATTGAAAAGAAAGATTTGTGCTAATATTGTTTGGACAGTTAAATGAAAATAATTTGTATTCTAAATAACTATTTTTTATTTATTTTAAAGACAAAACAAACAGAACAAAGGAAATCAGAACAGAACAATAAAAGCAATACAGGACTTTAAAACAACATAATAAGAAATCAACAATGACTACCATAATGTCTCTTGTTTTCTTCAGATTAGCTGTCTGTACCAGCAGACATAATAAAATCAAACAAAACAAAATAGAATAAAATCAATCAAAACAGAAGAATGAAAGTGTTACAGGACTTCAAAACCAGAGAGTAGGGAATCAATAATTGCTACAGTAATGCATCTTGTTATCTTAAAAATAGCTGCCCATACTATCAGAAACAATAAAGTCAAGTAGAACAAGACAGAATAAAACCCAACCAAGCTATGAAAACAATACAAAAATTCAAAACAAGATAATAGGAAATTAACAATAGCTACTATTTTCCCTTTTTAGACATTTCTTCACCTATCACTTCCATCACATGTTTTTACATATTGGGTCCCACTAACTCCTGTTTTTACGCTATTTGATAGCACAATGTTCACCCATATGAGTCAGAACCATTTCACCATGAGCATGATCTCAAGTTGCATCCATTTACCTACAAGAGCCTTGAAAATAACCTTCTTTACAGCTGAGCAACTTGCCATTGGGTGAAAATACCATATCTTTCATATCTGTTCTGCAGTGGATGGACAAGTTACCCCTGCTTTTTTTCTGGTTGCCTATCACATGGAACAATTGTTTTTTCTCCTTTGACTTTCTCCTTTGTCTATGAATTTGCTTTCACTTTAAATGTGTTTCTTGTATACTACATGTTGATGAATCTTGTTCTCAATCCGCTTTGCCTGTGTTTCTTTTTATTGGTGAATTGAGGCCATCTACATTAATGGTCATGACCAACATGCATGGCTGTCTCTTCCATGCATGGTTTGTCTCTGCCACGTTTTTTCCTACCATTGGCTTCCTACTTTGCTCTCTCATTCAACTGTCTGCCCCACTTGGTGATCCCATTCTGCTTCTGTGCCTGGGATTGTGGTCATTTTTATTTCTCTCAGGAGTATCCTTCAGTACTGTGTAGAGTTGGTTTAGTGGTTACGAATTCTTCTAGTTGTTCTTTGTCGTGGAAGTATCTTATTTCTACATCAATTTTGAAAGATAGTTTTGCAAGGTACATCAGTCTGGGTTGGAAGTTGTTTTCTTTCAGAACTTGAAATACTTCACTCCAAACTCTTCTTAACTTGATGGTTTATGTTAAGTCTGCTATGATTCTGATGGGTTTTCCTTTATAAGTGACCTGTTTCTTTTATTCTAACAGCCTTTAATATTCTATTCTTTTTTTTGTCTTTTTCTTTTTCTTTTTTATCGGTACCAGGGATCGAACTCATGACTGCCTGCTTGCAAGGCAGGCACTTATGCCACTGAGCTAAATCCCCAGCCCCCAATATTCTGTTCTTGTGTTGAATTTTTGGGATCTTGATTATTTATGTCTGGGCTTGATTTATTTTGGTTATGACTAGTTGAAGTTCTATATTCCTCATTTATTTTTATGCCAGGTCCTTTCCTATGTTTGGGAAGTTTTCTGCTATTATGTCTGTAAATAGTCTTTTTATGTTATTTGTGTTCCTGCTTTTTCACTGACACCTTCACTCTTAGATTATTTTCTTTGCATTGTCTTGCAGCCATTGAATTGTTATTTCCTGGTTTCTTGTTATTTTTAAGAGATCTTTTCTTTCACGATTGCTAGCTGCAATCCTGTCTTCAAGATCTGAAAGTCTATCTTCTGTCTCTTTCAAGCAATTTTGCCAGCTTTCAATGGAGTTTTTAATTTCTTGGCTATCTCTTTGAATCTGTTTCATGCATTATAATTCCTTCCTATATTGTTCACTTAAGGTGTCTATCATTTTCCTATGCTCCTCTTTTTTATCTATGTCTTCTTTAGATATGCTCAGCAATTCTCTACATTTATGATCTTTTTTTTACCTGAGACATTATTTCTGAGTACTTTTACAGCCTCATGAAGTTGTTTCTTTACTGCAGTTACTATCCTTTCAGAGATTTCAGATGTGTGACTTCCATTTTCTTCCATGTCTTTCTCTCCCAGACTTGTTCTGTGTGGGCTGGAGGTCTGAAGTTGCCTTTTGCTCCTTGGTCTTGACATTTTCCTGGGTTCTTCCCAACAAGCCAGTTGTGGGGTCCCAGGCACTTCTACATTGGTTGCCCTTCCACTGTGTAGGGGAATGGGCCAAGCACCTAGGTTTCTTGGAAACAGGTTCCTGGGGAGAAAGTGGGACATAGGATGGGCTTCTCCAGACCGGTGCAACTACACTGAGGTTTCCCTGTTGGTCCTGGGTGCATGGTGGTGGGGCTGCTGCTTCTCTCAGCTTGTATAGCTATCCCAGAACACCCCCAGTGGCAGCAGGCGCACAGTGGCATGTTTATCTGATTTATCCAGCCCGTGTTGGCTGCCCATGGGAAGCAAGAGTTTCCAGTGTTGACCTGCAGGTGCACGGGGCATTTCTGGCTGTTTCTCCCTGTCCACACTGGTTCCCTGAAGGCAGCAAGTCTCGGGATGGTGGCGGGCATGCAGAGGCAGGTCTGGCTGTTTCTCTGAGTAACTAATTTAAAGATAACAATACACAATGTATTAACTATTGCTACCTTCTAATTATCTTGTTTTGAAATATTGTTTTTTTTTCTCTTTAAAAAAACAAAAGCTTATGCAAGATTTCTGTAGCTGAATTTATACTACTGATGACTGCATCACATAATCGTACTAAAAAGCTAATTATTCCCAACAATCACATGGGATTTCAAAAAGTGTACATAAAAATAATAGATTTTTTTCTAGCTACGCTTTTACATCTTCCCCTTTCATCAAACCAGACAGAAACTAGATCTTAGTTTATGCTCTGAGTTTTTCCATTTTCTGTCAGTTTATGTTTCTTTCTTCCTCTTCGTTGCAAATATACATGCATACTGTACTTTCTTGATCAAAAAGTATATTCTAATTGCCAGCCTACTAACCTGTAATCCATATTTATGTAAGATGTAAGATTTTTGTTATAAACGTCCTTCTCTGTCACTCTTAATACCACTCCCTTTCCAGCAGCTCCTCTAACTAACTAAGCTTGCCAGCTTTCAGGTAAAAACATATGGGTGCACAGTTACATGCAAATTTTAGATAAACTGCAAATAATTGTTTAGTGTACATATGTCCCATACAGTATTGGCATTCTTCGTTTTTTAATTGGCAACCCTGTTTCTAACAGCATTTTCTACTTTGTTCTTTGGAAACCTTGTGTTACTACAGAAAACTTACCAATAGATTCTTCCTGTTTTCAAACATTTACCATCACCCCTAAATTCTCATCTTTAGGACAAAACTTCCACCTTTCTTCTGAGCTCCGAATCCTAATTCTACTTCCTTGCATTAACTGCAATCGGGTCTTTCCCTGAAGACTGTATTTCCAAAGCACCTTCTTCAAGGGTGTTTGTTCCTAGAACCTTTGAATCATTGGGCCAAGGAAAAGGTGATACTGGTGTAATTCTGTTTCCCAGTGCTACTTTCAAGGTGTTTTACCATCACTACTCTACAAAATCCTTTGCTTTGAAGTTCAGAGTACAGTACTGTATCTGCTTATACCCTCCATCTTAATGTTGTTTTTAACCAGAAAAATTAATAGAATTGAAAAACACTGTTACAATCTTGCAGTGGATTTTAAGACAGTATCTTACCATCACTTCTAAATTCTCATCTTTAGGACAAAACTTGCACCTTTCTTCTGAGCTCCAAATCCTCATTGTCTGCTGGATATTTCCACTTCAACTTCTTTACAGCAAGTTAAACCCTGATATGGTGAGGCATGATGATACATGCCTATGATCCTAGCATTCAGGAGGCTGAGGCAGAATGATCAAGTCGGAGGGCTCCATAGTAAGTTAGGAGTCAACCTGAACTGCATAGTAAGACCATGTCTCAAAAAGCTAACACAGGGGAGGCGGATTTAGCTCAGCAGCATAAGCGCCTGCCTTGCAAGCAGGCAGTCGTGAGTTCGATCCCTGGTACCGATAAAAAGGAAAAAGACCAAAAAAAAAAAAAAAAAAAAAAAAAAGCTAACACAACAGAAACAAATAAAACTCCAAGATGTGACTTCAATTCCATTACAGCAGTCTGATCTGAAGATTACTTTCATATACCAACAATGACAAAAATACCAGTCATTAACAATGTGTTTGTATTTCTTTTCTTTAATAGATGCCTACAAGAAAATTTTAGAAACCACAATGACTCCAACCGGAATAGATACTGCTAAACTTTATCCCATTCTGATGTCATCTGGACTTCCCAGGGAAACTCTTGGACAGATATGGGCCTTAGCTAATCGAACTACACCTGGCAAACTTACCAAGGAAGAACTTTATACTGTTCTCGCCATGGTAGCAGTAACACAGGTAGAAAATGTTTCTTAAATTAGATTAAATAACTTTTAATATTATTTGAAAGAATATGAATCCTTTTCTTCAGTCTTATAGAACCCCTTGTACATTAAATTTTAGATCAATTTTAGATCAAATTTAGATTAAATTTTAGATCAAATTTTAATCAATGTAGAGTTTATTTGATGCCCATACTAGCAAGTTATTTTTTATTTAAAGACTAATATATAACATTCTCTGGCCTTGCTGTATCCCTTTTAAGCTTGAAAGTTACCAATATGTAATATTATTCTCTCTGTCCCTTAAAGTCGTATTTAAAATTCCTTAGACATAAAATGTTCCCAGTCTAGTAACAATTTTTTCTTATACTACAAAATTAATTTAAATTATGAGATTATAACAAATTAGCCAAACTTGTCCGAGAAAGAAAATGTCAGAATGGCTATGTGTTGGCCATTTCTTTGCTAAGTTTTAGGTGTATATTTTTTTTCTTGTATCAGCTTCACAAGTTTTGGGAGTCAGAAAAAGAATCAGAAATAATATGAAACCTAAAAGATCTACCAGATTTAGAATGTGTCCTGTAGTCTCCTAAATTGTTCTCATTTTCCTCTGTTCTGTAGAGAGGTGTCCCTGCCATGAGTCCTGATACTTTGACTCAGTTCCCAGCAGCCCCTATTCCAACCTTAAGTGGCTTTCCAATGACTCTGCCTGCCCCTGTGAGTCAGCCCACTGTGATCCCGTCAGGGCCTGCAGGTTCCATGCCTCTCAGCCTCGGACAACCAGCCGTAGGTATTAACCTTGTTGGACCAGTGGGTGGAGCTGCAGCCCCAGCTTCTAGTGGCTTCATGCCAACTTACCCAACAAATCAGGTAAGTGGAAAAACTACGTATTCTAAATAATCCCGCAAAGTGCATTTGGACAACTTTCTTCCAGAGACTCATACTGCTGGCCACTTGTGATGACCACTTGTGATTTTATTAAACAGTATTGGGCAGGGGGATGTAGCTCAGTGGAACAGCACTTGCCTAGCATGCAGAAGATCCTAAATTCAATCTCCAACACCAGAAAAAGATTTTTTGAAAAGTGTTAAAACAATACAAAATTTCACTTTTCATTGTTTAAAATTATGAAGTTTTTTAAGCATTAAAATCTGAGTTTTGGGTTCAAGGATATAGCTCAGTGGCACAGCACCTACTTGGCAAGCACAAGGTCCTGGGTTTAATTCCTGGTACCAAAAAAAATCTGACTTTTGGGTGAAGAGTTGTATAATTGTTTATAGTGTATACATTTTAAACATCAAACTAATAAATGTAAATGTTTAAGTTAAATCTTTTGAGGAAACTGCTAAACCCAAAATTAAAATACTTCAGTTCATCTTTCACTTCTCAGATTAGTAAACAAAAAAAAAAAAAAAAAAAATTTAAGTGTAGAATATTTACTGTCAGTGAAAATATATAGGGTAAATAACTAATATACTGCAAGTTCATTGGTGCAGCTTTTTTTTTAGGTATCAGGGATTGAACACAGGACTTTTTTTTCAGTGCACTACATCCCTAGCCTGTTTTTTAATTCTTGTTTTTAGACAGGACTTGCTCTGTTTCCCACACTAGACTCAAACTTGTGATCCTCCTAACTCAACCTCCCAGAGTGCTGATTCTGAGTAGCAGTCACACTGCTAAGGAATCTATCCACCAGAAATAATATCTCAAATTAGCAAAGATATACCAAGGATATTTCTTAAAACATTATTGGAATGAAACATTAGAAATAGCTAAATGCATATCAGAAGGAAAAAATGTAAAGTATCATTTATTAATAAGTATTAGTGGGGCTGCGGATTTAGCTCAGCAGCATAAGCACCTGCCTTGCAAGCAGGCAGTCGTGAGTTCGATCCCTGGTACCGATAAAAACGAAAAAGACATGATAATAATAATAATAAGTATTAGTATTAATTCATCTATACAGTGGTTAGTCATTAAAATGAGTGATATAGACCCACCTGTACTGCGTGGAGGATGCCTATTATACAACTTTATATTTTTAAAGTACAGAACAATAGTAAAAGCTTGTTCTTCTGTAAAACAGATTTAACAGTACTCTTTTCAGGAGCATGAGCTTAGGAATCAGTGTTTTACCATTTACTTTATATGTATATATGTAACTGGTTATGTTGTGCCTGGGTCACTTTGTAATTTATAAACACTCATAAAATATCAATGAGATATTTTTTTTTAAATGTACAATTTGGCTCCTTAAATTTCCGTTTTATCCCAAGAATGAACTCTGGCAGTAAGCTACACTTTTTTTTTTAAATAGAAAATGAGTTAAACCAGACTTTTCCTCTTATTACCAGAATATCTGAAAATGCAAAACAGGATTCTCTCCTTAAGCACTTTGAGTTGCTGTTATATCTAAAAGGTGTTTTTCTGGGCTATAGATGTAGCTCAGTGGTAGAGCTTGCCTAGCATGCATAGTCCTTTGGTTTTGATCCCTAAGCCTGGGGGGAAAATGTTCTTAAATTAGATGATTATAAGTAAACTGAGAAATGTAAATGGCAGTCTTTAAAGTTGAGAGCTAGAGATTAGTTGTTTACTTATTAGTTTGATGCTTTCTAAGTAAATGTGTCTGTCAGTTTAGGTGGGAAAGCCAGAAGATGATGATTTCCAGGATTTTCAAGATGCTTCTAAATCAGGATCTCTTGATGATTCATTCACTGATTTCCAAGAGGTTCCTGCTTCTTCAAAACCAAATAATTCCCAGCATGGAAACAGGTATAGAAGTTGAACATGTTTAACATTGTACTTACTGTCTTTGAGAAGGCATCAGCCTATGTCTGTGTAAGAGAAATTGAGACTCCTTACTCTAATACTTTCCTTGATTATTCTCTCTAGTAAAACATTTACTATTTAAATTTTCATCCACCTTAAAATTTGGATTCTGACGTTTCCTCAGTGCACACCTGCTTTATTATCTTGTGCGTGTCTGTACTAAACCTGATTCATTATAGCTGAGTATACCTGTGCAGCGATGGCTGCATGATCTTGTACTAGATCTAGGGCTTCAACTGTTGAAAAGCTTTTAGGCAGGAGCATATAATTTCATAATGTACTGAAACATACTAACGTTATGCAGAAATCATAATTTACAACTCTGCTTATTCATGTATCATGTTTGATGTTAATGGCTTTTAACCTTCAGATTTCTGGTTTTTTGCATAGACAGTCATATTTTCTCCAGGTACTAGCTTAACCTTCAGGTAACTGAGTTGATCATTATGTTATCAACATCTTTTTTCTTGATATATTTAAGCACTTAGAGCAAGACACATAGGCTTTTTGTAGCCAATAGGATTTGGCTTCATTTTGAGATTTGTTTCTGTCAGAATATCCTTCTCTCAGGTTCCTGTTTTTACAGTTTTTGTCATCTTCTGTAAGTGATTGTTTCTTTTTGGGGAGGGGTTACTGGGGATCGAACACACAAGCTCACACTTTCCAGGCAGGCGTTTATGCTACTGAGCTAAATCCCCAGCCCCAATTGATTGTTTCTTGATCTTCACTTCAATATACTCACACTAAAAGCTAAGGAATGCACATAATAGAGAAGTACAAATGAGGAAAAAATTATTCTTCTGATGTTAGAATGCATCAGACATATGTCAGCACTCCTTACATGAAACATCTGAAGAGTATGACTGTACAGTACCAGATGTCCAACACCGTTACACCAGCACATACATTGTTAACCTCACAGACATGTGTTTCTGTCCCAGTTCTCTTCCTTTGAACAAAATTTGTATGTCCTGCTGTTACCTAACCATTCCTATCTGAATGACACAAAGCATCTCAAATTCACTGCATAAAATTAAATTCATCATTTCTTACTCAAAGCCATATAAAATTTTGTTAAATCATTACTTCTTTGGTCACTGGTGTCACCATATCTAGGCACCAAATTAGAAACATTAATTTTTTTTTACCTCTCTCCTTTACCACCATCAGCTTTCTCAGCTCTGCTTGTTATGGAGGAAAGCTTGTGTGTGATCTTGCTCCTGCCTGCTGTGTCAACCCTTGCCTTTTCCATACAGGCCATACTCCAGCCATTCCAAAATGACCAAATTGACCATATACTTTCTTTTTGTCTTTTTCAAGACAGAGTTTTCTGTGCAGTTCACACTTTGATCTCACTTTGTAGCCCATGCTGGCCTCAAACTTCCACCAATCCTCCTGCCTCAACCTCCCAAGTACTGGGATTACAGGCAGGCACTACCATGCCCACCTGACTGTTTGCTTTCAAGCTTATGGTTTTATATGTTCTGTTTTCTCTTTATGATTAATTCTTGTTCCATGTCAGAAATCAGCTGATTTTTTCCTGACTCTTTTCCAATAGTCCTTACTTCAAGTGAATGAAAGATTCTCCTTCTCTACTCTCATAGCACCTTGTGAACATCAGTGTTCTAATTCCAGTTACTGGTTTTCTTAACTGTTTTCTATATGCAGTGCTTAGCCCATGAACTGTAATTAGTAAAGCTTTGTCAGATGAATATATTATTGTATGGGGACTGTAAACTGAATCCATCAAGTGAATGATTTATTCCTTTCGTAAACATCTTTCTTAATAGACAAAGTTAGGGAGAACAAGGTTTTAAGATGATGGTGGCCAGACCTGAGATGTATGGGCTATTAGTCTTGTTTGAGATTATCTCCATGTTTACTTTCATATTTAATCATTGCAGCCATTTTTAGCACATGTTCCTTTTAGAATTCTGATTCAACTACTTTCATGTTTTTTTTTGAATGAAAGTATCTTGCTTATATCTATAAATCCAGACCCATTATTCATTTGGTTATTTAGCAATACATGATACTAGACCTCACTGCCAGGGGAAATACAGAACCAGGAACCATTTGCTACTGCAGAGAAACTTAGCTGATTTTCTTGGTGTTTTTTATCTGGTTTTGGTACTGAAGATTGAACCCAGGGCCTTTAACTGGTTTGCATGCCCAGACTTTATTTTTGTTTTGAAGTGATTTTATGTATTGCTGAGGCAGGATTTGAATTTAGGATCCTCCTGCCTCAGTCTCCCAGATATGAGCCACCCCTCCTGGCTATTTATATTATCTGTTAAGTTCTCTTACGATTCATTCTTAAATGGTTCTGCATCCTCAGGTTCAACCAAGTGCAATTTGAAAATATTCAGAAAAGAACTAGCATTTGTATTGAACATGCATATTTTTTTCACTTCTTTGTTCCATAAGTAATACAGCCTGACACATATTTATGCAGTATTTATATTGTATTAGGTGTTGTAAGTTATCTGGAGATTTGAAGTATATGGGAGGGTATTCATAGGTTATATGCAAATGGAAAATCATTGTATGTGAGAGACTTTAGCATCTGCATATATAATACATATATACATACAAAAAGTGAATTCCCATCATAAACATATACAATAAAGGAGACTTAAAAAAAAAAAAAGAAAAAAAACAGAATTGTATTTTCTGATAATACTAAAAGTGAGGTGTGGGAAGTCAGAATTTTCACCAGATTCATGCTTTCTTTGGGATGCTGAATATAATATGGCCTTGCCTTTACTTAGCTTTGGGCCATAGCCAACAGTCCTTGGATTGCAGTGGAATCCACTTTAGCCTCTTTCTATTGTTGTGTGGTGTTTTCTTCCCTGGTAAGCATGGCAGTCTAACTGGATTGGGGCCCATGCTCAAGACCTTATTGTAACATGATTACAGCTATAAATATACTATTTTCAAATAAAGTCATATTTATAAGAAAAAACTGAATTTCCTCATATCTATATTCCCTATTGTGAGTTTGTATTAAAAGGAGATTTGTTAAATCATGATATAACTGGCTAACCCTTGGTAAAACCACTTAGTATTTTAAAGCAGAAAATGGGCATTCTCTGTGAGATGAAAAATCAAGTAAGAGGTGTGGTAGAGAACATTTTTAGTTGGTGAGAAAATGAGTTTAAAAGCAGCCCAGGTTGGGGAGTACTTTATGATTTGTGCTGAAATCTGTAAAACATTTTAGGAAGCAGTGGCGTAATGAGAGAAATTGTTCTGCTGGGTGGGGATCCCTTCAGCTGCTGTGTAATCTTGTTGTTAGATGAAACGTGCTCTGGGGTTGGAGTTACAGACACTGAGCATTTTATGTTTGAAAACCTAGTTGGAGTCAGTTGCCCTGGATATTAGAGGGGAGATAGCAATCTAAAATATGGAAAGGGTCTTGAAATACAGCCCATCAAGTTGCCTATTCAGGAAATACTTGGAGTACACTGGGCACTAGGAAAGCCTATGGTAACCAGCAAAGCAGACATGGAGATTGATAGAAAAGTTCCAAAAGGGTTAAGTTAATAGGGTTTGGTTCGTTTTTGCTAAGATCAAAATGTTTTTTGAAATGTTTTTATTTAGCAGGGTGAGCAACTGAGTATAGCCATCTACCACAGCCATATGATCACAAAACATACGTGAAATCGTTTCTTAGTCTTTTAATGGAATGCAAATTAATAAATTTTAATACAATATGCCTCTCTCACTTGAGTATTTTCATTAATATAAAAATAGAAGTAATTTCATGTTTAGGATAAGTAATAGCTACCATATATAACTGGCATAAACACTTTGATGGTAATTAGAGTCTTTTTTAAGTAATAAGCTTAGAGAAAGAGCTGAAATGAAACATTCATTTGCAATATACATAAAATTACAGTTTTAGCCAACCCATATTTAAGTGGAATTTTAGTTTGTTGATTTCAATCAGCAATACTTAATTACCCAGATCTTCTCATTTTTCAACTCTATGAATATACTTTTTAAATTAATTATATTCAATTAAGTGTCACAGTTAGTAGGAAGATTGTACCAATGAACTAGTTTTAAAAAAAAAAAAAAACATGGCTAAAATTGCAGGGTCATAAAAAACAAGTACATAGATTATTCCATTTTGAGTAGTTTTTATACTTAGGCACTAATTATCTTTATATATCATTCTGTACATTCTGAGGTGTAGTTTAATTACTTAAGGAACTTCAAAAACTCTACCTAAAGTGTATAGATGATAACCTATTACATTTGTCAAGATCAGATATGTAACAGCTGTTTGGTAGTGATTTGAAATTTTAATATTTCATGGCACCAAGTCCTAAAGCGCTGTGGACTCCCATTAGCATGTATGTGTGAGAGCCTAGCTTTTACCTTGCTTGTAGGCCACTGATAAGAAGATTTAACTGACTGGAAAGATTTTTGCTCCAGGGCAAAGATTTCAATAGAAATCCATTTATATAACTTGTGTGTGTGGTATTGAATGACACAAACTGGTGGTAGGATGTAGTCATTCATATGTAAAGGTGGTTCCTCAGGGAGCTGCCTGGGTCTGATAAGAGGTAAAAGAAAAAAAAAGAGCAATGTTTTCATAGTATGTGTTCAAGCCTTCTAAGAATTACCCATACAGATACTACTCATTACATTGCTTTTCCATCCAGTGAAAAATATGTTCACAAGCAATAGTATCTTTATCTAATTTTGAAGTGATTGTTGTTTTGCTACAAAAGATAGCTTCTGGAACTGTTGATATGATCCTTGTAAAAATGCAAATTGTATTAACTCTGTTGTTGCTTATCAGATATATGAACTTCTGCCAAAAAGCAATGCAATATGATCAAAAGAGAAGAATTTACATGTTGGCTTGAACATCTCATAAATAGATTTTTTTATCTTAACTATTCTTCCTCTGCACTTTGAACTCACCTTAGAGAAAAATTTTATTAAGGTTTATGTAATTTATTTTAAGATACTGAGTTAAAAAAATACTGGATATGCATATTTGGAGCAGTTCATTTTTACAGTTTTATGGACCTTAAGTTAACTTGCAGGAGGTCACCATTCTTTAATAATATATTTCAGTGCTACTTCCAGTCCATTACATATGCTTTAAAGACTTATGAAAATGACTGATGCCCCTCATTAGTTAATCAAGAAAAACATTACTGCTTATACATTGTTTTAACTTGTATTTTCAAGAAAAAGGACGGTGGCTTTAGTCCCTTGTGGTGTGTACATATAGTTTCTGACTTTTAAAGCAGGGACTTGTCAGCTTTAACCCTTTGTTTGCCGTTTTAATTCTAAGCTCCTATTTGATGCTAAAGAAAGGATTTATTATTCTTGTAATTAATACTTACTTATTTTTTCCCTTTAGTGCCCCATCATTGTTGATACCACTTACAGGAACTAAAGCATTGGCTTCAGGGGATAAATATGCAGTGTTTAAAGGAATTGCAGCTGACAAGCCCTCTGAAAATACTATTCCTTTTGGAGGTAAAAACAGTTTGTAAGTTAATAAATTTCTGAGTGTAATATTTAATTAAGTTGTATAAATCTTTAAATGGTAACCTTGTAGATGAAATGTGTAAAGTGCTCATATCACATGTTAAGTATGTTTAACTCAATCTGTCTTCCTTCTAAAGCTTCCTACTTATAATTGAGTATTTATCTTTCCATCATAGAACCTGGTGACAAATACAGTGCTTTTAGAGAACTCGAACAGACAACTGAAAATAAACCTCTGGGTAAGTTTTTGATTCCTGGAGTAGATATATTATTTCCTTCATTAGTAAGGGGAATTTTAGATGGTTTTTCTAAGGTACTGTTGAACATATGTTTTACTGTGTAGATGTTTGGATTTTGGCTTTGGGGAGGGGGTTGTTTTGTTGTGTTGTCTTCTCAAGACAAGGTCTCACTATGCAGTTCGGGCTGGCCTTGAACTTAACTTTGTAACCCAGGCTGGTCTCAAACTTGCAAGGATCCTCCTGCCTCAGCCTCCCAAATGCTGGGATTACAGGCGCGTGCCACAGTTATACCCATGTATATGTTTGTGTATATGTTTTTAAAAGGGAAAAATTTGAACAAGTAAAATAATTTTGTGATATTCATACTGCAAATGTTTTTAATTGAGAAAATCTTAATGAGTGGCTTCTACTGACCTATTCAGTAAATGTTTTGATGGTTTCTGAGTGTGGGTATTATCCTGTGGGAGAGAGGTAATCTTTACTGTTTTGTGGTTTTGAAAATTACAGGGCAAAGGTGGCTGAGTTATTAGGAATTATTGTATTTCTAAAATTTATAGCAAATCTCAAATCATTGCCATTTCCTCTGAAGATACAGTACATTTCTTTTCTCTGGAAGTCTGCATCAAAGGGCCAGTGATGACTATCATTTTATTGGAGTGTTCAGCTTTGGTTGTTCATAGTATGTAGTCTGTGCCGTGCAAAAAGCAATCATCAGTCTTTGCCTTTCAAAATTTTTTTGTTGTTTCTGTTGTGATACCTGGCATCATTTTTGGTTGCTTTGCTTTTAACTTCTCAAGTATCATTTGGAAAGAAAACATTCTAGACTAACATTATTTAAAACCTAAATCATAGTGACTACTGTATGTCTAAGAACAGGCACAAAATACTTTGCAGTCACAGAGACATGATACAGTACTATCATATCAATAATGCTAGAGGATACAATTAAACAAGCATTATTTGAAGGTAGGCATTGTGACACATGTCTATAGTCCCAGGACTCTAGGAGGCTTAGCAGGGGCATCAAAAGTTCAAGTCCAACCTGGACAATTTATTTATTTTTTTTAGTTAATTAAGTTTATGGTACATTTTAGGTATACATACTGATCACATTCATTATAGGGAATTTTTACATGTATATAATATAACTTGATTCTTTTTTGCCCCTTCCCCCCCCTCCCTTCAACCCCAGAACCTCCTCTACAAAAGCCTTATTTCCATTTTTTCCTTCTTTTCTCACCATTTTTTCTTTTCCCTTTCTTTCTTGACTCCCTCACCTCCCTAGATCCCCTTCACATTTAAATATCTTCTTCCTATTTCACAATACCTATTACATATTTTGATCCTCATGTACACTTTTGATTTTTCACACCAGAGAAACAATGCAGTATTTACATGTGTACAGCCTAGACAGTTTAGAACTTAGCAAAACCCTATCTGAAAAGAAAAATACGTAAAAAAAGATTTGGCAGTGTAACTCAGTGCTAAGGCCAAGTTTAATACCCAGTGCCACCACTAGCACCACCACCAAAAAAAAGCCCTGAGATTTGATCTACTTTTCCAGCAGAGGGCCCAACATATGATATACACAGCTTTTGTAAAGAGATGCATTCTTAAATAGGATTTCTTTTTATCAGTGACACAGTTTTGTATTCTCTCTGCTCTTCATGAGCATCAGCTAAAAATCATTCTAAAATAAGCCAGTTAGCTGGGCATGGTGGTGTATGCGTGTACTCTCAACACTTGGGAGACTGAAGCAAAAGGATTGCCTCGCTTTTGAGCCAGCCTGGGCTACATCATGAATTCAAAGCTAGCCTGAACTACATAAGAGAGACTCTATCTCAAAAACCAAAAAAGCAATGTAGGTGTGGTGGTATATAACTATAATCGTAGGATTCTGGGAGACTGAGGCAGGAGGATCTCAAGTTTGAGCCCAACCTGGACAATTTACCTATTCAGCAAGATGTTCTCAAGATAAAAAATTGAAAAATGGCTGAATGTAGCAAAATTCCTGGTTTCAAAAAAAAAAAAATTCATGTGAAGATGACCAAGAGGAGGCAAGCAAGACTTAATGCTCCTATTATTTTAATAACATTATCGTTATCATTATCATTGAGAGCTCTATAAAAGAAAGGAACTGCCACCTGGCATTTCAAAACTTCAAGGGTGCAACCAAAACAAAGTATCATTTCAAAGGAAAACAGTAGTGAAACACTGTGTACCTGAATATGTTTAAGATGCCAACATCACTCTTTCATCACCCAGGGCTGAAGATGTAGCTCATCTTGTATGATATGCGCAAAGCCCTAGATTTGCTCCCTAGTATGGCAAAAAAGAAAGAAAGAAAAACATAATTAATCATCTGTTGGCTCACCCAGGAAGAAGGGGAGATCTGGTACTATAGGTTACTTGTATTTGACTTAGTCACCACTGTGCAGAATTTGCAGTCGGTTGTGGACTTTTATGTGCATTTGTCATTACCACTTCTGATATATAAGGACTTTAAAAGAGTAGAAGGGAGTATAAAATGATCATCTGATTATTTTACATATATGTAAAAACCGAGGCTTACATGCTTGTAGTTAAATTGTGCGATAAACTTGATGTGTAGTGTTTAGGTAAACCATAGATCAAATTATGTTCTCCAAAGCTAACTGTGCATGTTATGAAATGTGTATACTCTAACGAGAATTTTCTTCTGGAAACCACACTACTGTCTATCTTTATGTACTGAATCCTCAGTACATAAGGACACCCTCAGGACACCCTTCAACAGTTACTTAGGTCTACCCTTCTGCTTGAAAAGGTGGATATATGAGAGTAAGGTGTGATCGGTACTGTGCTGCTTAAACATCTCTAAAAAGGGTAGGCTACCTCTTAGAATATTCAGTCCCTTCAGCTCTTAAGGTCCATAAATTTTTGCTCAAAGCCTTTGGACTATAAAAGTATTTTTTTCTTCAGTGTTTGCATTAATCATTAGGAATACAAGGATGAACCCTGGAGGGTCTTTTGACTTGTTTTTATTTACTCTTAGCAGTGTTCTCATCAGTTCTTGGGCCAAGGCGATTTTGGAGTAAAGAACATGGTTTAGCATCAGGATTCTTTGCATAATAGGATATCAGTGATAATCATGTGTATATTATAACTATGAAAGATAGTGGTGCTTCCACAAGTTGTAAGCAGCACTTCAGTCCTGCTTTCTTAGGCCTTAATAAATTTCCATATTGTTATTTTTCTTTGCTTGCTTTCATTCCTAGCTTGACTTTAATTCTGAAGCCTTCCAAGTAGAGTAGCAGATTTTGGTCATTTTAGGGGAAAATGTCTTATTCTTCTAAATGGTGTGTTATCTTTTGAATACTGTCATTAAAAATACACTGACGGGGCTGGGGATTTAGCTCAGCAGCATAAGCGCCTGCCTTGCGAGCAGTCAGTCGTGAGTTCGATCCCTGGTACCGGTAAAAAGGAAAAAGACAAAAAAAAAACACTGACACTGACATTGCTGGGGACATAGCTCAGTGGCATGGTGACTGCCTGGTAAGCATGAGGTCATGAGTTCAATTTCTGATACAAAAAAAAAAAAAAAAAAAAAACACTGACTTAGGTCTAAGAATATAGCTCAATGGTAGAGCACTTGCTTAGCATGTTTGAGGCCCTGGGTTTGATTCCTGGGGAGGGATAGAAAGAGAGAAAAGAAGGAATGGAGGGCAGGAAAAAGAAAATAGAGAAAACTGACTTAACTTCAAGTGTTTTGGAATTTGTATGGAATTTTACAGTATTGTGTTCAGAGGTATAAATTCCTTACATTACTGAATGACAAGATTTCATATTTCCATATTACTACTTGTATAGTTTAAGTTAAAATAGAAGAGAAAAATGTGTTTTATAAAGAAAAAATATTAAGATTTTAGCAAAAAGTACTCTTCTTTTGTTTCTTAAGACCTTAAAAAAATTGTGAAATCATAAAAGAATTCACAAGTAAACTGAAAAGCAATCTGTGAAATAATGTTTAAGCCCTCTGACATGCAGTCTTCAGATGACTGCAATTAATGTATTTGCCAAAAAACAAAAATAAAATTCTTCCTTTTGGAATTAATAAACCCACCCTTTTCATTTCCTTTCCTTTTAATCTTTTCACTCAGCTTACATTTCTGATGGAAAAGCTTACAATTCATCAGTAAGTTTAGTTTGCTGTGATTTCTTTCTTTTTTTTTTTTTTTTTTTTTTTTTTTTTTTTGTCTTTTTTGTTTTTATCGGTACCAGGGATCCAACTCACGACTGCCTGCTTACAAGGCAGGCGCTTATGCCGCTGAGCTAAATCCCCAGCCCTGCTGTGATTTCTTTTTAAAAATAGCAGAGCAAAACTTATCAATTTCATGGATATTTCACACTTAAGACATCAGAAGTTTAGGCTTTAATAAAATTGACTGCTTGTTACCTTTCATTTAAAGAAATAACACCTATATAATTAGTGATACACTTGTCTAAAAGTTCTGTAATTTTTAAGTTTTACATTTGCATTTCCTGTCAATTTCTAAAATTGACTTTCATTAGTGGTATATCTTTATAAAACAAACTACAAGAAATCTGAATGAAAAAAAAACAAAACAAATGGTGTTCCTCTCCCTGATAATATTAGATGAATTTCTACTGATAAGTTTTGCTAGTGAATTGGTTAAATATCAGATTAGGAGTAAAAATCAACTCCTTTTGGTTTGAATCCTTTTTTTCATCTGATATATCAGAGTGTGTATCATGTTACCTGCATAATATAAAGCCTATATATGTGTGTGTGTATATATATGGTTTTTTCTTTTTTTTTTTTTGTTTTGTTACCAGGCATCAAACTCACAACCTTATGCTTGCCAGGCAGGTGCTTATGCCACTCAGCTAAATCCCCAGTCTCTAAGCCTATTATTATTTAAATGCCAATTTTAACCATTGGATTCCAATTTTAAATATATTTTTATTGATATGGTTCTGTGTTTCAGTTTCTAGGGGAAATCCTATTTGAAGAAATTAAGATTTATATTAATTTACAATCACTGCTCTAGAAAGAGCAGTAATTTTTAAATAACAGGGAACATTTGTAGGTATTTGGCTTCTCTGTTGCTTTCATTACCTGTTATTGCCTAACAAATTTTATGGTAGACCTTCTGACTGCACTAGAAAACTAAGATGATCTGCATCCTAATATTATACCTGAGAGTGAAAACATTAGTATAACAATGAAGACAAAAAACACTATTAAGAATCATGGCCCACATTTTTAAGAATACATGCTCATCAGTACACTTAGATGGCTAGTTTCAAGCAAGGTCTACATAGTCACAGTTGATTTTCTTTCCTATGACCTCCACTTTTTTTCTATGACATTTATTAGAGTCTATGAGAAATACTTTAAAGTGTGTCTTTGGAACCAGACATGGTGGCTCATGCCTGTAATCCCAGCACTTGGGAGGCTGAGGCAGGAGGATCTTTGTGAGTTCGAGACCAACCTGGGCTACAAAGTGAGCTCAAGGCCAGCCTAAACTGCATAGTGAGACCCTTTCTCAAAAAGACAAAAAAAAAATTAATTAATTAATTAATTAAAAAGTGTGTCTTTGTCAGAACACTTTGCAAATAAGTGGCTACCTTTTCAAAAATTTTCCTCAAAGCGCTCTTCAGATTAATCTTTGGTATACTTGGGCAGGATCATACATTTTATCTGATGATTTTTTTTTTTTTGATGTAGGGGAGAGGGGAGGTCGCTAGATATTATTTGAACCCAAGCCTTTGCCTATGCTGCACAGAAGCTCTGTCATTGAGTTACAGCCCCAGTTGCTAGTGATTCTTAAAATATTATTTCTTAGAAGTGTTATACATCCTGAATAGTAGGTGTGTGAATTTTCTTCATGCTTCATTGTACCTCAGGTTATTTAAAATCATGTAACATGTTTTATCTTTAAAGAACCTCTATTTTAGCACATTGTATCTCTCTCAGGAGCCTCCAGCATGTATTTCTCTTCTATTATGTACTTGACTGGTCAGAGCAGAGGAAGAAAGTCTTGAGAACAGTATCTGTTTTCCCCACCTTATCACTGTTGTGTGATTAAAGTCAAGCCAGTGAAGGGAAACCTATAAAAGTATACCTGTAACTTAATGTACTGTGAATTCTGTGGTTTTCAGTTTAGCATTTATTGTGTTGCTTTTTTGTTTTTTCAGGAGAGAGCTTTGCAGAATTCAGATCTGCAGGAGCTGATGATGGTTTCACCGATTTTAAAACAGCCGATAGTGTATCACCACTAGAGCCACCGACAAAGGACAAAACTTTTCCAGCATCCTTCCCTACAGGAACTACACAACAGAAACAACCACTACAAATAAAAAATCCTCTGAACTTAGCAGACCTGGATATGTTTTCCTCAGTTAACTGTAGCAGTGAGAAACCATTGTCTTTTTCAGCTGCATTCAGCACTTCAAAATCAGTTTCTGCACAGGCTCAGCCAGCAGGTTCTACTGCAACTACATCAGCACCAACATCAAATAAAAATTCTAGTTTGGCTGATGATTTTGGCGAATTCAACCTTTTTGGGGAATATACTAGCCCAGCACCTATTGGGGAACAAGATGACTTTGCAGATTTTATGGCTTTCAATAATAGTTCTATTTCATCTGAACAAAAGGCAGACGACAAATATGATGTCCTTAAAGAGGAAACTAGTCCTGTTCCTCTAACCAGCAACTTGGGCAGCACAGTGAAGAGTACACAGAACCCAGTTGCTGCATCTACCAAATACGATGTCTTCAAACAGCTTTCTCTAGAAGGAGCTGGCCTAGGTGTTGAAGAATTGAAAGATAACACTCCTTCTGGAAAAAGTGATGATGATTTTGCTGACTTCCACTCAAGTAAGTTTTCTTCCATGAACTCAGACAAATCTCTGACAGAGAAAGCAGTAGCTTTCAGACATACCAAAGAAGACTCTGCTTCAGTGAAGTCCTTGGATCTGCCTTCAATTGGTGGCAGCAGTGTTGGCAAGGAGGACTCTGAAGATGCACTCTCTGTTCAGTTTGACATGAAATTGGCTGATGTGGGAGGAGATCTTAAGCATGTCATGTCTGATAGCTCTTTGGATTTACCAACAGTTAGTGGCCAGCATCCTCCTGCTGCAGGTGAGGAATTGGTGAGATTGCTCTGGTGATGGTGATGTAGATTTCAAAGATGATGTAGATGTTAAGTTACAGAAGAGTGAGATGCTGGCCCTTTACTTTTTCTAATTTCTAATGCTCGACCTTCTTGCCAGTCTCTTTGAAGCAGTGTTAAATTTGATTCTGTGGATACTTGGGTATATTGATACTGTGACTACTCTGAAACTTAGATTGGATAGCTAAGATATGTTTATTTTTGAAATCCAGTACCAACTTGGTTTTCAGAGGCTCATAGAAATCCACTGCTAAATGAACCTCACATTGCCAGAAATTTTATAAAGACTTTTTGCATTTTCCACAGTGTCTCTTCATTTCTGTGAGCAAAGTCAATGTTTCCCTCTCCTTTTTTTTTTTCTCTTGGATATTTTTGGCAGCTTCCAATACAATATTCTGTTACAAAAACTGTTACTGGATTGAAAAAGTAAAAATTCTAACCAATTCTACTGCAGTTCGATACATCCCTTCAAAAGAGGAAGAGGGAAAAAGCTTACAGTATTTGTGGATATTCTGTGTGTCAGGGTCTGACAAGGAGGCAGGCCTATGGTGTTAGTGGAATACAGGTAATGTTTTCAGTGTGAATGTGATTACCGGAAGTATTGAGTTGTAACAAATCTGTAGATGCTAGTATAGGATAATACTAACTTTCTGATAAAGAGTTTGAAAACATCTTATTAGGGAGCCCTCTTAAAATTCCATGTGAATTTACATGTAGCAGTTTATTCTGTAGTCCAACTTCCTATCTTAAAATAGATTCCCAAGTGTCCTAATTTTTTGTTTTGTTTTTTAATATGTACATAGAAAGATAAACCTATTTTGTGGCCTTTAATAATGAGAACTATCTCAGTATTACTGTATTATTCTAGGAAGTATATTATGAATTCTAGGGGTTTATTTTGTTTTGTTTTGCTTTGTTTTTAACCTGAAAGAGACATGTAAGACACTTCAAAGTTTACAGGTTCAGGCAGAAATTGAAAAGTACTGTAGCTTTCTTATACATCAAATCAGTGAGTCAGAAAACAAAATTGCATCTATCCTTAGGTTATTGAAATGTTGGAGGTTTTTGTAAGCTGGGTCCGGAATCAGGAGCAAGTTAGCGGAGATACTATGTTTCATGTTGCCACTTGCTAAGGGGTTTTCTAAGCACACTGGGCTGTCTGTAAAGCTCCTTGTGCCCTTGACTATTTCCTTTTGAAGTTTTTTAATACTTTGCTTCAGAAAATTTCCTATTTTTTGCTGCTGTTTGTTTGTTAAAGTGATTTCTGTTTTTCTTTGTTGTATGAACTGCTTGAGCCTCAAAAGTTGATTGCAAAGTACTCTGTTTTCTGAACAACACTCTGATTTTCATTTTTAAAAATCTCATAACATGTATACTAGCCGTTGGACTCTAAAGTTATTAATTAGAAAGCTATTTTTCTGAAAACGAATCTATATTCTTTCACAGTGCCAAGCTAGATTCTTTATGAAATGAGTGTAATCTGGATTTGGGGTGTCTTTTTCTCCCTCATTTTATTTGAGGAGAGGGCTTGGTTTTTTAACCAAGCTTGTTTTAAAGGACCTGTTAAAATAATCTGTGCTCATGTTCTCCATGTATGTTTGAAACATTCCCAGATTGGAACTTGTTGTATTCAAGTCTCCTCTCTTCAGTGTGGGGATGTTCTTCAAAACAGATTGTTCTCTCCCGTTGATCTGTAAACCTCCTGTCATAAAGGAGCAGTATCCCTTTAGAGCGGTTGTTTAAAGGGCTTGTCTGACTAAGGAGCTGCACCTGTACTGTTGTGGAGCAGAACTGCTACATACACGTATTTAAGAGGGTGAATGGCAGGGAGTTCCTCAATACAGTGTGGGTTTAATGTATGCTCCTGTTGAGCACGGTGTCTCTTGCTTTCTCAGTGTGAGAGTTAAACTTACATCTTGTTACAGAAATAAGAAGTGGGCTGATGAAGTGAATGAAACCCAGTAGATTTCCATCTATAGGTCTTAATCCTGTTTAGAAACCCTAACTTAACTCTGAAGGGGATACTGTCTCTTTTAATTCTTACTGTAATTCTTTGTATGAACAATAGATAATACTAATAGCATTGCCTGATTACTCTGCATAGTATTACATTTAACCCTTTGAGTCCTTGCTGCATATAATTTCGACTAGGCTGCTCTTTCCCCCACTACTAAATTTAATCTTTATGGCACTGAAGCATCTTGATGTTCAGTCATTAAGAGCACTGGTGTTGTTGGCAGCAAGAGCTTACCCTTATTGGTGACATTCTCAAAGGGTTAGCAAAACTTCTGTAGCTACCTACCTGTAAAGTAGCTCTTTGTTAACATTGAAAACTTTGTATTTTAATCAGCACCTTAATTTGGGGGGGGGGCTGCTTTTCTGATGTCTTTTTTTTTCAATTTAGGTATTTTCTGTGTGAATGTGCCTTTTCAAACTTGCTTTCATATATTCCTCTGCCAATACTGATCTGCATGCTTATTCTGATGACTTATTTTCCAGCTCTTCTGTACCACTCTCTTTTGTGATCTGTAAGTCCTGTGTTAATAAATAATTCTTTGGCATATTTTGAAATTGTGAGGATGTGTGTAATTTGTATTTTTCCAGGGTTAGACTAAAGAAATATCTGTCTGATATAAAGCAACTGTAAAGCAGTTAGTATCCCTTGAGACTAGATGGTTTTTTCCCTTTTGTTTTATTTCCTCAAACACCTGTTTCCTAAGAAAGCGTTACTACATTTCAGCCTTTTCTCTTTTAATTCCATTGGTATAAGTTTTTAATGTGGCATTAGGCTGAAATATAACATTAGTGGGAGGATAGCTCAGTGATAGAGGGATTGCTTTATGTTTAAGGCCTTGGGTTTGAGCCCCGTTACTATAAAAACAAAAAGACAGAGAACTTAAAACCTAAAAAAAAGTTTAAACAAATACTACTTTATATGAGGGACAGAGAAATGTTCTTCACTGCAAGAAACTAGATTATATTTTATTACAGAGAGCTTGTCTCTACTTGGTGTTACACTGTGAAGAGAAGATGATAAGGAAGATACGAGTTGAGTACTGGGAAAAGAGGGACGCAAAGATAACTAGATATTATAGGCTTCTCTTAAATCATAATATGGTCTCGTAAATCGTACTTATGGTATTGGGCACAGTACCATATGTGTTACTTCTGAGCACAGTAAATGTAAGCTGAATTTAAGTTGATAATCTATGTAATGGAAAGTGCTTGTTTAATATTAAGCAGGAAGTTGTCAGGATTACACTTTGAATTTGAAATTGGGTATACCATCCAATATTTGTAGAGCATTTTCATTCTTTCTAACTTTAGACTGTCTGAGGCAACCCTCAGTCTTGTTTTTTGTTTTTTGTTTTGTTTTGTACCAGGAATCAAACTCAACAACCTTATACTTTTTTTTTTTTTTTAATCGGTACCGGGGATTGAACTCATGACTACCTGCTTGCAAGGCAGGTGCTTATGCCACTGAGCTAAATCCCCAGCCCCAACAACAACAACCTTATAATTACCAGGCAAGCACTTGAGCCACTGAGCTTAAATCCCTGGCTCCTCAGTGTTTTTTTCACTCGTGATACAAAAAGTCTGAGATGTGTCAGACAAAGGTTTAAATTATTCTTTTTTTTTTTTTTTTTTTTTTTTTTTTTTTTTTTTTTGAACTAAGGATTGAACTCATGACCTTGCACTTACCAAGCAAACACTTGAAGTGGTAAGCTAAATTCCCAGCCCCCTATTTTCATTTTTAAGAAAACAATTTGTGGACGGGCCACTGAACATTAACAATAGATCACACTTAGATACCACTGTATTTTCTCCATTTTAGAATATTGTACATAGGGGCTGAGGATTTAGCTCAGCAGCATAAGTGCCTGCCTTGCAATCAGGCAGTTGTGAGTTCGATCCCTGGTACCGGTAAAAACGAAAAAGACAAAAAAAAAAAAAGAATATTGTACATAGAAACCTTGAAAATGACACTGTTTTTTTTCAGGTCAGAAATGCAAACCAGATAAAACCTTTGTGGAAAAGAATTATTTCAGTGGTTTAAAATTTTTATTTCAAAGATCTTCATTCTTAGGGTTTTTTTTTTTTTAAGAATTTGAGGAAAAAAGGAAATTAGACCATTGAAAATGAAGATTTTTTAAATAACATTCCTTAAAGATCACTTTCATATCTGAAGTATACCAGTTGAAAAAGAAAGTTACTTGTTGGGGTTTAAATTAACTCTTTAAAAAAGCTGTGCTTGCCATTCAAATTACAGTGATTTTCAAGGCATACTGTGTTAGAAATTTGGAAGTTGAGTAACATTGGTTTAGAAAACCTTGTATGATGCATTACATTTTAATTATGAGTGCTGGTAGCAAATTTGGAAGAAAAATGCCTTGTAGCCTCCATTTAGTGATAATACCAGCTCCCCTGCATTTAGAAGTTCCCTGTCCAGGGCTGGGGATTTAGCTCAGCGTCATAAGTGCCTGCCTTGCAAGTGTGTGGTCGTGAGTTCGATCTCCGGTACCGATAAAAAAAAAAAAAAAGAAAAAGACAAAAAAAAAAAGTTCCCTGTCCATCTAAGACTGCATTATTTTAATTCCTTTCTGAGCAGAAGTGGCTATCAGTGTATTGTGTACATTCATAAATTAAGCAATTAGTTTTTGCTAAATGTCGGATTACTTTTAGAGGTAGTTTTCGTAGTCCGAATACAATAGTGTAGTTTTTTGTAATAAAGAGTTGAGTTGGGCCGGCAATTTAGCTCAGCGGCTAAGTGCTTGCCTGCTAAGTGTGAGGTCATGAATTTGATCCCTGGTACCAAAAAAAAAAAAAAAAAAAAAAAGTTGAAGATTTCTATACTAATAGTTTCAAACAAACAAAAAGAGAAGTGTTTTCCCAAATGTCAAGTAAAATACGGGATGCGTGGTTAACGGTTGACTACTGTATCAGTGCCTGAGAGGGAAATTATACGAACATATTTATGTGCTACAGTCACTCTACTGTTCACGTTACAACCTCTGCTGGGTTTTAGAAGTAGCAGCACAGAAGAAATACTGGTAATCAAAGCTGTGCTAAATCCTAAATTAATTCAAAAAATCTAATTATTTTATGATTTTTTTTTTTTGAGATGAGGACGCATTGTATATTATCCAGGCTGATTTCAAGCCCCATCTCAGCCTCAGTAACTAGGTCCACAGGCATGCAACCCAGCTGCTTTTTAAATTTGTTTATTTTATTTGCCATATGAGGAGTGAACCCAGGGCCTTGTGTACAATTGGCAAGCACTTGTACCATTAAGTGATATTATTTTACTTTTTAGAAAACTGCTTCCACCTTTTTGTTGTGTTTGAGTATTTTTGATAAATTATTTCAGAAAATATTGGCTCAGAAACCTTGAGAACATAAAAATGTTATATGCTGTACTACAGGAGGATATTATCAATTCTGCCTTCTCCCTTGCTTGGCCAAAAGGCCTCAGTTGAAATTGCTATCTTCTGTGCTCACTTGATATCATTTTAATGATGTTTTCATTGTTGGTTTCAGACCCGCTGTGTGTCCTAACATTCCTTGACCATTTAGTCTCCTCTGACTTAAAATATCCATAGGATTACCACCTTTCTTTGTTGAACCTACACAGAAACCTGAAGATAATATGGGTATAATTTAAACCATAGCATTATGGAAGTCAGGACAAAAAAAAGAGTGAAAGATTTTTGTACAGATCGGAAAATACTGAAAAGCAATTATACAACAGCATTCTATAACCTGTCACACTATACTGTGGTCACTTTTGTTCCTTATTTTCTTCAATACTTAGGGGGTTTGGGACTTACAGAACACAGGCAAATCAGATTTTATAGTTAATACAGAATTTACTCTAAAGTAGAATAGGCCCACAAGTGGAGGGAAATGGCAGCATACAGAATATACAGATACGTAATGGTTTGCTTTTCAGTAAGGAAGTATGGATTAAATCTGTTAGAAACAAAAAGATACTTCTTCCTTAGTTCAGTGAGCATTGTTATTGCTACTTGAAATTGGTGAAATTTACACACGTACTTCCTTTCTTCTTTTCCTAAATACCTTCCTCAAAACCCAGAATTTTTTTTTTTTTTTTTTTTGGTGCTGGGGATTGAACTCATGACCATGTGCTTGCAAGGCAGGCACTTATGCCGCTGAGCTAAATCTCTGGCTCAAGACCTGATAATTCTTAATCCCCAAGCATATACAACTTTAGAAAATGTTCACAGGAGTAGGGATGGCCTTTTGTGTCCTGTAGCAGCAGCTCACATTCTTAGAAATACGTTGTTTTCAATGTACAACATCAATCAAAAGGGATTTGAATAGAAGTTTCAGAAGAAACTGATAGGGCTACATATCAACATATAATAGAAATTCATTCTTGATTTGTGATCTATGATGGAAAGCAGATTGTATAGCTTATTTCTTTGTTTTTTGTAATAGGACATTCCTGGTTGCAAACAAATACATGTGTCAGAGCACAGAGTTCTCTATTTTATCTGTGTGCAATTGCAGTTGAACTTAGCAGAGCCCAGTTCTCCAGAGGAGTAGGGAAGACAGTACTGATTCTCTGTTCATTTTATTGCATTCATTTTCCATTTTCTTTTTCTTTTTCTCTTGCAATTTTCACAATTCAACTATCAAACTGCAAAAAACTGTTTATTGTAACTTCAATGATTACAAATGAAGTATGGGTTATTCCACATCATTTTTCCAGACAGGTCTTCTGTCACTTATGTTGTAGGTATTACATAATCTTTAATATTTTTAAAAGCACAGTATAATAATACATACAACTGTACTTCTTAGAAAATGTGGAACTGTTAACACAGGAAATGAGGAATTTTCTTGCTTTAACCTACTTTCAATGAATTGACAACCACATAATTTCGTAGAAAATAGTTTACAAACATTTATTATGCCAAGAAATAGTACATTTATATTGTTTATAAACAGGTGTAGAATAGTTGTTATGTAAGTGTTCTGCCTTATATTCCTTAGGGAATGTCAGTTTTAGTACTTATGTATTCAAAAGCACTTCAGTGAATTACTTGTTTCACCCTGTAGTAGCCAGCCAATTGAAAAAGTAAATTTAAAATCAACATCAAGGCTTAATTTTAGTGAATCTTGTGTATATACTTTCTGTTTTTTTGAGACAATCTCACTATGTGGCCCAGGCTGGCCTCAAACTCTGCAGTCCTGCTTCAGCCTCCCAAGTGCTGGAATTTCAGGCCTTTGCCACCTCGCCCATTTTATATTTACTTACTTTTTTAAGCTTAAGATATTTTATTGTAAGGCTTTATTATTTATTTATTTATTTATTTTTTAGTCTTTCATTTGGTCATTTTTTTTTTTTTTAATCAGTACCGGGGATCAAACTCAGGACCATGTACTTGCAAGGCAGGGGCTTATGCCACTGAGCTAAATCCCCAGCCTCATTTGGTCATTTCTGTGGGTTCTGTTAGGCAAAATGTTATAAGCATATCATTTTTAATAAAAATAGGATTTATGGAAGATCCATGTAGTTAGAAAAATGCTTAAAAGCTCTTCAGCAATGGTAATCTCTTAGTGCTTTTACTGCCTTTTTACGTCATTTCAAATTTTTAAAATCATTTCAAATTTTTAAAAATTTCTTTCCTGCATATTGCACAAAAGTATCTTTTTATTACCATAGCAATATTGATTGTAGTGTTTGATCTGGAGTTGTCATTTTATTAAATTTATCTTTGGTCTCTAGGAAAATTGCTACCCTCTAATTGATGAGATTCTGGAAGCAATTCTTTTGTTTCCCAAAAGAGCTTTCTCATTTGCTGTAATAAGAAGAATATGTGTCTAGTGAAACACTTTCATGCATGTATTCCTTGACGCCTAGTCTTGTGATTAACTGTGTCTCCTGAGTGTCACCTCACTTGATTCTGGACACTTTCTGACTCCTTTAAATGGTGTGACAGGGGCTACCATAGAGACTAGGAAAGCATTTTGCCTAAAGTCTAATTTCATTCATCCTAAAATATAACTTTTCACTTGCATTTTTCCCTTCTATTGAATAAACCATATTTAAAGGGTATCATTTGCAAAATAGATTTTAAAATGTACATCTTTCAGTAAGAGATACTTTTCACTGGTTGGCTTTTTCTAGCATTATTATTAACTTAGTGACATTAACAGAACATAGAGAAAGAGATTAGGAGTATACTGTTAGAAGAGCTATGGAAATGTTAGGAGCTTCCTACCTTTCATAAGCTATGCAGAATTACTATGGTATTAGGGTCTTTTTTTTTTTGGTACCAGGGATTGAACTCATGACCTCGTGCTTGCCAGGCAGGCACTTATGCCACTGAGCTAAATCCCTGGCCTCAGAATTACTATGAAAGCAAGAAAAAAAAAAAAGATTCAGGATTGGTTTACCTATCGATGGAATTATAAAAATCTAGGTCACCAAATTTTGGAACTCTTCCCTTGTAAATCACATATGTGATTGTCAGAGGCATTCAGCCTTCTTTCCCCATACAGAGAGACTAAAATGAATGAATGCTTATCAGCCCAACCGAGTGAACCATGCTGCTATGAAAGGTGTGTCCACACCGCCTATGTTCAGCCTCAGCTGGTTTTACTTTTTGAAAGTGAGCAAGAAACTTTTTCCCTACTAACAACATTAAAGTGATGGATTGGCTTTTTTATTTTTTCTTAAGATAATTCCATCTTAGGCCTTGAAGCAGCATCTAAATGTCAGATTGTGGCCTAGTGGCAACTGTACTGAACAACCACTACTGTATTACGTATTGCTCACTAAACTGTGAGCTGGCCTTCCATGCACGTTGCCACAGTTGATTACGCTAACACGGCCCTTCTAAGTTTTCCTCGGTTTACAGATAAGCAAGCCATTCAGAAACATGAAGTAATTTGTCTTAGTGTTCATCACTAAGTAGGTAGCAGAGTTGAATTCAGATCTCTCTAAATATAAAACATGCTTTCTGTTTTATGGTATCTTAAACATTTTTAAACATAAATTATTTAAACATAAATTAAGAATGTTTTGTATAATGAAGCATCTGTTTTCGATAAACTTTATTTTGTAAAATAAAAAAAGTGAGACTAGAATTCCTCCCTTTTTTAAATTGGGAAAGGTGCATAGTTGAAGCAGAAATAAGTGCCTAATAAGTTCCAGACCTTTGCTTCTATTTTTTTAAGAGCTAAAATAGATTAGATTAATTTTTCTTTCCTCATACTCCATCACAGCAATATGATGTCCAAATTGACCAAAATAACAACTAGGTAAGTGATTGCTTGATTAAAATCTCATATTTGGCCCTTCCTGAGACAAACTTCCTAATGACTTATTAACAGTTAAATGACATCATTTGTACTTTAGTTTGAATAGCTGTCAATTTTTAATTAGTTTCTCATATATATTCATGCAGTTGTATATTAAAGGAACATTTTCCAACTAAGTCCAGAGAAAAGGAGACATATTTTAGGAAGGGAATATGTTAGTACATTTATAAAGGAGCAGTTTATGAAATGACCTTAATCTGAAGAGTACATACCTTGGTAGATGAGCCTATCTTTTTTGGTAATTTTTATACACAAAAAACGTAATTCTTTTTAACTCAGGGTTAACTTGGGTTTTTTAAGATCAGATATCACAATCTAATTTCTTTAATTTTGGTACAAGCTCTGAGTTTAGTTACTCCATTGTACATAAAACTAATCAAATGTGCTAGGCATTTTGCCTAAATTACAAGTTTGCATCTAATTTTGGGGTCTTATTTCCCTTTCAGATATAGAGGACTTAAAATATGCTGCTTTTGGAAACTACAGTAGCAGTTTTGCCATGAGCACACTTACGAGCTATGACTGGTCAGACAGGGATGATGCATCTCAGGGCAGAAAACTTTCTCCATTTGTCCTCTCAGCAGGAAGGGGATCCTCCTCAGCTGCCGCAGTTCTTCAAAAGAAAGAGACATCATTTGGCAGTTCTGAAAACATCACCCAGCCGTCTCTATCCAAAGTAACCACCTTTGCAAGTGAAGACAGTCTTTCAGAGTCTACCTTCCCAGCTTTTGCCAGTTTTACAGAGATGATTCCTCAGACAAATGAGCAAAAGGAATATGAAAGTGGAGACTGTAAAGATTTCACAAGACAGGACCTGTCCATAGCGGAACAGAACCAAGAGAACGCGTGTCCAAGCCCAGCTTCCAGTGGCGCCTCTCTTGAAACACCCAAAGAATGTTCAGATGACTTTGGAGAGTTTCAAAGTGAAAAGCCCAAAATCAGCAAATTTGACTTTTTAGTAGCCAATTCACAAAGCAAAATGAAGTCCAGTGAAGAAATGATCAAAAGTGAGCTAGCAACTTTTGACCTTTCTGTTCAAGGTGAGTAGTGTCAAGGTAGATTTTACTAACGTGAATCTTACAGATTCTTCCTTAAGAAGAAAATATTGGCTCCTAGTTTAGCAGGGAATAAATATTCCATCTTTTGAAATCAATATCAATGACAGATAATTGAAATAAAGATTCCTCTGAAACTGAATTGAAGTCAAATCAGTATATGTTAGACAACTACTTTTGGACTAACTGTATGTATGTGTGTGTGTGTGTGTGTGTGTATATATATATATTCATTGACTTGATTGCTTAGAAGTACGCTGTTTAAAAAACAGACTAAGCCAAATGTCTTGATGCACTCTTGTAATCACAGCTTCCTGGGAGGCTGAGCCAAGAGGATCAGAAGTCCAAGCCCAGCCTGTGCAGTTTAAAGATTTAATAGACCCTGTCTCAAAACAAAAAAGTGCTGGGGTTGTAACTCAGTGCCAAGTCTTGGGTCTAATACCCGGTACTTTAAAAAAAAAAAAGCTAAGAAAACCAGGCAGTATCTTCTATTTTTTTTTTAGTAAAAAGGAGCCAGCATGATATAGCCACAGTTATATCACAGTGTCTTAATCCAGAGGCTGCAAAGTTATGACCATGGATCTGCATCCAGCTTGCAGATGTTTTGATGTGTAAAATGTGAAGTCGCTGCTAATATTTTAAAATTATGAGATTTCAAAATCTGGGTTTCTAGCTTTTCTTGAAAAATCATAATAGATGGTGACACTAGGCTTCTTTCCCATATCTTGACAGTCAATTGCTGCTTAGCATTGATACTCCCCATAGATAGGCAGACTCTCCCAGTTTGCCCCAGTCCCCACCACTTCTGTCTCCAGCTGACTCAAGTATCATTTACTTCACTTGACTGACTGTCTCAGAAGAGTTTACCTCTTCTGCTTTAATCTCATCCTGATAGAAGAGACCATGGACTTCACTTGTACTGAGAGAGTATAAAGAACCTCTGCTTGAGCTTAGCTGAGTAATCAAAACCTTTCAATGTATCATCCACTCCTTCCAGGATCACACAAGAGGAGCTTGAGCCTTGGTGATAAAGAAATTAGCCGGTCTTCTCCTTCTCCAGCTCTGGAGCAGCCTTTCAGAGACCGTTCCAACACTCTGAATGAGAAGCCAGCTCTGCCTGTCATCCGTGACAAGTACAAAGATCTGACTGGAGAGGTGGAGGTGAGTAGGGTCTTTTTTTCTACAGAATAGCAGGTAAAAAACCAGACGAGTCTTGAAGACTCAGCTCTCATATGGGGAGGTGATGGGGAGGGGGGCATAGGCAGCAGATGTAAAAGATAATCGAAATGGGAGACTGGTAACATTAGCTGTAGGTGAAAGCACTTCTCAGGTGTGTCTTCCACTGAAATAGTCAGAGACCCTAAAACTGAAAGTATTCATGGGATTTCTAGGAGAATATTTGGAGTGTTTTTTTTGAGTGCCAATTTTATCGCCCTACTGTTACCTAAATACTGTGTGCTAATTGATTATACCACTGGAGCTCCTTACTGTTTTACTCAATGTGAGCACATCAAGTGTAGGTGAGGAGGAAAATGTTCTGGAGCTTGTGTTTGCTAAGTTTAGTCCCATGTTATCTTCCTCCTGTAGCAACACACTTAGCTCTCCTTTCCCTGGTCCTTGTGACATGTGCATGTATGCACGTGCACGCATAGTTAGCATTATGGTGGTGGCATGGAAAATCAATGTATTGGCATCAGCTCTTGTACTGGATAGTTCCATGGTAAGTAACTTTGAAGAAGGGCTGACACCGTTACTAACTGAAACACACAGACAGTCATTACAAGCTGAGCATGGTGTTGCATGCCTATAACCCCAGCACTCCAGGGGCTGAGGCAGGAGAATGCTGCAAGTTCAAGGCCAGAGTGAACAGCAAGACCCTGTTTCCAAAAAAAAAAAGGCCTTTACAGAGAGGAAACTGCCATAAATCATTTTCCTCATTCACAGGTCATGTGCTCAGAAGTCACATGTACTAGTAATTTAAAATAATTATCAGTGGGTTAAAAAAAAAGTGCATTTATAAGACTGATTTTAGTAAAAAGGAGTCTTCCAAGCTCTTTTGCGCTGACAGAAGTCATAAGTAGAGGATCCTCGGCTTACCTGTTTAACCCAGTTCTTTTGCTAAAATCCACAGGAAAATGAGAGATACGCGTATGAATGGCAGAGATGCCTGGGGAGTGCCCTGGATGTGAGTATGTCACATTTGTGTCCACACATATGTAAGTGTTCTCTGCCATTTTGTCTTCCCTTTTGGAATGGACAGAGGCAAACTTCAGGGGAATCTTATTTTGCAGCCTGTGTAACAGGAAAATCATATGTCCTAAGTAAGTTTTTTTTCATGTTTATTATAACAGATGAGTTGTTCCCCCTCATCTGTCACTGTTTAAGGAATAAAAGAGATATTACTTTGCCTTACATGAAAATATTTAAAGTAAAAACTATTGCCATTTTCTCTTTCAAAGAAATAGAGGGTTGTTTCTTCAAGATTAAAATTAGATTCTCAGATTTCTTTCAGCGCAGTCTTATATACACATCAGTCACTCCTGGTTTGCCACACTCCCTAGCTTTTCCATTGCATTTTCTACTAATAATAAATTGATTTGTAGTGACCTTTCTTGGTTATATATGATACGATTTCATTTCTTATAGGTCATTAAGAAAGCAAATGATACCTTAAATGGAATTAGTAGTAGTGCTGTTTGTACAGAAGTTATTCAGTCAGCTCAAGGCATGGAATATTTATTAGGTATGTACTTTATTTAATACTAGTTTTCACTTACATTATAAGATCACACGCTGCATACAGCTTCACTGAAAAGCATCTGCATTTGTAGAGAAGGACATTTAAGTTACAAGTAGTAACAGCTGTTTGACTTAAGGTCCCTACAGCTGTGTTTTCATGTCTTTGTTATGTGTAATAACAACAATGTAAATGATAATCTGCACCTGATTTATCAAAGAATCTGAACTAGTGAGACATTAAAATTATGTCTTTTTTTTTTTTTTTTTTTTTTGGTCTTTTTTCGTTTTCATCGGTACCAGGGATCGAACACACGACTGCCTGCTTGCAAGGCAGGCGCTTATGCCGCTGAGCTAAATCCCCAGCCCCTAAAATTATATCATTTATTTCCACTCAATTCCTTACTATCCTCTGTGAATTTTTCCTCTGTGCCACTTAATGGCATAAACAGATTCCTTTACTTCCTGGTCATCTTCAGCTGTTAAACCCCAGTCCAACTTGAAGCTTCATTTTCTGTGTTTTTTGAGACAGGGGCTTGCTATATGATTTAGGCTCACCTTGAACTGATTGTGATCCATGCTAGCCTCTACCTCAGGGTGCTTGTCCTGCCCGGACCTTCCAAGTGCTGGGATTACAGGCGTGCACCACCATGCCCTGCTCTCTGGCCTCCTCTCTTGGTTTTTCATTGGTTGGGTCACCTTTAATACTGTACATATTTTACTGATCTTGTTCTGTCTCCCTCTCTTCACTACAACAAACCTCCAAGTGATCCATTTTCTCCACTGCTGTGTCCTGGCACCCAGTCTATTGTGTGGTACACAGAGCACTCAGAGTCTTTGCTGGCTGAGCAGCTGAAGGGGTGGAGTCTCTATCCGACTTGTCCCTCACTCTAGTTTCCCACTCATGCAAGCAGAAAATTCTACTGCATTAGCAGATGACCACCAGAAGATGTTGTGCATGTCTTTCCCTCCAACAGGGCTCCTAAAACCTACAGAAGATTCTCTTAGAAGTTCTGTCACTTCTTAGTTCCTGCCCTTCACTTGGGGAAAGAAGAGGAAAAGCCATAGTGCTCTATGCAAGGCTGATAATCCCCTGGAATTCCCCAGCATTCATTTATGAAAGCTAGGGTAATGTCTTGTGACTGTCATATACAAGGGTAGGGATGAGTCTCACAGCTGTCCTTGGATTGTAGAGTTACTTGGCACTTCTTGTTCTTGCTTAAAGAGTGTAGTCCCAACTTAAAACCACAGGAAGAGAACCATTCTACATCCTGTTAAATGTAAAAAGATATGTGAAGCTATGAATTTATAAATTCTTGAGGATTCATAAGGCTGAGAGACTTCTTTAATTATGCTGTGATAATATTAACATTTAGATTCTCTTAAACTCATTGTTCCCATTCTCATTAAGCTTAATGGGATTTCCCAGGTTCAAACAGAAACTCATAAACCTGGGAGGAAAAAAAAGCTAATAAGTTATACAATGCCTGCTGTTCTGGCACTGTTTTAAGACTTTCACAGCATTAACCCACTTATTCCTCATCTAGCTTTTGAGAAAATACTGTTACCCCACCTTTACAGATGAGGAAACTGAGGTAGAGAGGTTATATGATTTGCCCAAGAATACATGGCTAGTAAGAACTAGAGGAGGAATATGAATCCAAGTAGTATTAAAATCTGTGCTTTTACCAGTAAGCTGCACTGCAGAACTGACTGATGACAGACAGTTGGATTTGTCAAAGAATTATGGGTTCACCTCTATCCTGATACCTTCCTTAATTCCAACCAAGATAGCAACAAGACATAACATGTTTGTTTTGCTCATTGTTTTCTCCCAGCACCTAACTGTACTCTCTCACCCTGCCAGGAGTTGTTGAGGTATACAGAGTAACCAAGCGTGTGGAACTGGGGATAAAAGCCACTGCAGTGTGCAGTGAGAAACTCCAGCAGTTACTGAAGGATATCGATAAAGTTTGGAATAACCTGATCGGCTTTATGTCACTTGCCACTCTCACTGTAAGTGAAACCTGGGTGATGATACAAAGAATACGTGCTTATGATGGCAGTTACTGGGGTGATGGCGCCTACTAAATCATTATGTTGGGAGAAGATAACGTGTGCATTTGGTTGAATAGGGCCAGGTTGGCTTCTGAATAGACATATACACTATACCTCGATAAGAGGATAAGACACTCACTCTGTATCCTCCTTAATTCATATAGACATGTACAAATCTTTTAAAAAAAAACATTATTTCTGTTTCCTCTCTTTATACTTGTAGTGATTTGCATCCCTATATCTGTTCTTTAAAAAAAACCTGTGTGGAGCCAGGTATGGTGAGGCACATCTGTGATCCCAGCATTTGGGAGACCAAAGCAAAAGGATCACATGTCTAGGTCTGGCCTGGGAAGTGTATGGGGCAACCCAGTCTCAAAATAGAAAAACAAAAAGGGTTTGGGGTGTATTTCAGTGTGAAGGCCGAGTTCAGTCCTTAAGGCAAGATAGTGTGGACTACATGGAAGCTGGGAGTGTATTTCAGTGTAGGGCACTTGAGCTACCGTGCACCAAGTCCTGGGTTCAGCACCCAGCAAAAACAAAAATAGCTCTATCTTGTTGCCATCCTCTAAGTAGCTCATTTGCTTTTTTTAAGATCTTAAAATACTTTCATTTTTTTCCCTGTTATAAATAGTTGTACTCAATAAACAAATAACTCAGTCTTCTTTAGAGATATAGTTTCTCAAGATGAATTGATTTAGCTCAGAGTGTGTGCTGCTTGCATGTGTGCATGACACGTGTGTATATGTAACTGCTGTTGCTTCCCTTCCGCCCAGGGCTGAGGACTGAACCTGGGGCTCCTCACTGACCTGAGTGCCCCTCCTCCCCACCACCTTTTTTTTTGGTAATTTTGAGAGTGTCTCACTCAGTATCCCAAGTAGGACTTGAACCGAACCTGTGGTTCTTGTGCCTCAGCCTCCAGAGTGCTGGGATCAAGGCATGTGTTACTGTGCCCAGCTGCCATGCATTTTTTATATGGTTTTCCAGATAACATTTAATTTCATGAGAGATTTTGCAGTGTTTCAAATGATAATTTACTGTTTCTGTTCCATCATGTGTAAGGTGCTCATCTCCCTTGACCATTTATCCAAAGGAATATGGTTACTGGCTATACATATGTCGTATTTTACTATATATATATAGGCTTTTTGAGTTTAGACAGGATTTTATCTTCCTCTCACATCTGGAATAAATGTGATACCCTGTTTTTTAAAACTATGTGGCTCATCTGAACAGGATTGCAACTCTGTGGTAGGAATCAGTTCTGCGCTGAATCAAAAGCCAGCTGAACACCCAGTTGTTCCAACAACATGGGTTAAACAGCAAATCTTTCCACCATTGTTATGTTGCTTCTGATTTATAATATTAAGTTCTTGGAGAGTTTAAATAATTTCCAGAATGCATTTTCTTCTTTTGAGCCATTTTTCAATCTATGACCTAAAATCATATAAGTTGGATAATGATTTTAATAAACACTGTTCTAGAGCCAGGCATGGTGGCACACACCTGTAATCCCAGCACTCAGGCACTCAGGACCCTGAGGCAAGAGGATCATTTGCAAGTTTGAGACCGATCTGCACTACAAAGTAAGCTCAAGCCCAGCCTGAACTGCACAAGACCTTGTCTCAAAAAGACAAAAAACAAAACAAAACACTGTTCTGGCCAGTACAGTAAGAGATAGAGTATAAACATTTGAAAAAAAATAAAATCATGTGTATTTGGCAGTTGAAATTCTTCTAGAAAGCTGGATTCAGTAGACTAAAATGTATTGGGTTTAGCAGAAAATCATAGTGTCTCTGAACTGAATGAATTAACAATAGTTAAGAAATATAACAAAAAAAATTTTTTTTGAGGGAGTGTTGCTATGTAGTGCAGGCAAGCCTTGAACTTCCTTAGGTCATCAAGAATGGCCTGAATTCGCAGTGATCCTCCTGCCTTAGCCTTCCAAATACGGGGATTACAGGCATGTGCCACCACACCCAGCTAGAAAATTAATTTTTTAAAAAGTCATTCATGTCTTTATCCCTTCTGACTTTTTTTTTTTATTTAAGGAGAAAAGAAAAGAAAGAAAAAAAAACAGTGAAGGGGTACAAGTTATACAGATTTACAGAATAAAAAAATGCGCAGTAGGAAATCACTAGTTAATGGATTACATATTGCCATCTTAGAAATAATTGTTCAAGTCACAAAATTAAAGCTTGTAGAGTGGACATTCCAACAATGATACTGCAAACAGTTCTGTTCAATGATCCAATAAAACTCTGTGATATCATTTTCTATCTTATACATTTAAATATACATGCAGTTATATAGTTTAGAGCACTTTCTTTTCCTCTCTTTTGTACAGTAACTATTACACATTTTGGGTTTCATTGCTCCCACGGTTCTTATTGCTTTTTTGGAAGAGAGTAAAACCAAATGTGACATAACAGAACAGAATCGGTCAAGTCAAAAGGGTGGACATAATAGATAATATAAAAACATAATACAAGGTGATCAACAATGGTTACCATAATGCCTCCCGCTATTTCTAATAGAATTGCCTATATCATTAGTTGTAATACAATTGAACAAAACCGTAAAGAATAAAACCGACAAAACCAAAACATTAGAGATATTGTAGGTCTTCAAAAGTAGATAAAAGTCAACAAGAATGGGCGTTATAATGAATCTCATTATCTTCTCAGCTGATGCCTAAACTTTCGAACCTGATACTATCCAGCAAAACAGAATAGAGGAACCTCAGTCAAAAACAAGATGGTGAGAGTAATACAGGGCTTCAAATCGAGATAATAGAAAGTCAAAGTGGGTTACTATATTATATCCTGCTATATTTTTCCCTTTAATTAAATGGATAAAAATAAAAAAGTAAATAATGGAGTGGAGATTGAGAAAAAAGAGGGCATAACAGCGAAACAGGGCAGATCAAAACATAACCATTTAAGCAGAATAGTGTTTCACCACCAGATAATCCTGACCCAAAAATAGTTACCATATTGACTCCCTCCCTGAAGTCCTTGAGTACAACTTCATATACTGTAGCATTAAGTATATCAAAACAATGTAAAACCATTTAAGAGAATGACAGCATTATAGAGTATTTAGAATCGACTAACAGAAAATGAACAATGGTCTCTGTATAATCTCCTTGTCTTTAAAAGGTTTTTGCTTATACTATCGTACATAACAAAATCCAATAAGATACAACCTGTTTAGACCATTGGAGACAGAAGAACAAAAGCTAGATGAGACTTCAAAACAAGATGGTACTAAATCAGCATTACCTATTAAGATGTCATTTTCTCCAAAAAAAGCTGTTCCTATCATCCAATCTTCTCTGTCTCATTTCTGTTGAGCTCTTTTTCTGTCAGTAGCTGTCAGTTTGTCTTCTTCATTTTGTTCTCTGCTCCATTCGTTGTGGCCTCCCCGCCACTATTTCTGTGTTCTTTGTATTTTTCTTTTTTTAGAATATCCTGCAATACTTTCTGTAGGGTTGAATTGGTGGTTGCAAATTCCCCCAGTTCCTCTTTATCCTGGAAGCACCTCGTTTTTCCATCAATTTCCAGGGACAGTTGTGCAGGATATCTCAATCTTGGCTGGAGATTATTATCTTTCAAAGCTTGAATTATTTCTCCCCACGCTCTTCGTGATTTGATGGTTTGTGAAGAGAAATCTGCTGTAATTCTGATGGGTATTCCCTTGTAAGTGATCTGTTTCTTGTCTCTGACAGCTTTTAATATTCTGTTCTTGTATTGAATTTCTGGAATTTTTATTATTATATGCCTGGGTGTTTCTCTGTTAGGGTTGTAGGTAGCTGGGGTCCTGTATGCCTCATACATCTGAGTATCTTTACCTTTTGCTAAATTAGGAAAATTCTCCTGGATTATTTCTGTGAGTAGCTTTTGTAGTTCACTTGTTTGTGTCCCTACTTCTTCTTTTATGTTCTTAATCCTTAAGTTATGGCTCCTCTTATCATCTTCTTGTCTTTGTATTATTGCTGTTTGTTTCTTTGTTATTTTTAAGAAGTTTTTCATTTCATTCTCCCATGTTTCAAGTCTGCCCTCCAATTCAGATAGTCTGTCCTTAGTTTCTTTCAAGCTGTTATGCCAGTCTTGGATAGACTTCTTAATTTCTTGATAGTCCCTTTGCACCTGCTTCACATACTCAATGCTTTCTCTGTTTTCTCCATCAAGCAATTCTCCCCTCTTTTACTGTTCTTCCATTCCACCATCTGCTTTTTCCTGGGTGGTGCTTAGCATTTCTCTAACTATTCTGCATACTTCTAGCTTCAGGTCATTGATAACTTCATTCCTGAATTGGTCTATGAGGCTCTCTATATGGCGCTTAATGTATATTGGTGCGGTGTCCACTATTGCCTGATTCTCAGGATTGGGGGCCGAGGAGCCTTTTTTGTTGCTTCCCTTCCCCATATTTTCTGTTCCTTATAAAATGCAAGCTTACATAGGAGGCCCGGCTTCCCTGCCTGTCAGCCACAGCCTGATCAAATTGCGCCGGCTAGTTGTTCCCGCCCATCGCTGCGCACCAGGGAGTCGCGGAGGAGGCAGCCTACGCGGGAGTCAGTCGCTCCTCCGGGCCACCGTCAGGCTCTGGGATCTGGGTTAGGCCAGCCTAGGGAGTCCGCCAGCAGCGTCACTCAGGCCAGGGGCTTTTCACCAATCCCGTCCGAGAGGGGAATGTGTGGCTGGAGTTGCCACCGCGCCCTGCTCTTACAGGACTGCCCGAGCCCAGAAAAACCTCCGCTGGAGTCAAACTGTGGTAGGGAGTCAGTTTCTCGCTCACCTCGCCACCAGTCAGTTTTCCTCCTTGTCCGTCCTGTTTCCGACTCCGTTCGCAGACTCCCGTTCCCAGAGCTCGGCGCGTCTCTCCTTGCCGAGCCGCTGTGGAGGCAGCCAGCCGCCGGGCGGCGGGAAACCCAAATCGCAGTTTCCAAAGGCGCGGGG